TCCCTTAGTATACCAATATTAAATCTAAGTACACATTAAGGTTCAACGAACTACCATTGGGCTGGGAATTGTATTTTGTTTTAATTAATATTTTCTCTTATTATTTTTTTGTGTTGGAATTGGAATTGTTTATGTCATTTTAATTGATTAAATTTTGCCAAGCTGTAATTATCTGCCTTTGTTGACGTGAACATGATCGTTACGGATTACCGACCCTGCCACCAGGTGTTCTTACTCGATGTAAACATCATTATCGGATCAACTTGGCCTGTACCTGTGAAACTACATGCCAGATACGTTGTAATAACAATCTATTGTTTTCTAATTATGTATTGATAGGTCGATAGGTATGCTGTTAATCACTTTAGAAGCCCTGCATACCCTAAGTAAACTTATGGAATATTTTCGACCTAAATTCCTTTGATCGCACGAGAACAGGTTGTCGAGGTTTTTAACTGTTTTTGTGGCGATATTACACTCTCCGTATCGTTTGAACAGTCAAACAAACATGTATATATCGCTAATTTTTTACGACATATTTTCACTGTCCCAAAACTCAGATGAACTTTATCACGCAATGACGACACCAAGTAAAAGAAACGAGCTGTCGGTAAAAAAGAAAGTTGAACTTATTCAGTGTAGTAATAGCTGTAGTCAGGGACAACTTGCTGAACAGTTTTGCATTAGTGAAACTCAAGTTCAGACCATCTTGAAACGGAACACCGACATTTTAGAGAGCTATGAGGAAAACAAGGGAAACGACCCTGTGTTAGATCATCATTAGAGGAACTTAATGAACTCATGTGGGAATGGTTTCATCGGGTACATGCACAGCACATTCCTGTCTCTGGACCAATGTTGCAGGAGAAATTAATATTAATGGAATGCTGAATAACATTTATCTAAACAAAGCAAAGTGTCATTTTAAGTCTTGATTGACACAGGAGCGATAAAAAGGAAAGTATGAACATGATATATTTTGTAGGAACACGTATATCAAACGAATCTTTTTACGTTGATGTTGATGGTACATGTATGTGTCCTGCACCTGAAACTTAAAAATTAATTACTTAAATGAATTCAAGATAAGGTAAGACTACAACAAAAAGGAGGACTCATTAACATTATGTTTATTTATGCCACTTCATAGGTCGTTCATTCATATCCCTTACTCTTTATTTTGATATTTATAGAAATTTCAATTGTTGTTGTGGCACAGGTGTCTTATCATTACATATATAAAAATCAACGTCACTGTATGTATTACAATGTATTTACGATAATTCAACATTTTATAACGATATACCTGTATAAATATGTCCACGTGTATTATCGGGTAATAAACATTTAACTTATATGATAGATAAGCATTTGAAGAAAAGACAAATTTAACAATATACTTATCTTGATAATACAGAGGTCAACAGTGTACATTACTATATTAGATAACCTGATTAATATCTAACATTGATGAATCACCGCGTGCTTTTCACATTTAATGAATATACATAACTAAATATGTGCATGCATATGAAGTATTTATGGATGACTTTGGTATCATAGCTGTTTGAATGCATGGTACAGTGTTTTTATTTGTACCATTTCAAAAAGCAACCAATCAAAAGTCTGCATTAGATACAATGTACAAATCATGCGTTTTATTTGTAAATCGGCGAGGGGTAATCGCAAACATTTAATCTAATTCCTAAAACAGGCACGAAACTGACAAACCGGAGCGAACCAATTAAAACACATACAACACGTGTACATTACATTATTATCCAATAGACATCACACTCTAGGGTATCAAAATCACAACACTGAGCAACAAACGCATTACATCTGTAAATCACAACATGAGAAGTGATATGGAAGTGTTTATTGTTTTATTCATTTTTACGTAGATTGATTTTAACAAATTAACTGTCAAACGCATTACACATTATACGGCAAAGTTATTGCAACTTAATACGTCCTTCTCTTTATAGATAGTATACAGATACCAACATGGTAAATGAACATTCAACGTAGAAACCACTTTAAAGACGGTGACAATGTATCAGAACAACTCGAAATCCATACAAAATATAAAATAAAATATACAAAATAAGTTATGGAGGTAACTCCCTGACAGTCATCACATTCTACTGTTCTATAGTTCCAGTTTATGTTCCTGTGTTCCGATATAACACATGATTTCTCCTAATAATAATTAACTTACAATCCTGTATCAACCCCGGACCATTAGTCGGAACAAACAATGAATACTTCCGAAGTCTATGTTTAGATAAAAAAAAATGAAATATATTTTTTAGTTTAAGTTCGGGATAATGCTTAGAGAATAATCATAAACGTTGGAAATTTTACTTTGACACTTGGTATGGTCGTTATTCATTTTTTTTTTTTTTTTTTTGGTGGGGGAGTTGTGCGCCTTTTAACACAAAAACTCAGAAAAGCGACAATTTGACAGGTTTCTAATAAAAATGTGGATAACAAAATCAATTGCGGCAGCCATTTTATTGCACCATTTCCACTTCATGACGTAATGTAATTGTCTATCTGCTGGATTCACTCTGCACTATCACAGAAAACCAGTTGGATCATCTAGGAAATCACCAATACGTTGTAGAAGATAGGAATCCTTTACAGTAAGTTCATTCAATTTTCAGTAATCAATGAGGAACTTAATTGAAAATGTGCCTTCTTGACAAGAACTTTTGGCAAGTCTAAAGGTGATCTTGAGGGCGTTATTACTTTAAGAATGCGTTGAACTTCCTTTCAGAAACATCCTTCTTAATAAACTAATCTCTGAGGTGTTCCGCTGCAAATTCAATTGGTTGCTATTGAAAAACAAGGAGCGTTAAATGCAAAATTAACACTCAAAATATTTTATTCTGGCATTTCACAAAAAAAAAAAAAAAAACAATTTTGTTTTATTCATGTTTAAAAGTTTCCGTTAACCATCGTTATCTCTTACCAGGCTTTTAACAACCAGTGTCTATCTCCTACTATTTACCATCTCACTACCGGCTGATAGTACTCCATTATCTGACATTCGAGGTAGTATTTTGCTGCTTTACCATTCAGTGTGAATGTTCCTTTCCTATATCCGAAATGTAATTATTTTATAACCAATAACACTGAGACTGCAACATCAGCTATAAACATACGCTACCTGATGTTTTTATGAGATCTCTAATGTAAACACAGCTATTCTTATTTACACATTAATATGTGTCTCATCTGTCACCAATCTGGTAGTCTGTTTTCTGGTAACTCTAGGTATACCCTACTACTAAATACAAATATAGTCACCCATATATCTAACAAAGCATAGATATGTTTACTATAACTCATGGTATACATTTGGACTTACATCATTGCCTTCTTTATTACACCCCAAACCTTGAGTAAACACATGTCCCTCAGTTTAATCCCCTCCTGGTTTAAATTACTAGGATCCTGACCTACACGCTTAGAACCAATATTGTTGTGTTGGGAAAACCGATTTGATTGTCTCCTCCTCTGCGCTGTTATTTTCTTCGATTTGGCTGTATGCTTTACGTTTAAGAGCAGCATTCAGTGCCTCATCAATACTTTCTGAATTCCCTTAGCATATTGAATATTCTTCATCTCTATCGGTCTGAGCTTCTCTAAACCAGCTATATTTCATTCACATCTGATGGTGATGTAGATTAGCCTAATCTCACAAAGTGTACTTGATATCATGAAATTAGTCAAACGCTCACTCGTTTTCCTTGTCCTTGATATCATTTGGGCCTTCTTCATATCATTTATTTTATCAAACCTAACGGTTGAAATTTTAGCCTTAATATCTGAAATAATTCTTCTAGCTGTTTCAGTCATTGATGAGACTAACTTAAGTGTTTGACTTCATCTAGATATTAATTCATAATGAACTAGAAAGTCGGTCCAACTAGATTTCCCATCAGGTGTCAGGTTTATTGAATAAGCAGACTGCTGTTTGCTGGTATATCCATGATTGGTGCATTTGAACTGATAAACTGTTTCAGTACTTTCTTTGGCTGTAGCCTCGATTTGAGTTGGAGATCCATCAAACATACAATCAAGACACTTCTGATAAGGAATATTTTTACAGATTTAAACTGAACCTCTAGCTTATAATGAAGTTTAATCTTAGTTTCCTCTTGAGAATCTACCCTATAGATGACATTTACAAGATCTGAAAGCTTATCGTGCTTAATTAAAGATAATGCGGACTACGCCACCATACAGTATCATACAGTATAGTAAACAATATTTGTTTTTAAAAAAGAAAGAAAAATCGTAATTCAAACCCAAAATCAGTTGAATTAAGGCATTTTATGAACCATTCTAAGACACTAAAACTACAAGGAAATTTGCAACAAGTGTTCCGGAATGGTAAGCGTCTTCTACTTTAATGACATGGGTAGCATGCCAAACCTTGAAGTTGACCACACTTAATGAATTCAGGAAGGATGTTTAAAATTCATACAAGTGGGTATATCATTTATAGATTTTATGACTGCTAATAATACTGATTCTCCTAATTTTTCACTGATATTTACTGTTTGGATGATAAAGTAACCATGTGGATAAAAGAACTTCCAAGAAGTAGAGTGACACAAAAGAAGCTGTCATCTTCAGTCATCGGATTCTTTCAATTATCTTCATCTTCTCTACAAATAATTAAAACATCACTTCTTAGTCAGGTGAAACAGAGCATTAACTTTCGTGGCCTGTAATGCAATAGCATAACGTATCGCGTAGTGCTGTGTCACTGACTTAGTTTACTATGCCATGTAACACATAGAAAATTCCGATAAATAAAAATGACCTCGCACTGCTTACTTTTGATATTTTTAAAATTCATTCCATACACTTGCTTACTACAAACTTACATTTATACTTCACTTTTCTAATATTTGATAACCGTTGAAAAATGTTTGTATTTAAATTTTTTGAAATGATAACATTAGATTTAGATAGATAAAAACTCACCTCATCACTCTGACAACGCCGTTTTCAAACCCAATCCAAATATCATTGTTCTGGTGGATAGCTAATGACCACATGGTTTCCGTGAAGGTAGCGATAGATTTAAGTCTAGTGCAACAAGTGTTAAGGAAATGTATGGATTTTGAATGATATTCGGCAATAACTAAGTTGTTCTGACTGTCAAAATCAACATCCTCTACATAGAAATCACTAATTATATCGGCAGGATGGAAGTCTTGATCACAGCGGATAACTTTTCCATTTCCTAAATACCTCAGTTCGTAAGTTAGATTATTGTCCAACATAACGATATGGGAGGATTCAGTTCCAGTTTCGTTGACAACTAATATCAAATCGTTGAGTGTATTTGTCCGCACTCTGATGGGCCAATTGAAAAGTCGTTTGCCTTGACCGTCACGTTCAACAGTGATCACTTGTTTTCCGTCAACGGTGCACTTTGTTAGCAGTCGTTTGCTACATTCCGATGGGTGGTGATCGCCATGCTCTAGTAAGGAGACCAAAAGCATGCTGCTAGATAAACAGCACAGACCGTTGGGATGTAAATCTGTCTCAAAAAGTGTATCCAACTTGTCAGTTGGATCAATTTGGATCACACATTTTTCAAGAAACGAGGCGAGAAAAATGACACCATTTTGATAGGAAATAGAGCTTGGCTGAGACCTTATGGGTATAGATCGAAGAATTTTCCCGCTTTCATTCACACTTTTTATGACGTGTTCTGCCCAGCATGCAAGCAATGATTGGTCCTGTATAGAAGGACATATTTGTAAAATACCGGCTGTCAGTGAATGGCGAAATGAAGCTTTCATTTTCAGTTGTCGACTTCGTCTAAGAGATCCTAATATATCAGATGCTTTTTCCACATCATAAGGATTAGGTATCGGAATGTCGGCTATTTTAACTTGTCCAATAATGTTGCTAATATCGGACATGTCTTCTTGCTTAGGCGTGAATGAGGCTTGTTCCGGTTGTGGATAAATCGGTTTGTCACTGTTAGTCTCCATCAACACTTGGCCCTTATGAATAACGTCCAGCCGGTCTTCACATTTAAGCAGGGTATCAATAGAATTTCTGAATGATGTCACTACCTTCAACTTTTCTTTCAACGTGATTTCTCTCTCTGTAAGTTCAGACTGGGAGTGTTTATATTGGCTCTTACAAAGATCCGACATTTTCTGTGCAATGACGTCAATGGTTGATTTCAGTTGCTTGGATTTCGATTGTATAGTATTCGTTGTATCGTCTGAATCAGTATTCATGCGTTGTAATATAGCTGGGATATCGTCAATGTCTTTTTTAATGCTATCGATAACCTTGGCGTGTCTTCCATCTGCCTGTATCAGCATTGATTTCATTTTTGAGTATGCCTTTTCTATAGTTTGATATACATGTCCGTTGTGCTCACTAGATGCTACACATACTGGGCAAACTGCAGCGCGACACGTTTCACAAATCAAAATAAGGTTTTGTCCGTGTTCTGAACACTTCATGATATCCGTGCAATGGTTCGAGAAATATGCCGACTACGACAACCTTATAACAGTTTGCTATTCACCTACAAAGCTGTGCAGCAGACACACATTACATGACTCAATGGACCCATACAATGATCAACTAAATTTTGCAATACCCTTGTATAGATTGTGTTCTATATTCACATTACACGCATAACATAATTCATTATTTTGAAACGATTGTAGAGTACTCGAAATTGTTTTTTCCCATAGGATATTTCAAACCAGATAATAGAGAAAGAACACATGACGATCATACTTAGATACCTTGTTTGTAAATTAAAGGTCTTTCGTTATGGATAATTGTATTGAAGTTCTAAATATATCAGTGTTAGATAAGTGAACGTAATTTGTACACACGAATATTACTAGCACTTGAGCATACGTCTAAACTTGTACATTTCTTCTTTGCCTATCTTGCAAAAGGGCAGTAAGTAGTTATTACATTTTGACAGATGCATACTCTGATAAGGAATACCCAAGTTTGTTTAAATTAAGGATACATGTGCCCACTCTCAAATTTCTGAAAAGCTTCCTCTGCTTTTCCTAATAACCAACTGGTATAGGGTCATGAAATCTTGCAACAAAAGTCTTCTACTCATGAATATTTTCTACACAGGAGATATAGAACCATTGATCTTTTTCTCGATGCCCATAATTAATCATAAAGATTGAGACATATGTAGCGTAATATTTTGGCATACATGAGAACTAAATGTGCCTTTCTTTTGGCTGAAATGTTTTTTGTTTTCATGCGAGGCTGAATTTATCAAAGAGCTTATCAAAAAAAGAATTTGAAAAGTCATCTAACTCCACTTTCAGATATATTGATGACGCCCTGTCTATAAATAACAAGAAATTGATCGACCGTCCATCATATATACCCAACAGATGACGAATCAAAGACACTTCTACTTCAGCAGCTTTTGTCGATTTTTTCCTTCAAGGACACCAAAATGGACATAGAGTCCAAACGATGCAGGTTGATCAAAAATATGGGGAAGTTTACGATCGTTATAGTGATTATATTGCATTGCCCAATATAAAACTGGACATGTTTGATGTTTGTACGGTTGCCTATTGTTTGCGTTGTTGTATACCTTGTTTTCATTTGAGAATGTGACATTTTTTGCTTGGATGGACAAAGATTTACATTGCGGGAGCCAGCGATGAAACACATTGGTCTTAATCTCCTGGCATTTTGCCAGGAGGCTCCGTATAAATCTTGCGTTGTTCATATTATGCCCTGTGTTTATATTATGAATATGTTGACACTTTTTTTAATTAAAGAGCAATTACAGATCTTTGACAAGAACTGATAGTTTTGTGAAAATTTCAACTAGTTACAACTAATTGACCTTCACCAAATATTTCTTCATCGATGAATGTTTAAATCTGATGTCTGCTTGATTCTTCTTAAGATGCTGTCATAGAAATGGTGTCATCTTCAATAAATACCTGATCAGATATGGCAAGAAGAAATAGTCTAAACGAAGTATGAGTTAGAATCACAATCATCAAACCGGATGTTTACGCTTGTATCACTTTGCGATATGACAATGAGATATAAATACAATAAGATAGTTACATGACTCCATAACATATGATGTATTTGTAACACCTATGGTATCAACCAGATCAAAGTACAAGCGGATACATAGATACCGTTACAGCACTGATAGTAATAATGTCAGTATCTACTTATATCTTGTTACATTTATGTTCTATTAAGTTACATACATCCGTCAAATAACCATGTCATATATGTTCCAACCAATAATACATTTCTTTTTCATATTGAAATCTGTCATCATGCACATTTTTCACTTTAAAACATTAAATAGCCTTTACAATAACCGGAAATATCCTACATCTTTGTATGAACTGTGGGTGATAACCTTATCAGATCCTAGATAGATAAAGAGGTTACCCATCATATCATGTCAATTTCTACACAATCTACATGTAAAGGCGACCAGCTAAAATGGCGACCATAACATATCTACTACTGTTTGTTAGTGTACTTGTTGGTAAGTATTTTCAGTGTATGTAAGTGTATAATGACTTCTGTTGTATACTAAGTTAAGTGTACACGTCCCTACTTCAGTTAAATATCATAATCAATGATCAATTTGTTTATGTCTTTTCCATGAAATATTACCAACACATGATATCGAGAGACACACATCGTATAGATTTAGCAGCACCAAAATGCCGCGAGCTGGCAAACAAAGGATTACATTAAAATTCAAACGAATGAATAAAACCTTTCATTACAAATTTAGTATTAGTGAATAATATCTATTGACCTATTTAGGATTATTTACACATTAAGAATGAGAATGACTATTTAATCCACGACTTTATACGTTTACAAAATGTTTACTAGTTCAAAAACATCGTCGCTCTTTGTGAGTACTGTTTATCCATAAAATCAGGTATCAACGAAAAGATCTTTCTACGAGATTTGAGCCCCATGAAAAAAATGCATTTTACAGAACGGTATACAGTACTTAAATAACTGAGCTATTAGGTAAAACTACAAGCGATGCGATTGGTTTCCGAAGGTGAAGGTTTTAACGTTGATAAGTTTAAACAAAAGATAAGTCATTTTCACTGAAATAAGGAAATGAGCGAGGGCTTTATCGTTTTCTTCAAGTACTAGTAATATATTCTAACGACGGCATTAATTCATCTTCGTCATCAAACTACAGTCATCATCATCATCATCATCGCCACCGCCACTACCATCTTCAGCATCATCATACTACATTTATTATCATCGCCACCGCCACTACCATCATCAGCATCATCGTCATCATCATGACAACCCATTCATCATTATCATGGCATCAGCTCATCAACACCACCACCACCATTTCATAATCATTGACTGAATCATCATCATCATCATCATCATCATCATCATCATCATCATCATCATCATCATCATTTCCTCCCCCTCCTCCTTCTCCACTTCCTCATCATCATCATCCAATACATCATCATCTGCACACCATTTCATCATCGTCATCATCATTACCCCGATGCATCCACATCATCGTTCTCCTCCTCCTCATCATCATCATTATAATATCAGTACTACATCTTAAACACCAAAAAAAATGCATGCTCACCCTTCCACAACTACTCGTGCACGCACAACTATACAACACGAAGACAATTTCAGACCAATACAACAAGAACAAAATACTACACCATAGATCCCCGGCGTAGAGCTGTACTGACCTTGAATTATATAATTAAACATATACAGGGTATTTAAAGCAGTTTAGTTCCGCATAGACACAAATCACTATTTTCGGTCCAGGTACATAATATAATTTCAATACTTTGACTTGATTGTATTTCTTACAATTAATTAAAGTTAGGAAAGTTTTTAAGTGAACAAGGTTGTAAATTGTTAGTACCAGTATTGTTTCTGAAGCTATTAACAGCTGAGTAAATTGTTCTCCTATAACACTATTAAATTTATCATAGTTTAACCACTTGTATATTGGAAATCAGGAAACACAAAACGATTGTCAGCCATAATTGTTATCATTGGCTCACGTAATAAACGGGGGATTCGCATTTTATAGAAACGAAGTAACGTCAGCGCGATAGCAATAACGCATACACATGAGAGCATTGCTGAAATCTCCTCGACGGTATGCTAGTGGGTTCACAACCGTCAGGAAAATATGACTAAATTGTTAAACCTTGGCAAACCATGTACTCGACAACTTGATAACCTAGCTTAACCCAAAATACAGTGACTGCTTCTTTTAACAATACTTCATCTAAGGCAATCTACTAGCTCTTTATCTTACTCGGCACACTGATGACAATGTAGTTCTAACAGGTGTCCAGGCTGAGGTTTGTTGGTACTGGGACGATATCCTAGAGGAAGAGGACAGCATCATCTGCTACTCTGGCTGTTGTGGCGATGAGTGTTGCGATGACTATTGGTAAGTTAAATTTTTGGTTGTAACTTAAAATTGTCTGAACTATTCTTAATTATCATTAATATCCCTGTAACAAAACAAATAAGTTATTTTCATTTTTAAGACGAGTCTGACTTATTACAGGTCCGACGGAAGTATCGCCGGTGCAACAGTTGGTAGTATCATCGGTTTAGTTATCCTCCTCTCCATTTTCATCACCATCATAAGGATATGCTGCCGTGCGAACCAGAGGAATCCAAGAGTTTACAGGCGTCCTGTAACTACTCAAGTGGTCACTGTGGCCAGTACAAGTAAGTAATTCAAGAAGTCACTGTTGTTAATTGTGGTCATTACTTTGGAGCGATGGATTTCGTTGGGCTCTTTAGAATTTGTAGATTTAAAAGTATCCGTAAACAATCTTATTTTGAAATTCATTGATTGTGTGGACATTTGAAAATGAAAAATATTTAGTCATTTAATGAGAACAGGTAGACAAATTCCTTTTGATAAATCACAACAATGCTAAGTTCCTGTTTTCTTCTCGAACACAACTCTCATGTACAAAATTAAATTAAGAACCTAATAAGAGGAATCATATTTTCAAAACACACAATAAACAATGTAATTTGTTTACCAGGCATACCTTTATGAATTCGGAACTCATGTAGTCACCAGATATCACTTTGATATTGAAAAAGGAACTGATACGGTGATGAACTATTTCGAGATTTTGAGATGCGTCTGTAATCCTTATAAAACATATAAATATGACATTACACATTTTTTCACAATCAATCAATTTCTTTTGACAGACACATCGAATAACATGGTAGCCACACCCTATATGAATTACCCTCAGCAAACACAGATGACAAGTCCTGTTGCACCGCCAGCTTACGAACAGGTTGTTCAGGATGGTGCTCGAGGCGGAATTGTCAACCCCAGTTACCCCTACGGTCCTCCCAAATACTGAAACACCAAAGACATGGGTTACATCACTACACAATGTATTCATTTCTTCTTACATGACATTGTTCCTATATCCACAAGGTTCATTTCACATAGGGTTTAATAGCAATGTGAACGATGTTGTCAGAGAAATACGTGTATAATCAAACTGATGTAGAGAACACAAAATATGATATTTGTGTCAATTTAATGAGAATTCAATTATTATCAAGTCCAAAAATTGTGTTTTAAGTAAACTATTTGGATGATAATGATGAAGCTAATATTTACTTGCATTCTACACAAATGAAGTCATTATCAGATTTCCGTTTAAACTATTACAACCTATCACTGTGTTAGATAACACCTCATTCCCTGTTTTGTAGCTGCTGAGGATCGAAGTTCAGAATATTAAAATCAGTGCAAGAATCTTTAAATTCTAATAATTTCTTAATTCTTCATCTTAATGAAACATGGCAATTAAACCTGTTACTAAATCCTGACGCTTTCAGCACTGCTATGTTATTCGTTATTTTTCATGGATAGTCTTCTTTATCACATCCGAATAAATTTTAAAACATTTTTAATTTGATGGCCGGTTGACTAAGCGATGTGAAAATGATTACTCATGATAATTTAATCATACGAGTTATACAAAATGCACTTTTGTAAGCATAGGCAACATTTCATTATTTTTCATAGTCCTAATTAGGGACGAAATATTGTTGTAAAATAATATAATAGTTACATTGTCGTCTGCTTTACTAACCAGACTATTTATAGAAATAGTTTCAGGAAACACTTTTAAGGAATGACATACAATACGTAACAAAATCAGTGTTATCGTTCAAATGTTTATATTCATTATTCAGTGTGAAGGAAAATACAAGCTATTATTCAAAATAGTTTGTGAAAGAGCAAATTCAGTTGAGATATTATTGAATGACCTGTACTCTAAGCCGATTGGAACAGCGGTAGCTTATGAATGAGAAAATGAATTAATAGCATTTATAGTGGAACGGCTGTAATATCAACAAAATTGACAGAATGACCATCCAACTTATTTCATTTTGTTATGCAATAGCTACAATGACACCTACAATGAGATGCCTCTCAACAAGTTCCGAAACTTAACAAATCAAAATATATATCAGATTTCTCCAGTGTCAAGACACTGGGTATTTTATATTTGTTATAACTAACACCAACTGATGGGTTAATACTAAAGTAACATAAACTTAATACATGTAGTCACAGAAACCAGCAATATCCTCCAAAATGGATACAGTCGTAATGTATCTGTATAGAATGTACTTGTACTGTGTGTTGTAATTTGCGACACTCAACTAAAGGATGATTTTGATGGAGGTCATTAAAACACAGAAACCTACAGACAAAAAATGTGTATATATGTTTCACCATGAGTATATAAAATACTAGTACTACCACAAAAAGAAAAACACCGACATGTTGACAAAATTTCAATCCGTATTCAATGACATTGACAAAGAAAGTACAAGGAGAAAAGGAACCAGTGTTTCGGAAGATTAGCGTCTTCAGATTCATCGAAGTTGGCCAAGGTAAGCAAGATCATGTTCTGAAATGAGAATAAGTTAAACAATAACAATACAAATAAGCGTACCAACGACAATCGAAGACGTCTGATGTCGTATCGGGCAAAGAAATGGAATGTTTCCCAAGGGGACCTTGTGGTTTTCATCAACCTGCATTTCTCAAATTCCTTTGCTGTATATTTTTTCTCTCAGCTACATGTCACAAAATCTTAATTGCAAATCCCGATAATTTGAATAAGCCGTTGCAAAGTGCATAATATGCAATATGTAAACACAATATGTTTGGGGAAGTATGATTGTTACTGTCTAGAAATGGCAAATAGGGAAATCGAAATCATCACGCTTATACAGCTTGGTTGAGATTAGTACTTGTTGGCTTCTTTGTAGGAAAACATAGAAGTAAGCTGTTGGTGTGGAGGAGTCTGTAGTGACCTTGATTTTTAGTTCTGGTGGTTACAATATGTATGTCACGGGAGACATCGTTGGTCAATACATTTATTTCATCTGGAGACAGGATATCGTCGATATATCTAAACGTGAAATTACAGGAATTGATAAAGTCCTTGTGGCCTGGTTTGATCAGGTCTTCTGTAGATTCAGTCAAGTATGAAAACAAAAACATTTCAGATAACTGGAAGACAGTTTGTTCCCATGAATGCACTTATAGCGTGAGGGAAATTTGACCACCAGACTCAACAAAGATATTGTCAACTAGAAAGTGACCACTTCATCGGAAACGTAATCGTGAAAAATGAATACGCCTCGTAATTTTGTTGGTGGCATACTGGAGCTCTTAAGACTGGCTACAGACTGGGTCCAGATTCCAACAGCTCGCCATTGTATAAAAATGCAAATTGAGACGTTAGTACAAATACAGCATTATCTATATCTATTATCTTCTGGAAAAAACATCAATTGTCTTTTTTATATCATCCAATGGGAAGAGACATCATCATCAACGTTTCTTTGAGTTAAACATCTCATATCAAAACTTTGAGAATTGCTTATTTAAAGATTTTTAAAACTGATGACAATGATACATTAACCTTGTACATCACGAACTACGTCATTGACTATGACAATCTGCTCCACATACCTGAAACTGAAATCAATAATCATATCAGACTAAGTCCTCAACCTAAAATTCTTCTTTTTTTTGTAATATTCGGCATAAGAAAGTGCACATATATATATACAACTGTTTATAAAACAATATATACCACTGTACTGTCTGTAATTCTATTCATTTAGTGAGTTAATCCATTCATTGAATGAATGACCGTAAAGAACTTGACGAAGTATATCAAACAATATATATAGCTTTCAATCGATAAAATGCCACATAGTTCACTCTATTCCTAAATACCTGGACCATATCTAGTGCAAGAACTGCACGAGGTTCATCTTTGGGACCGACGTGGACAAGGAGCTAATGTAGAGCTGTTCGGGTTACGGCAAACGTATGGGTTAGACTGCAGAACGCACGATTGCATATAACTGTTAAAAACAACATTTTGCATTTCTGAAACTTTTCATATGTGCGTGTAATATTGACGTTTCCATTCTCTCGAAGATTAACTTGCACGTGGAGTCGTTACATTCTCTAATATCAAGTCTGCCTGTTACGCTGCAGGCGCAAAATCATGGAAAGCCATTTTACTATCAAGGTATTCACTTGTTCAAATAAATGATATCACCTAATAGAATAAGTGAAAGCATCCACAATAAATATATAAATAAATGAGCAAGTGAGATCACTGCACGAGATATAATTGGTAAAGTTATCATTCGTCTTCACCACACAACTTAAATTATATTATACACTAATGATCGGATGCACTATTTTTAACTATTTATTCTCCATCTTTCGCTGTACCGGAACATTTAGATCTGGATATCAGCACTTTCTAAAATTGAAATATGATTTATATATGCGAGAAAAAATATCTTTTATACCAATCAAAAATTGTTCTTTAATATCAAGAAAGAATTGGAGACGATATCAGGAAGTCGACTTTTTTAAAATTTGCTATTTGGTGATATAAGAAACATATATTCATTACTCGATTTTGAATACTCTGTCGTACAAAATGAAGTTTTCCACTCAGGCCGCGATTAACGTGTAAGCGCATGCTTGAATTTATGATGAGTGATGTTGAAAATGTAAATAATATTTAAAAGAATTTCATGAATGTGATTTTATCCTTTCTGATTACAAGATGCTATTCTGACTATTCCCGAAAACGTTCCTACCTTGCAGGGAAACATTACATTCAGGAAACACTCTGGTGTAAATAATTTTTGTTTTAATTTACGATTGTATTTTTAAGATAGTATATATTTTAGATGTCAAGCAATATTATATGGTGCCCAAAATTTGATAACAGATATTATTGAAGTGCGAGACCACGTTATTGAATATGTGAAAAATAACCACTTTTCCTCAAACAAATGATACGACTTTATTTCTGTTAGGTCAGTGACTAGATACATAATGTGGTAATGGACTTAAGGAGATTCAATGTACTGTATTTACATGGCCTATCAAAGGCATTTGATATTGTACCGCTAAAAAAGACTTATCAGTAAGCTACACGGTATTACCAGGGAAGTGATCTGGAGTGAAAGTTTCCTACTTACTGAAGGAAAACACATGCATGAGAATCACTCGTTCAGAGAACCCAAATGTCAGAACTCGGATACAAGATTAAGGAAAAAATACATAGGCGTTACAATAGACAGCAACTTGACATTTGAAGAGCACATTTGCAACAATATAAAGAAAGCTAACATCATGTTTACGATTATAAGAAAAGCATTTCAGCACTAAGATCCAGACCTGTTCATTCCTCTATACGAGAGCCAATTCAGAACTCATCTTTATTTCGCAAGTCCAGTATGGTCCCCATACAAGTTAAAATTCATAGGAAAAAATAGAAGTATGGTAAATATGAGATACACTGAAGACAATTTCCAAGTCCTCATATGGATGGTTTGAGATATGCAGAGATACTCGGTAAACTGATGCTATCAACACTTCAACCTACAGACTCTATGAAATAATTCACAACTTCTATGACCCAAAAGCAAGCGAAATTGTAACACTTTGGAAATAACACAACAGAACGGAAAGGGAAAAAATGTCAGTTCGCTGAAAATATATCCCCAACAAAGTCGTTCGGAGCTGAGGAAGAACTATTTCATCCTACGTACAGCAAATATATGGAATAACCTACCAAAAAAAAACCAGTGACTACATTTTCCAAAAATACCGTTAAACCAGGGTTGGACAGATAGTGGGATCCTCTAAGATAACTACGTAGTCAAATAATAATATGAGGTGGCGACACGAACATTATTTGGAATGAAAAGTCTGATAATGAGTACTAGGAAAGTACTGCACCGGAAACTACCTATAAGTATCGCTACATGTAATTATATGTCTTACAAATGTATGCGGTGGTGTGGTGGTGAAGTGTGTGCGCATGTATACATAGGAATTGTTCTAGAGTTATCTCCCGCACGCACTTCCACCGTCATTTCCTGTAGAATGGTAAACAACCTCTGTCTAACTTAAATTTTTCAGAGATGGTATTTAACAGTTCAAGATATCATATTTATTTATATATCAGTTATTATAATCTATTTTTTCAAAAGGTTTTTTGGTAGAGACAATAGAAAATATATCTTTTACTGATACTGTTCAATTCAGATTAGTATTTTTTCACAAATTTGTCAGCTGTCAAAATCCAGTCCACTGAACGAAGGGCTGGAGTTTTACTCGGGTTGTCTTAACTTTCAGATACATGTGGTTGTGGTCCTTTTTTGGTCACATATGGTCTCCTACATGCTAGTTTGTAATTATTTGTGTACATCATGTCTCTCGTTCCCCTGTTTTTATGTATGATTTCCTGTAGTGCATGGCCTAGTTTTCATACATAATGTAATTTTATAAGAACCCGTAGACACAAGAACTTATCTGTTTATTATATATGGATGGTCAGAATATATATACATAAGTTTACAATCAACTCGATTATACTCCGACGCTACTGTATTTCTCAGCCATGTCGACTGTTTTGGCAGGATTTCCTATAATTATGTAATATTAAAAAAAATTAGCATTGTCATATACAAAGTAGAAAGAACACTTGAATGTTATCTCTAAATTATGACAAAGCATCTGAAAATATCAGAAGATAAAAAGTTTAACAAAAAACAGCAAAAGCAACCATTAAGACATCTTTATGCTGGATAAAAATTTTAAATAAGATTAATTTTGATCATCTAAAAAGAATGATACTGGAAAGTTGAGTGTAACATACACCTATCCTGGATACTCCAGGAGTTACCATCAATTTCACTCTCTACACCCCAGGAACATTTCATGGTAAAATTCAAGGCATAAGTTAAGTTATTTGGTTGGTCAAGAGCAGGTTTCAGGCGAAAAAAATGACCAATCACAGACAGATATTCTCCTTTGATGATACAAAGGAGCGACACTTGATTTCAAGCCAGTACAACATTATGCGACCTCAGGATTCCTTTGATGTATATAAAAGGATAAAACTGGTCTTTTCATTTTATCCACAAGGTGTCGTACATGGAACCATGAAATGTTCCAGAGATGCTGTGAGCATAACCCCTGAAGTATCGAGGATAAATCTGTGAAAGTCTTAAACATACTGGAGATTATTGTGCTTGAACATCTTAATTACAACCTTATGTGCATGGATAAGCCAAACTTCAGAATAAAACACCTAACCTTTGAGTAAAAAAATATTTCATTATATGATATCTCCTTTTAGGAACCATTTTTTTTTTTTTTACACCAGAGATTGCAATATAATTGAAATTATTAAGTAGGAGTTGTATCATGCTTCTTCATGGTCTGAATTTCATTAGAGGACTCAACATAATTGTTAATTGTATTTCAGAAGTATGATGGTATCTTAGTTGGCTGCAAGTGAAACAAGTAGATACAGATGTATAGCTGACAGATGACAAACATGAAGACCTCCTTCACACACTGGGCGTTTGTTGGACCAAACCTCTGGGCCATTATATCACTGATCCTCATTCCACTAACCAGAGCGGGTGAAAGTACTTCAGGTGAGATGCCAAATCATTTTCCAGTTATCTTCATGACTTACCAAAGGAAATTAAGAAAAGATTTAAATATAAATCAATCAATATATAGTTCATTACATATTTGGGACATAGATAATTTTAACAACGACTGTGTCCTGGGATATGTAATATAATAAACTTGCATGTGTTGTAAAGTAAAAAATAATTATTTAAAAACAAAATATTAATTATTTAGTAGAATTTATATAGCAAAATTATGCATGTAGGCTGAAAGCCTCTGTGTCCATAGAAGAGAAATACATTCAAAATTATAAGTATAATATCAATGACTTCTAAATCAATAGAAGTTATAGTTCTAGAATTCATAGATTACATTTTGATAGGAATTATCCAGCAAATGTTCAAATTCGCAAATGGTATTAGCATTTACAATGTCTGTAGGCAGATGATTACCCATATCAACAACAATATAAAAAAGTTCTGTCTCAGTTGTTTGTGACAATGACATTTGTAAAGTTTAAGGTTGTGACCATGTGTCCTTTGGTTTGTATTAAATGATAATAGATTGGGAGTCATTTTTCTGTTTGAAATATTATTGATAGTAAGGGAACTCATCTAATATTATGAAAATGCTACAAGACTTGAAATAGACAAAAAAAGGCACAGTAACATTATTTCAATATTTGCTGGCCAATTGCACTTTTATGCAGTGTAAACCATGATTATATCTAGGCTAGGGTCCTACATGAGAAAGGATTGACTAATTGTTATCTGGGCTTGAGTCTGTCAAGATTTTATTCAGATCCCATGTTCAAACTTTTAAAATGATAAATATGAATTTCCTGTAATGCATACTATACAAATGTACTGTGTAGTTTTAGAGTGTTTAGAGTTAAAAGAAATATTGATCTCTGTATATTGTTATTGTTAAAGGAACATTGTTCATTTTCTATTTGTGCAGTCGCAAATTGATAATCATTGATCCATGTCTTCTGTATGGATTCTCTTTAGTTATTGATGCTAGATTTATAACAGATCAGCATGTCATTTTGTGAAACACCCTATTGGTTAAAATCAGATTTTGTGGCCAAAAATAATGATTGAGCAATTCTTTAATTTGTTTTTTTTTTTTATTTTTTAAGATTTACATAAAAGAAAAATGCATATATATAAAACAAATTGTGATTTTTTTTTCAGTGACAAGTGATAGCTGTGGTACGTACATCAGTTTAAAGAAAGAAACACATGCCGTACATTGGAAAGGTGATGTTCTAAGAGTTGACTGCACCATTTACATACAAAACGATGCTATGTATGAAAACACTCTATGTGCTAAAGCAGTGGAATATGATGTGAAGGATCAAGGGTTCATTCTCACCTTCCTGTCAGGGTCATCATACAATGAAGACACAAAGGTACATATCATATCTGACCTCTTACACTATGTCATTGACCATTTATTCTTAGAAAATATACATCAACATATGGGATCTTACATAAATTTCTCTTTGATTTATCCTTGATGACACCAGCTAAAGAATTCAAAATCACCTTGCATCCATGGCCCTCCCACGGCCATTGTCCATCCATCAGCAATACAATATTTCTTGAGAAGTACTGGATGGATATTTCTGAAATTTCATATGTAGGTTCCCCTTGCTCCTTAGTTGTACCAGTGTGATTTTGGGGCTGATAAAAAGGCGAATGGCTGATAGGCCATCTTGTTTGTTTCAACTCTTATAGGATTATTATTGCTATTTGTTAGAGGAATTTTCATGTTTTAAATAATTCAGAACAAAACCCGAGGAAAGAATAGAACAAAAGGAAAAAGATTAAACTTTTTAAGAATTTAATAATGGTGGGCAAAAGGAAAAGGAAATAATGGGAACAGATTCATCATTCACATATCAAATGAAAAGAAATTGAAGATCATTTTTTCACAACAATAATTATCAAGGCAAATATCACAGAAAATAATGGTAGACATTTCTACCAATAGTCTGCATAATTGCATCACAATGCAGTCTGTGACTATATGTGAAGTAATTTTATGTTCTAAACCTGATGTCATAGTAGGTTATAAGACACGTCTGGAACCCGCAAAATATTACACTGGTATAGCAAGGCAATCATGTTTATCAAAATATTGTTTAGCTGGTTTGCTCACTCGAATGGGGATTATATTTACTTTGTTATCATACATAAAAAACATTATAGGATATTTTTTTTCAAATTTCTCCACTCTTTCAATTTTGACAGTACTTTTAATTTGAATTTCAAAAGTTAAGTATACGACATGTAGGATACTTGTAAATTCTCATTTTAAATCTGTGTGCATTTAAATATATGCTATAACCTAAAATGGATGACACATGTATTGTTATCTGCTTTATTGATTTTCTTATGTACAATGTTTAACCTGAATGTTTCATTTGTACATAGGGGTAGGCAGTTTTCAGTCTATAGTTAGATATGTAATAAAAGTCTATAATTGTTGACTGCAGTACTTCACTGCTTCTGAAACCAAAGGCAACATATCCTACTGTGCTAGAAAAAGGTACACCCTGGCACTGCAATTCTCCACTGGTACCAGGAAGTCAGACTCCCACGTATACCTGAAGATAACGCAGACACCATTCAGGCCAAGTAAAAGTAAGTACTTACTTCTTTCACATGTACTGACAGCTAAATCTTAAGGTTAAAACATAAATGATAATTCTCATTGGGTGCATTGGGGTCATTTCTATAAATAAATTCTGAGAAAAAACAGCAACCAATGTTACAGGTTTGTAATTAAAATGTAATTGTTGGATCATGGACATTATAAGTACGGTGTCCTTACTACTGACTACTCAAGACATTAATCAAATGTTGTTAGCTGCATATTTCAAAGTTTTAAACCAATAAATCGTGTAAACCCAAGCATTATTACAGAGAATTTGTTTTGTGTGTGTGTGGTTTTTTTTGTTTGTTTGTAAACTGTTTATAAGTCAAATTCTATAAGTGTTCAAGTATTGTAACTACTCCTTGGACATTTCAAGCTCATGCTCACCATTAATTTGATTTCTGAATAATGTTGTTACTTATGTTAATGTCAAGTTTGTCTTTATATCACATTTCCTCTGACAAAAGAGAATTGATAGCAAACATGTTTTGCTGTAATTAAACATATAGGAAATTTTTTCTTGACAATGACTTTGTACAGTATTTAAAACATGTCTGTATACCAATCCATTTGTTCACATACAGATTCGAAATGTTAGTTAAAATCAATAAACGTGGCAGGTGATATGTGTATACAAGGGGTTCTCTGAGTACATTCTTAACACTGTGTTTCCAAAACCTTTTTTTCTGTACATATTCAAGAGTTCATTCTCGATGTTTTGCCTTTGCCTTAGATAGAGTTTGTATTCTGATATTTTCCATATTTTGCCTGATTAAAGCAGTCCTGTTAAAATTTGACTCTTTATTATACAGAGGCTGACCCGAGGACCTAAATGCTCACAGATCCCTCCAGATTAAGTTCTGCAGGTTGAAACAGAATTTGCCTCTTTGAAATTTCTTTGGACACTTAATCTAAATGACTGATTTCTTGTAACTTGTTTGATTTAAGCTATTCCATGACAATGTTGTAGTTGTCCCTATGGTGTTTCAGTGGGTGATAACGTACATCCTACTTATCATATATCAAAGTATGGTGATTTCACACTGTATTATCTACGAGAAGTAATGAATGTTTTCCTTGCATCTAGGTTTAAGACCCAACACAAGGGAACACTTACCACAGGTAATGTACAGACTGATGGGAGGTATTGGATCAGCCATCATGGTGGCCCTGATGGCTTCAGTCATTGTAAATCGACGTCGTAGATCTAGACTAGGTAGAGGTGGAATAGTTATCAGGCGAGCAGGCGAGACTGATCATGAACAGGGTGAGGAAATGGTTGCTTTCAACCCATCATCACGTAATAACCCTAGAACTTTCCCAGCGACAGGTGCACAAACTCGTTACAAGGAACCATCTCATGTGTACCCAACCCAGCAACCCATCCGGCCACCTGCCTATTCTGAAATACAAAGTAAGTAATAGAAAATTTTAAGGTGTAGTCAAGAAAGTTAAAACAAATAGAAATATTTGAAATATGTAAAATAATTAAAAACTACATTTCAAAAATAATTCATGGGTGTGGTCTTGCATTGCAAACAAACAAAATTTTAAAGGTTTGCACTAGCACATACTACATCTATGTTAATTGTGTATTTGTGATAACCCCCAACCCCCCCAACAAAATTGGAGGGGAGTAGAGGGGGTAAACTGGAATACGGTTTTCAGTCCATCTGTCCATTGTCCGTTTGTTTGTCTGTAGATGCAACAATGTACTGGCCCCTGTACCCCGCCCCACCCTTATGGAAAGTTAGCCCCTTTGGGAATGCAATGATGTAACGGCTACTCCTTCTATACTACTGAGTGGATTTCAATGAAACTTGTTGGCAATAATCCTTTTACATTTTGCAAATGTGCATAATCTACTGGTATATCAGGTTGAGTTATTTCCCTTTGTCACAAACTTGTTCCCTCAAAATTCTTCACATTGAAGGATTAACTTTTATGTTTCTAATAACCCGAATAACAAGATGTACTCTTAATAAACCCACAAAGTGGTTTATACCAAGAATACACTCCCTTTTTTGTATTATGGATCAATAACATTGATAAAAAGATAAAGAAAGTTAAACCTAATAATTTTAATCAGAGAGCGCAATATTTTTTACATTTATAAAGGACTCTTTTCTTTGGCTGATTGCAGTTGACAATTCCTTATACCACTGCCATCGGCCAATCAAGCATGATGTTGAAAAAAACATCAATTTTTTTATGTTATTGGGTGATTATGAAAATACTAGTCTCATGTAAGATTTTGTTAGGATTGAAAGGTTATCTGTTTACTATATCAATATCTGCATTATGAACCTCTTTTTTTTTCATTGTCAGATGATCAAGCTAATTTCAAGCAATACCCAGATTCAGCTCCACCAAGGTATGAGGACATCGCTGACTCAAAATCTCAGCCAAACACTTCCAGCATGTGAACTTGTTTTTGAGTCGTGTATTGATTTCTGAAGAGGCTTTTGGAATTAGTATCACACAAACAGGCAATCTAAAATTTCTTGTAATGATTTTAAAACTTACCTAAAAGTCTGTTAGTTTGTTGTATGGTGGAGCATCAGTAATCTGTCTGCCTATCGTCCTTTTGTCAAATTTGTTTTTTAAAGCTTCTTTTTTAGAACAGGAAGAGCTGGTATTCAGATGTCTGGCCAGTAGTATACTTTGAAATTTGAATGGAGTGCTAATTTTTGTTTTTTGTTTTTGTTTTTGTACATGATTTACATTGGTCTTCATGGTGTAGGGATTAGAAGTGTGTTCCAAAATCAGGACTTCCTGAAGCATCATCGAGATTAAAGCAATATATGGGTGTGTCATGTACGCAAGAATTGTAAATTGTTTTTGATATGTATGTTTAGATAAAGTTCAACTTTTATGTAATCAAGTTTCTGAAGGTCAAGGAAGTTATCATGCACTAGTAACTATATATACTTTCCTTAAATTGATGACTGTATTTTAATTCCGAGGTCACAACTGATCAGGTATAACATTTGGTACTACAAAAAATGTCAAAAGATAACAAAAAATGCAGACTTTAACGACCAGAAGTGGGAATTGTTTTGTTAGATAATGTGTCGAGAACAAATATTAGCTTTAAACAGTTGAGTTGGCATAAAGATTACCCTAGTAGTAATAAGATAATGGTAAAGAGCTGTAAGAATCAGTGTTACAATCTTAGTTACACACATAGGCATGCATTTTCAATTATAAAAGATTTTATCTCACATTCAGTGTCACTTGGATCCTTGGTAAATCATTTACATCTGTAAATGTATCAGATTCCAATTCCTTAATGCTGTAGCCACTTACAAGCTACTGTAACAGGCTTCTGACTACAGCTTGCTATTGATGTCAAACATGTTGATCATGAAATGAAAATTATCATTATCTCCGAAATGTAACAAAATACAACATCACAGCACCATGCTCTTCAATCTCATGGGAATCTGTCTTGTGAAATAATACTGAAACAATAAACTCCAAATTGATTTGTTATGTACATAATTGCTGGACATGAAAAGATTGACACACTCAGTCTCTTATAGTTTCTGCTATAACTCATAATTTGATGTCCCTTGATAATGTAATTCTAAAGTCATGAATTATCAATGTTCTCTTGGATAAGTGTCAGGTTATTTAATGTATAAGACAAAATGAATGCAATCATTCAGCTAGGATAATCAATGAGATCTAGCTACAACCTGGGGACTTATTCCCATCAAGAAACATACAGAACTGAAATTTTTAAGATCCTTGCCAATGAAACAATTGTACATAGATAAAGACATCTCGAGCTGGGTTTATTTCATATGAAGCATTCTTGCACCAATGGAAAGTAACTGGTAGCCAAATATGGAAAAGAAATTTCAAGATAGATTTGATCAGAAGATTTAATCATCATTGCCTAGGTCAGTACTTTTTTATTTTGGATTGTTGTAAATTTTGCACTCCCTGTTACATTTTGATAACAACGAGAATGATGCTACAGAAACGTGTCTGAAATGTTTAACAATTATTGAAATATGTATTATTTTTCATTATTTGTTTACATTGTTTTGTCAGTAATGGCTTTGATGTGCGTTGTGTAATTCATTGTGTTATCCATCCATGTTTCAGTTTATTTAATTGTTTACAGATAACTGTCAAATTATTGAATTCAGTGTATGTGTTATGACCATACTACATTTTAGTTTGAAAGTGTTGGCAACAGAACTCACAGGTAACAGATGAACTTATGGCAAACTCAATAAACATTTTAGGATGCAAAACAATATGTTGACTAATACTTACTTTGTTTATATCAACAACAACTGTGAAACAAGCCATCAACTTATATCAATCACTCTTGCTGGCCCAGATGGAAGCACGTAAGGGGATTTACTGTAGGTGGAGACCAGAGTACACAAGGAAAACAAAAACCCACATGGTCAGGCAGGTGATTCCATACCATGTCCATTCTAGGAACCAAACCCCAAACATCTAAGGGAAAGGCGAGTTATTACCTCTTGGCCACCCGACCACCCAATAGTATACCAGTTTAGTGAGAAAAAATGAAATAGGGCATTTTAAAATTTCGTTAATTTATAAAGCTGATACTATAAATATACTCTACATGTTTTTACATGACATAGCTTTACTTAGATTTACATGACATGTGATAATGGCAAATAATTTTTATAGCATGGCATGAAGCAGGAGACATTTGAATGCTAATTTGTTTTATCTGAAATAGATTATTTTTTCCCAAAAACCATTTCAAACTATATGTACAGTTTCCTAATCTATACCTGTACTTCCATCAGCAATTCTTAAAACAAGATCTGTAAGAGAATAATTAAAGAGATATTTAATTATATTTCAGGATTTTGCTCATGAAATGTCAACAACATTTGAAAAAAAATGAACTGAATTTTATCCAAAATTTGCATATTGATGAAATGAATCTGTCATGTTGATCACTGGATCTAGGTTTTCATTTCAGTGAATTATGAAAGAAAAAGCAGACACTGTATCATTATTGTCATTGCTTCACATGTCATAGACTCAGAATAACTGGATTTGTAGTCAATTAGGAAAAATCGAATGATATTTTTTGTAGTGATAAAAATCAGTTTCATACCATCTGCCTCCAAAGTAAGACTGCAAAAGTTTTATATAACAAAGTTATACAAGTACAGATCTCCTCATAAATCAACGTTTAAATTTGGCTGATAGAGTAAGGAACTAATTGATTTTTTTAAAAATGAAATTGAAGCATTAGTGATTTGGAAGCCCCGAAATATAGTTTTTCACAATGACACTGAATGTGAGACTTTGTGTCGAAACACTTTTTTGTTAATGTATATGTAATTGTGTATTTTGTCAGAAATGGAAATATTTAATCCTTCTTTTTGGGAGGAGAGGCTATGTACACTTTACTTACTAATATTTGCTGGAGAGTAGAATTGATGAGATAGAAAAACCTGAACTGTGTTCCAGGAAGTGTATCACAGCTGGTGTCATTATGGCAAATTGTTTATAATTAATTTTTTCTGATGTTCTATAATTTTTTTTACACTGACACCAGACTGATGTAAAACTGAAGAGAAAGTGTCAGAATAATTTGGACTTGATTATCAGCAGCATTGTTTGATTGTTTTGCTTGTTCTACTTGATGGAAAGTTATCTTTTATAATAATTGTCTATTGTCCATAAATTCCTCAGGAAGAAGGTTAATTTTTTGAGTAAAGAGCATAATCATATAACTGATAAGTACATTGTAAGTATAAGGTGAAAAAAATCTTAGGCTTTAAAAAGTAGATATAATCACAGGTAAATTCTTACTTGCATAGGTTATATATTTTATGAATGCTATGTATAAGATTGCTGATTTTTAATGTTCTAATATTTATCCAGCAATGAGCCCTAAGAGCTAGCATGTTTCACCTTACTATATAAGTCGGGTGATGGACTAATCATGAAAAATATGAAAGAGCATTTGGTTTTATTTAAACTGGTTTTATATTATTCGACATACTGTCAACAGCTTTGACCAGGAGCATTATTTATGGTTGGATATTACCAGACGTGGGTTTATTGTCAGATGAATAAAGTATAAAAAGGCAAAGCTAATTGTGTTAATGGTATACATGAAGTATTAAGTTTTGATTACTTCTGTGTTTGAGGAAGCTTTATGTAGGAGTTAATGTATTCCTGATTAGAGTTTAATCATAAAGTGATGAATTTGTGTCAACTTTGTTTAAATGTGTTCAATGAAATATTCAGGAAATAGTTAATGATATAACACATTTTTTTCATCAAGTTTGTAAGTTTATAAATATGAAACAAAATACAGCATGATCAACTTTCATGCGTCAATCCAAACATTGTTTAACAACTATAGTACATTTGGAATGTACAATGAAATTGACAAAAGTATTTTTACCATAATATTTATGTTGTAGTGCACAAATGCAGAAGACATGCTTACCATCTTTAAAAAACAGTTTTCACATACCATTGGTCTTATTAAGGTGTAGGGACAACACTATGGTAAATTTATATCATTGGTTGCAATTTGAAAAAGTCTGTTTACATTAATTCATGACATATACTAATTTGACGTGTTTCCAATGGAAGGAAACTAAAAATACACGTTATTGATATTTTCATATGATGAAACCAGAAATCATATGTGCACATATATACTTTCAGCTGACCATCTTAGGTGGTGGGCTGATAAAATTGCTGTGTGTCCTCCTATCTCTGAACAATTCTTGTTATTGCTATTTCTTGGTATAAGCTTAATGAATCTTTCTCAAATTTTATATATAGGTTTGCCTTTTGTCCCTAGTTGTGCCCTTAGATTTTGAGACTGGATTTTGAGACTGATAAAAAAAACAAAACATGGTTGAAAGGTGGCTTTGTTGGATTTGACTTTGAAAGGTAGCACTGAATGCATCTTTCTCAATTTTCATATGTATATGTATATATTTTATATATATTTCATATATAATGACAGAGTGGCAACAATCTTTGATTGGACTGGTGAATATTATTATTGATATTTCTTCCAAGGAATTCTCAAATTTCACTTAATTAAGGGAAAATAAGAGGAAAGTGAAAAGAAGGAATAAGATCAAACTTTTAAAGAACAAATGAAGAACAAACAAAGATTAAATGATGGTAAGCACAAAGATCCCTCAGGGATAATGTATTGTTTGTGGTTGTCTTTTACACTTTTATCTCTTTTGACTGGACTGCATGATGGTCAGTTTTACTAAAGTTTTATAAATCAATTTACACTAAATACATGTGATAGGTCTGAGAGCCTTGTACAAAGATACATTGTTTATGCTTTAAATATTCTCTCAGACATCTTACTTGTTGCTTTTAATAGAGTTTTCCCATACACATTGTACCTATCTGTGAGTTATCTCCCTTACACATACTCTGCGTTTTAGTTATCACCCTTAAATGCTAGACTGCGCGGAGTAATATATTGTACCAAGTGTTTATAGTTATCTCCCATACATCATTGTACGATCATTTGATCAACAGGGAAAGGTTTGTGTGTTAGTTTCATATATTCTTAAGTGTGCTTGTAAGGGCCATAGTCCTTTCACAGCATACTGTGTTTTTGTCAGTTATCTCCCTTACACGACCTAATGTTTATTTCAGATTTTCTCCCTGGCACATTGTACTATTTGTTATTTTTTAGGATTATCACACTTACACAGTTTACATGTGCATAGGATGTATGTTAGAATTACAACTGATGGTTGCAACACTGTTGTTCATTCTTGGAAATGGAATATGGCAGGACTTCACAAAGATTTTCAGGACATGTGTTGAAAATTTATGCATAGATCTGACATTTTCCTTTCAAATGTTAATCGATAAATAGATGAATGGTCCGTCCTCATAACTAGAAATAAATGCCCTTGTGGTCTTTGGCAGATTTTTTCCCCTCACAAATTTTATTGTATAAGAGTTATAACTCTTACAAACCATATTGTTTTGTACAGAAAAGAATTAGCAATGAACACATTTCCTTTTGTGTGTTTTATTTATTTTTTCAAAATTGTTTCAAACAGAAATGGCTAATCTTGTTGACCCCAATTTACCATACGAAAGGAAGCCTCAGTCAACTATAAAGAGATGAAAGCCTGGTTTACATGTGTTACCATCCTTATAACCAGGGACCTTACTTATGGACTGGATGCTTAATTCAATAGCAATGTAGTAACATTAAAAAAATGATGCTATCCATGATTGATGAAACTCCTACTTTTGACAGCAACAATAACATTAGTTTTTTGGCTGGTTGGGTTTATGTGGAAAAGTTGTCACAGTGTATCAGTTACCCTTAGTCAATAACAGGAGTTTCATGTTACATTCAAAACAAACAAAAACAAAACTCTGGTGTACAATTTCCAGCAGATGGTATATGTAATGTGACAATATATATCTATTATTTATTCTAATCCAGTCAACTTAACTTTGCACCTTTCTGAACTAAAGGATTTTTTTACTGTTAAAGGTATATAGAGTTGTGTAATACAAATAACACACCTGTTTATATTAACACTGTGAATGGATTTTTTTAGTGGTATTTTTTATGTGTTGTTGGATTGTGTTTCTATTTATAGATTGTTGACACCTTGATTAATAGATATTGTCCTAACCATTTGTTTTATCTAGTACCTCTACAAAATTTTCTTCTTATATTCTTAAACGTCTAGTTAAACTTCAGATTTGTTACTATCATATTTATAGCAGTTTTGTATCTGTTTTTAATACTTTGTGTGTTGGTTGAGTTTTTTCACTAGTATTATTGTGTGCCAATGTTTTTCACAGAGTTGTAAAGCCATGTTTCAAAATTGACCAATCCCTAATTGCTGTTGATTTGCCTTTATTTACTACAACAAGGTGTTTATATGTTGTATATGTTGTTATGATTTGGTAAGTATTTGGCTTAAACCTTTTCAAATTATTAGAAGAACCAATAGAATTGCTTTCCACAGGTTGAAAATTGTTAATTTTATAGGTTGATAATTTTCAAGGTGACCTTAGTTTGAAGTCATGTAGAATGATGTTTAGCTAAAAATTTGAACAGAGTCCCTTCAAAGGAATGATGTTCCAAAATGTTGTTGTTGTTGGAAATACATTTGCATGTTAATCATGGTGCAATGCCCCACTCCTTGCCTTCCCTCACCCTCACCCCCACCCCCCACCCCCAGATCTTGTTGTTTATGGAAATGTTGTAGTCCTATAACATGTTTTATAGGAACATACTTAATCACCACCAACACATTTCACTGTTAAAATCAATGTTATTGTTACTTACTAAAATTTGTGATGTTTTATTATCTACTCAAGGATTAATGGATATAATTGTCAAAATAAATATCTTAAAACAAATTTCTACATGTGTTGATTATGATTAATTAAAAACTGAAAGTATGTGTAATTGTGTATACATATAATTCCTACAACACTGACAACATATGTTTTTGTTTACAAAAAAAGGTGACATGCAAGGAGATTATTTTTCATCCATACTTTAATGTGATGTGGTGCCTTTTAAAGTCAAAATGAATGAAAACAAAAGTCAGAAGTCTAAAAATTGGTGTTTGATCTGCTTGGATAGGAAGAAACAACGATGTCTCCTTGCATATTGTTCAATGTTGCATTTTTGATGATTTAAGTATATAGACCTGATGTACTTATTTCAAGTAAGGTTTCCAAATTTCTTGACCCCATGGTTTTACTTATCTCTGGGGAGGGGGTAAAGTTTACCTTTGTATATATAGAAAAAATACATTTTGGAATATAATTTGTTTATTTTCTTTTGGAAATAGATCACATGTGGTTAGAATTGTGTAGGATGACAATTTAATGATATTCACATATTGACCCTGGCTGAGGGCTGATGCAATGGTTCGAAATGGGACAAACTGACTTAAATTTCAAAATCTCAATACCCATAATGGTAGAATCAAATACCCATCATGGGTCAAAGGGTCTTACAAACTACTTTAACAAAGTTTTGGAGTGTGTTGGGGAATTAAGCTTACAATAGTTTATTTGGTCACTAATTTGCCATAAAATTTATTATGTGTGACAACTTAACACTCATCTTTCAATATACATATAGCATTTTAAGCCCACCATCATCAGATGATGGGCTATTCAAATCGCTCTGCATCTGTAGTCCATCCATAAAAAAATTTGTTATCGCTATTTCTTGAGAAGTTCTGGACAGATCTTTCCCTGTGTCGCTAGTTGTGCCATTTTGATTTTGTTACTGATAGGAAATACAAAATGGCCACCAGGCAGCCATCTTGGTTTGTTTAATGATTTTTGCTATCACTATTTCTTGAAATAAAGGATGGATCTCTCAAACTTCATATGTAGGTTCCCCTTGGTCCCTAGTTGTGCCTGTTTGATTTTAGGACTGATCAGAAATACAAAATGGCCGACAGGTGGCCATCTAGTTGTGCCCTTTCGATTTTGTGCCTGATCAGTAACACAAAACGGTGAAAATGTGGCCATCGTGGATTTTGACTTTGAAAGTTTGTTATCGCTATTTCTTGAGAACCACTTTATAGATCTTTCTCAAATTTCATGTATATGTTCCTTTAGGTCCCTAGTTGTGCATGTTTGAGTTTGTACTGATCAGAAAAACAAAATGGCCGACAGGCAGCCATCTTGAATTTTGCCTAGTGAAGGTTGTTGTTGCTAATTCTTAAGAAGTGCTTACTGGATATCTCTCAAATTTCATACGTATGTTCTATTTGGTCTCTCATTGTGCTGGTTTGGTTTTGGAAATGATCAGAACAAATCAAAGTGGCTTCCAGGTGGCCATTTTAGATCTGGCTTTCATCGCTATTCCTGCAAAGGAATGCTCAACTGTCTTATCATTAAGAGCAAAAACAGAGACGAGAAGATGGAAGAAGGTGTCCTTTTAATGTACTTGTTTCTAGTTAACTAACAAATGTGAAAACTAAGATTCTTGGTCATTTTACAACAAGCCGATTATCTTATATGTTACTTTATAACTGGTGATATGCATTTTCAATGTTAATGCTTATGAATAAGGACTTTTACCCATTTAGACTTATACATTGTATTTTTCTTCTTTCTTCTTAGACTAGCCCTCTTTGATGAGGAAATCTGAATTTGATTTACAATTTTAATATTATTAAATTAAATAAGAAATGTTATTTTGATTGTTTAATTATTCAAATTCTACATGGCAACACGTTTTCTTATAATTGAATGTAAATGTGATTTTTTTAAAAATATTCGATTGCTTATATGATCAAATTTTATTTTGTATCACGGTTTAAAATACATTGTACTATTGTCCTTGCTGTTGTTATTGTGATCACTACACCTGTCCATTGTCCTTCAATCTCTTTATCCATAGCAAAATTATCATGCATTTTAACAAATATTTCCAGACATAATACCGCGATTGGTAAGTCAAAACCAGTGTGAGGTTCAGGGTCAAAGGTCACCATTGTACAATGTGGTTTGTTTCAAAGACATTTAAAAATCTATTCAGGTGATCGTGCACTACTAAAGACTTTACTATACATCTAAGGAACGTAGTTTATTTTTAGAATAGGAATGATTCTTCGGATAAAGTTTCTTTTATCCATCATATTTTGTGAAATTTCTATCTTCCTGACCTATTCAATGTTCTGCCAGACACCAGAACTAAGAGAGCTGAAGTCCTTGGTCAAATAAAAAATCAAGTACAGTTATATATTTGACGCAGACATGTCAGTTTTTATCCAATGTTTCTAAATTTAAGTGTCTAGTTTACCTCAACCTTTCAAATAATTAAAATAAAGTTCGGGGGCATAAATTTAAGTTTTTCCTTAGAAAATAAATATGAAGAAATCTTTGATTTTGTAATGAAAGATCATTTTTTGTTTAATTATAATTCTTTTACATAATGCACTTTTTATTATGTAAATGTGTGAGTTACTTTTCCTTCCTTTGGTAAGTTTTTCGGGGTAATACGAAGTCTTTTCGCCCATCCAGACAGAGGCATTCTGTTTGTGTCAGCTGGCGCGCTGTGTTTGTTAAATAGCATGTTGTAGTGTTTGTCAACTAGCTTGTTGTTTGTTTCAGTTGAAGTGTTGCAAGGTGTTCTAAAATCTTTTTTTGATAATTCTTAACATTAGCTTTGAACCAAAATTTACATTTTTACAAATATATCTAGAAATCAAATCAGTTCTTTTATCCACGAGCTTTCGAAATACAGTTGGGAGAGTAAACGAATTCAACAGAAATACTAGCTTGGTGGTAAATTTCAATTTTTTGGTTTAGCAACGGAACGGTTATGAGATCTCATTTATGCTCACCATAATATGCACAGGGCTATTCTGTATGATTTGAAAGTCTGTGGCGTATTGCTTTCTGCTAAGAAGCATCAACCCAAACGATCTTACCTCGGAAGCCTTTAAGTACAAAGATGCATCTTGTCTGATGAACCAAAAACTTCAATGTAAGCTTTGAACTTATAAATAATTGAGTATTTTTTAAAAAAATATTTTTGTAGATGCCACAAAAAATAATAGAATGATTTGAGATACTTGTACCAACTTAAAAGACATTGGATACGGAATAGTTAATATGGAACAAGACCACTCCTTAATGTGTTTGTTGCATTTTACCAATAGTGATTACACGACAGTGTTGATGCCTTGTATTTACCGATTTGAAATATACGATATCATGGCGAAATCAATTACTGTAGCCGAATAGTTAATAATCTATATCCTTAAGTACGTATTTTAAAAGAAATTGATACTAACAGAGCGCAAAGGTTTTGGAAAGATCTCTTAAGATTTGGTACAAATTAGGAATTAACATAATAAATCTATAGGGTATCAGCCGTGAAAGGGGTAACTTCTCTTAATATTTTCGAAGTGTTTATCAGTTCTTCACTATTCTTTACTGGCATATAACCAAGAACGTTTTGAACATTCTCGCATTCAGACTCTATCATCTTAATCTTTGCGAAATCTGAAGACATTTTTTTTCTCCAGGCATGGGCTGTCTTTGTAGAATTCATTTTCTTGGTGCAAAAGTTACATTTGCTTTCGTGTGGCGCCGATGTCATATTTTGAATGTGCGTAATAGATTCTTTTGTTATTGGCAAATTAAGAAATTTGTAGATGCGCTTTGCTGTCGAAATTGGATGTTCGGCCAACCTTTCATACAACAGAGTTTCCACTTGACCAGGATATTGTTGTTTCAACACCTTGTGCATAGCAATGTTTTCATAAATACGGGAACATTCTAATTTTGCAGTTTGTTGTAAAGGTTGATTCATCATGGTTGGCGTGTTTTCCGCCGAAAGAAGGCGTGGTCTTTGATCACGAAACAAATGGACCACTTTTAGTCCAGGAATCCTTTTGAGCAATATTTCAACTGTAGTCTTCATGTGTGCACGGATTGTTTTAACTAAACGTAATTTACTAGATTCACATTGCATTTGTAAAAGTTGTATACAAGTATTTAAAAAAGAATCCTTTTTGATACGTTTGAACTTTCTTAGACAGTTCTGAAAAGATGTTGGAATATTGTAAGCAATATTGATAACAGATTCCTTATCAAGCTGGTCATAGTCACAGGTTAGCCAAGAAAATAAAAAATCGGCAATCCAGACAGCCAAATGTTTGAATCTGAAACGAAAAGATTAATTTTATTTATACGACTTTTAATAATAAGCATGTTATACTGAAAGAGACAGAAACAAGGACAAAAAAAGGAGTGAGACTATATATGACTGTATGAAAGTGTATATATAAGTCTTTGCCATAAAGATGTCTTAAGGTTGATAAAACTATTGGTTTGGTTGTGTTACTATAAATTATTACAAACAAGCTATTATTCAAGAACGATTTTACCTATTCATCATCGTCGTATAACAAGTGTTTTATGAAATATATGCAGTTAGTATATCTCGGTCTCTGAATCACAAGAAATGGTCATTTCAACCAATAGAAACTAAAATTTACAAATGAGTTTAGGTTCTAAGGTCCAATATACTTGACTCTTTGTCAAAATAATGATATTTGTGGTAATTTTTTTATTATTATTTTATTAACATTCAAGAGAGAGGTATTGTTGTTGTGGAATTCTTTGGGCCTGCAGTGTAGGAGTGCGTACAGTTTTCTTCAGAACTAGAAGATGTAGCAGGGACAAAATGGCATCCCAGATCCTCATTAAACTTAAGATGGCTGGAGATGAGTTTTGTATGCAGCTGTCGTGAACTTCGATATTTCATATAGCTTTCAAGTCATCGTTTGTTTCTTACTATACTACATCCTATATCACAAAATCAGTTACGTTTATCATTGAAGCCGCAGAAAATCGTGTGACACGTGTTTATAATCTACATCACAGCCAACTCTTTTATGTTTATTGTGTTATAAACCAACAGACCATTTGATTGATCGCACACAGGAAAATGTAAAAATATCAAGAGTTGTCTTCATGCGAGATGAAATTTGAAATCTCTTTTTGTTTTTACTTACTCTGATACGACTGTTCCATTTATCAATTCAATAGGAGATCCCTTTTCCATTTTCTTAATAACGTTTCTCAATGGTTCAAATATGTAATACGACGATTCATAACTGTTTATGACGTCAGCCGTGAAGGTTGATCCGCTCCTCATGTAACTGACTATTAGGACGGGAACAGGACGGGTTTGTTCTGAAATAATATACATGTAGTTACTTTCAAATGGTGTTGAATTGCCAGCAGTGATGTGAATAAGAACAGAGAAATATATCAAGAAATATAGGGTCGCTTCAAGCATTAGAATATAAAAGATCCCTTCAAACATTGAAAACAGAGAGTGTGTCATTTCTGAAACACCAAAACACTTTGAGCATTCACAAAGACACAAGGAATAATGTCTGCTTTTCGAATATACTAACAAACTCCGGTTTCAGAAATGATGTATGATCATGATTCAGTATCACAATCACTGCCTGTGAATGTTAAGGATACGTACCTCTCCTGTTTATATCAAATTCCTAAACTTCACAATAATCCATATAAACAGCATTGTATTGCTGACTCGTCTAGCTGTTCTTGTTACCATATAATCAAATTAGAGTAACAGACTAAATGTAAGCATTTTCTCTCAAGAAGAGGAATAAAAACGTGGATTATGACGAGTCTTAAATGCCCCCTATTAACGACACTTTCTCTATTTGAACATTTGATTTTCCACTCTAGATTTCTTTTCCTAGAATGGTGAACCGCGGTACAAATATGTGGTTGTGAACTATACTGAGGTTTATTTCGTTAAAATAATAACTCCAAATTAAAGAACAATTATACAGAGGACGAATTCATAAAAAAAAATTTCCAACATATTATTGCCCTAGCTACGGGAACTGACTGTGCCCTTCTGTTGGCTGACCTGTTTCTGATTTCAAACAAGGCGGAATTAATAAAAGATCTGTTATTGAGAGAGATATATTGATGACGTCTTGTATTTAAATAACCATTTCTATCCCAGCAGAATTTGAAATCAATGACACGACAGAATCTTCTTTCTCAACCGATTATTCCTTTGTCTTACAACAAAGAAACCAACATGTACAGCTTTCTACAAAGCTGTATGATAAGCGTGATGATTTCAATTTTCCTATTGTGAATCATAAAGACAAACTTATAATGCATGGTTTTAAAAGATGAATTTTGTTGGAAACTTTGGAGAATTTTAATATATATTTCATCGAGAAACATTCTAGAAATAGACGTGTTTCATGCTCGTTAATTTGCCTGTTTGTGACGTTGCTGTCTACCGTATTCTCATATGGGACCGTTACATTACAGCAAAAGACACTAACTCTTTTGGAATTCCTGGTCTTCTTCCCCTTGTACTTTTTCATGAGTCTTCGTATAATATTTTTTTCTATTCTTTTGCACCAGTTTTATTGAATTTGTGTTTGGTTTATCATAATGTTGGTAATTTTCTTCGATGTCTAGGAAATATAGCGACAACCTTAAGAAATATATTTATAACTTAATTATTTAAAAAAAAGTCAGTGATTAGAATCTTATAAAGACAACACAGTAATCATTTCACCTTTAAAAACAGTCACAGTTTATCAACACCTTCATCTTTTAGAAACAGGTACTGTATATCAACACCTTCACCTTTAAAAAATAGTTACAGTATATCATCACTTTCACCTTGTAGAAACAGGTACAGTATATCAACACCTTCACCTTTAAAAAAAGTTACAGCATATCAACACATTTATCTTTTAGAAACAGGTACAGTATATCAACACCTTCACTGTTTAGAAACAGTTACATTATATCAACACCTTCACTGTTTAGAAACAGGTACATTATATCAACACCTTCACCTTTTTGAAACAGGTACAGTATATCAACACCTTCACCTTTTAGAAACAGGTACAGCATATCAACACATTCATCTTGTAGAAACAGGTACAGTATATCAACACCTTCATCTTTTAGAAACAGGAACATTATATCAACACCTTCATCTTTTAGAAACCATTACATAATATCAACACATCCATCTTTTATAAACAGGTACAGTATATCAACACCTTCACTGTTTAGGAACAGGTACAATATATCGACACATTTACCTTGAAGAAACAGGTACAGCATATCAACAATTTCACCATTTAGAAAAAGTGCAGTATATCAACGCCTTCACAATTTAGAAATAGACAGATCAGTCAAAACTTCCTTGTCTAGAAGCTGGGAAGGTATAGAAACAATTTAATCCTTTAGAAATATACAACCAGTAGCAACAATCTTATCCTTTTAGAAATAGACAGCTAGTTCGTCGTTTAGAGAAAAAGATACAGTATAGCAACAGTCTGTCCTTTATTACATACTTGGATTAAAATTTACATGGCGGATATCGACGATGAATCAGAAAACGCTTACTTTCTTGAAACATTTTACAGCCTTGTCATTTTAAAGGTCCTGCATATAAAGCTTTCGTCTGTTCATATTGTATTGTCAAAATTTAGTTTGAACTATGATTCTGTTGACATGTAGCTGTATATTGTTTACCGTCGTCGAGAAATATATAGACAATGTAATCATCAAAGTAATAAGCCTCTCTTTTAGAAACGTAGAATTATTACATCTACAAGTTTGTCTTCTATAAATATAGACATTACAGCAACAAATTAATTATTATAAACAGAAATACATTACAGCAACAAATTTATTATTATAAACAGAAATACATTACAGCAACAAATTAATTATTATAAACAGAAATACATTACAGCAACAAATTTGTCTTTTTTAAATATAGACATTACAGCAACAAATTAATTATTATAAACAGAAATACATTACAGCAACAAATTTGTCTTTTTTAAATATAGACATTACAGCAACAAGTTGATTATTATAAACAGAAATACATTACAGCAACAAATTTGTCTTTTTTAAATATAGACATTACAGCAACAAATTGATTATTATAAACAGAAATACATTACAGCAACAAATTTGTCTTTTTTAAATATAGACATTACAGCAACAAATTGATTATTATAAACAGAAATACATTACAGCAACAAATTTGTCTTTTTTAAATATAGACATTACAGCAACAAATTAATTATTATAAACAGAAATACATTACAGCAACAAATTAATTATTATAAACAGAAATACATTACAGCAACAAATTTGTCTTTTTTAAATATAGACATTACAGTAACAATTTGATTATTATAAACAGAAATACATTACAGCAACAAATTTGTCTTCTATAAATATAGACATTACAGCAACAAATTGATTATTATAAACAGAATACATTACAGCAACAAATTTGTCTTTTTTAAATATAGACATTACAGCAACAAGTTGATTATTATAAACAGAGAGACATTACAGCAACAAATTTGTCTTTTTTAAATATAGACATTACAGCAACATGTTTGTCTTTTTTAAATACAGACATTACAGCAACAAGTTGATTATTATAAACAGAGAGACATTACAACAACAAATTTGTCTTTTATAAATATAGACATTACAGCAACAAATTGATTATTATAAATATAGAAACATTACAGCAACAAGTTTGTCTTGTATAGGAAGAGAGGAGTTTGTCTGTCATAAATATCGGGACATTACAAAAGCAATTATTTTTGTAAATGTAGAGACATTACAGTAACAAGTTTGTCTTTTTATGAATATTGAGACATTACAGTAACAAGTTTGTCTTTTATAGATATGGAGACATTACAGCAAAAAGTACGTCTTTTATAGATATGGAGACACTACAGCAACAAGTAAGTCTTTTATAAAAATAGATACATTACAGCAAAATATTGCAGCAACAATGATGTAATGAAAATTAGACCAGTTGTTCCGGAAGGGGAGGCGTTAACTGTTTCATCATATGTATACAGTCAAACCTGTCTATAAAGGTCATCCGATGTAGCGGAGGAAAGTGGGGAACCAAAGAAACAGCGTTTATAGACAGATGGTCTGTGTATAAAGATGGCCATTAAAACAGGTTTGACTTACAACATGCAGAAATAACTTATATATATATATATACGTAACTGTTTACTTCACAACCACTTCCAAACAACCAATATATCTCCCTCCTACATGTTCAGTTATAGAATGTATGGTGCCATAGATCGTGAGTTCGATGCCGATGCCTTTATAGGGCACGGCTCAAACAATGTCTTCCTCCGTCAGATGTGCTTAAATAATGTCTATGCGTTATATCATAATACATGTAATGAAATAAATCATGTTCAACAACTGAATGCAGCTTTTAATACATTACCAGGGCTTGCTGTTTCTGTTCCATCTGAACTGAATCTGGTTAGAAGGCTGGTTTTATTTCTGGATTTTGATATTTCTGAAATAAACAATAAGATAAAAGCACAAATTTAAAGCTTGTTTATATTGAAATTTTTACAAACATTATCATCAGTGTTAGTATTCAGCGTTTAACCGATAAGTGCATATTAATTAACTACAACGATATAATGTACCTGGCCATGAGGTAAGTAGTAGAAAAACCGCTGTTGTCAGTAAGAAGAAGAACTTATTCCTTTTTCGCATGCTGAATTTCCACATACTAAACCTCAATTGTCTACCACACGTAATAAGACTATACAAAATCACAAGTTTCTGTCAATTGCCAGTGTACATTACTGACATATGCACTATTAAAGTTCTTATGACGAGACGCAGACAATCATACGGAAGACCGTAAGGGCCACACGGAGAAAAAAAAATAATATCGTTTTTTACTGATTCGAAATTTCGATTAGTAATTCGAAATTTCCATTTAAGAACTCGAAATTTTTACTTATTACTTGGAAATTTTGGCTGAAAATCTCGAAATTTCGACTTAATGACTCGAAATTTCTGATATTATCAATACTACTCCAATTCTTGCTCATTTTGGTTCATTTGTTGATATACAATGATAAACACAGAGGTTCCAGCATAATTTCTTGTAGGATTAAGTAAAAGATATATTGCTATGTTTAGCTGCACAGCATAGAATATTAATTAGCACTCGAACCCTTAAAAGGATAACCAAGAAGTGGCATTAATACAGAAGAAAACGTGATAGCTATCTTGTGGAAGCTGCAATGTTCATTACGAAAGAATGTGAAGGTTCTAGTCGTCTTCATGGATACCGTTGGATGCATTTGAAATGTGTTCAAAATGGAATATATATTTCACAAAATACAGTACGTTTATTAAAGAGTATATCAGATCCGGATGGTTAATAACAAAAAATCAAACGGCCGTTAGTAAGGAGGCAGTATCGTTGTTCAGGACCAAACGTGTTATGGCATATCCATTTATTGAAAATAGTGGGAGAATTGAGGGTATGTAAAAGTGTGAATTCTCGAAGACCGTCAATTGCCTCATGATGTTTATCAGATGGACTGGATTTAAGTGACTAGTAGGGTGATCGTGATATACAAATTTTCGTTCAAACGTAGGTCATCACTCGATAGCTTTCTAAGTACTGACAAGTTTTTCATCAATAGAGTCCTTTCTTTTAATAAAATTTTACAGGTACTGATATACCATGTCCTCCCCCCTGGGTCCACTTTCAGTGTGTGTGTTAACTAGTCAAACAGTGATTTTCATTGATAACAAGGAGGTCAAATTTTGTGGATTGTGATGTTTTATATTTAGTCAGAATATATCTATGTATGGCCAATTAAAGTTCTTACGGCGAGACGCAAAACACCATACAGAAGAGCATATGGGCCACGCGGGGAAAAATAATTGCGTTTTTTCATGTAAATAACTCGAAATTTCGACTTACTAATTCGAAATTTCGACTTAATAATTTGAAATTTCTACAAACTAACTCGAAATGTTGACTTATCAATTCGAAATTTCGGCTGAAAATCTCGAAATTTCGACTTGATAACTCGAAATTTCTACTTACTTACTCGAAATTTCGATTTATTATCTCTGATTTCAACCAGAGTTTTCTGAAATATCATAGAAGGTGGGCAATTAATTTTATAAACTCCGAAAGTTGATACGACCCCTCGGGAATTCCAGAGGGTCAAAATCTGACCCTAGATACTGTGAGCATCGTTTATAGTTAAGCAATGTAAATAAATTAGCATGTAAACGTGTTTATCATGGAAGTAACATTTATTTTTTGATACAGAAAACTTACTTATGTTACTTTATCTTTAGTATCATTATTTATGCTGCTTCAAGTGTTGATTTTACTATGATTTATAATACAATACAATAATGTGTTTGGGAACTCATAAAAATTAATATTGTTTACAATCAATTTTTGGATATGGTTATGAGAATTACACGAATTTTTTCTGAGGCAAAGGACTTTATTTAGCATGGCATGCATGGTTTCATGAATGCCGGCCCAGTTACTTAAAATAAAGACACTTTTTTGTCATTAACTGTCCAGAGCTACAGTCTATGTCTCAATTAAGTACTACATGGCATTTCTAATAAAAAAAAAAGGAAAAAAAAGTTATTGTAAAATAGTAAACTATACGTTCTTTTGATGTGGTACATTTCAACATTAAACCTCCATCAACTAGCTAAAGTAGAATTTTGTCATTTAGTGAATACATGCGTTTGCCCCTCTAAGTCAGAGTAATCTATCACATACTAGTGTTCTGCTTGCAAATCTATCTCTTTCTGTAAAGCCGTATTAGAATATGGTTTATTGCTTAAATCTATTCTACACTTTGAAACAGAGAGTCCAGTGGGAAATTATTTCACTGATATGGTAGTCATTGTTGTTAGCAAATGTCTCCCATTTGTAACTGTGTCAAGTTAAAACTTTCAAGACAAATCTAAAGATAAAGATTCCAGATTTAATTTCCTCTACACTTTATCAATCTTTTGATCATATAATACTCAGATGATCATCGAAATTGTTCAAAGTCATTCACACCAAATGATTAACAATCTATGATATTGGCAAACTCTTCATCAAAGGACATACACAAACATGTATATATTAAGAACATAAAGAAGGAGTCACATTAGTGATTAAAATTAATCATCACATTCCTTTATTGTTAAATACTTTGTTGAATATTGGGTTATTTCTATTACAGCGTACGTTTCTGATATCGTTTTGGTGTGTTTTAATGTAAGAATGCGCCGCGCGATATATAAATGTTGGGATACTGGAGTATATGTAGCCATGTTTTCATATAATTGTATATCCAGGTCTCGCCGAATATGATGATAAAAACTCCGAACATCCTTATTATGAGCAGATGTAAGGACAGACACCTGTATCTGGAAAATAAACAACTATATGTCCCTATGGTGTAAGACAATGGAACAGGCAGGGTGACGTTTTAAAGAACTAGGAACATTAATACGCTGTTCATGTTTATTGTATGTAATTCGTTAGTGCTTCAATTTGCAGATTTCATATGTCTGTTATTTTCAAAGAGTCTCGCCTTCTCATCCTGCTTTTTTTCTTTTCTTTTTTTATTTGCAAACGCATCCATCTCCCCTCTCTCACGGCAAAACGCTTCCATTTTGTTTTCGTCATGCGCACATTAACAGCAGGAATCTGTTAAAATCGTTGTCACCGTGCATCGTATGAGGATTTAAGCTTTCTTTTCTGAATTTCGACTTAAATTTCGGGTTATCAAGTCGAAATTTCGAGTTATTAAGTCGAATTTTCGAGATAATAAGTCGAAATTTCGATTTACTATCTCGAAATTTTGATAAATAAGTCGAAATTCTGAGTTACTAACATGAAAAAACGAAATTAATTTTTCTCTGCGTGGCCCTTATGCTCTTCCGTACCATCATTACCGTCAACCTTTCAAAACAGTGTTTACTCGTTGTATAGGTGAGTTCAGTTATGAATCGAGTATATAGTTAATGGAATTGATTACAAGGCCATTTAATTGAAGCTAAATATGCATTTATACTGCTCAGAACATATTCAAAAACAACAAACGCATCGACAAGCAATTAAATTCTCAAGTTACAGATTAATCGACGTTAAAGAGACATTTTACCGCGGACTTTAAAAATTATTTTTAAAACTGGAAGAATAGTTGTCATTGACCATTGATTTATTGACAGCTGAATTTACACATTATATTTGAAGAGAATCGTCTATAGTTCCTTCTGAATTATTTAAATATTTGTTTGATGACCATACTTTACCTAAACAAGTTAAATGTGTGTTTCAGTTACGATTAACATTGATCTGGGCGTATGAATACATCCTTTACAGATTCTGTTATAGAGAGGCCCTTACGTGTGTTTTTATGTTTTATAAATTTTAAGTAAATTGATAAAGATCATATATACATATATTGAATTGTGAATGAATCAAACTATGACATTATCGCATATTTTTAGCAGAACAGATTTGTTTTCTGTGATTTGATAGCTTCAGACCTTGCAAATGTTGTCGTTGCAAATGTTTGAGACTATACATATAGAGCGAACATGACCTCAAGTTTGATGTAGAAAGGTCAATTCACTTCTATATTTGCTTGAAAAATCGATTATGTCATCGAAAGTTTCTAAATTCGTTCTCAACTGATAAGTGATTAGTTAAACTCGTCACGAATTGTTCATCAATCCACGTATCGACTCGAACTTCATGTAAGCTCCTTGGTATCGATTTGAAGTACTATACAACAAATATGAATTGCGACCAGCTGCATATCGATATATAACACGATACAAAAATGAATGGTCCTCCTCAATGTTTATATATGACCGATGTACCAGTCATCTGATTGTTGTCCTTGATATATTAATAAAAAAATCTTATCCTAAACTTGAACGTTCGAAGAAATTCATATTTACCAACAAATATGTTATTGTTTTAAGAAAGCGTAAACAACCTTTTATCTAAATGCCTGAACGGACATAATGTGAAATTTTGAAGTTTGTCTTCTGATTTCGTTGGATTTATTCGATTTGTTGTCTCGGACGTGTTTTGACCTGGTTATGCCTGATGATTTGTACAATATCTTTAACTTATTTAACACTGTTGCTTATAAACAAGTCCGAATTTATCTCATGTGTTCTGTTGACCATTTTATACCAACTATTTTGAATATTTACTAATTTTACTACATATTTTTTAGCATAAATTCAAAATATCCCTAAAATAAACTAAATAAAATCCTCTCATCAAATACATGTTTTCAGTGTCTGATCAATCATTATTTAAATAAAAACGAAAATTATTTTGAAAAAAAAATAGCGTACTATATATATCTTTTTCAAATTCATCAGCTGTATTTGCAAAAGTAATTTTGTGCTAAGTAATAGTAGGATATTGTGATTTGAATGAATGTCTTGTCGATAAAAACATAAAAAAAATACGAACATGTCAACATAATCATAATCCTAATTCAAATTCAATAAAACTGTGAACGAAAGAAAGATTAACAAGGAGTTTATTCAATTTTATTTTAAAATTTAACGTCACACGAGACTATAATGTGCTGCGGGAGAATGTTCCTTGTATCGAGTATACGATAACTATGGATTTTTTTAAATACTGATATAGGTGTTAAAACGTATTTGAAATAATTTATGGGAGTTCCCTCTTGGCCTTGCTGTTACTACCTATTTGGAAAGTGTTCGCTGTGATTCTACTGTCACAGAACGTCTTTACAATTTTGAAAGTGTTGATTAGATTCCTTTTTGTGCGCTTATATATTAGAGTGTCGAATATAGTCCGTTTCGAAAACCCGGTGTAGTATGGTAAAGTGAAGCCCATTTTTTTATTTATGTGTTTATATGACTGAATGAGGATGAATTGCAATTGGTGAAAACAAATTAATAAGTAAAAAAATTAGTGAAATGCTTCACTTTACCATGGCCCAGCCCCACCCTAAATTTCCCCAACCCTTGTTATTTTTCAGTTTTATGTTTGGAGGAACTTACTAAATAAAGTGCAGAAACATCAACTGAAAACAAAATATAAAGTGGCCTCACTTTACCATAGGGTGGGGGGGGGAGTTCATTTCACCATAATGGTGAGGTGAACCGCGGTCCATTTCACCATTATGGTATTTTGACCCCGGTTCATCTCCCCATGCTTTTGGAAAGGAATCTTGACATGTGTCCATCAAAACAGGAAAAGAGACTTCGAATCACTCCCACTATACTTTTTGTTTTGTTTACGATAAGTTGAATGTGTGTTCTAAAGTTCTTCATCTACTGACACTCCGATGTCCTTCCCACTGGCCATGTTTAACGATACGTTAATAGGAATAGAAACTCGGATGGCCCCGGTATTGCAAATAACAGGATGCGAGAGCATTGTTTCGATGTCAGTGATTTCAAAGGGTAATAAATAATTCGGTCATTAAAACTATTTTAACATAGTGTTTATTCTATATACATGAATGTGAATAAGTCGTGTTTAACGATACGTGAACAGAAATAAAAGCTCGGCTCGGAGGTCCGATTGAAATACTTAAAAAAGAATTGGGCAAGAGTATTCACAGTAATTCTCTTTTGAATACATCATGAATACAAGCAATTTACAGTAAATTAAATCTTTCGTAGATATGGAGTGGGAGGGAGCTTTCAAGGATCTTACCACTGTGCTGCAATTACTTTCTCGGTTCTGTACACATTAATTATAGAGTTTGAAATGTCAATGTTTCCTCAAGAAAACGAACCCCGCATGTATCTACACTTATTATTTATGCTAATAGAATTTACTTTGGATTTGCCTTAGTGTCCTCATAGGCTTTAAAAAATTAATCCCGTTAATATCACTGAGGAGTGCTATAAGGACGAAACTTTTGTATGGTGCAATTTAATTCATTATTTGAATATACAATATGTGACTCTTAATTCTTATTATGGGTGTTTTTCACTTGTGTGTTTCTTGTATAATCTTCATAGAACCTACTTGTTAAAGGCTACAAATGACATACATATGTAATTTGGTAGGTAAAAAAAGATCGGACTGTCACCTTTTCGAAGGTCAACCATTAACAACTATTGGAAAAACCAAACATTTTACACCTGTGTAAATGTATTTACGGGTATTTAAATACGTTTAAACTGTACAATTTCATAATGCCAGATACCTGCAATTTGTCGTCCAATGATAATCCGTCACTTATTATGCATCTGAACAATCAGAGGGCACATGGTTCAACGAAATCTTAAATCAGATACGATCTATCTTCTTATGAAACAGTGGATCCTTGGCTGGATTAGCTGCATGATTCTTGAAACACAAAACATGTATAAAAATGTCAACAAAATAAAAACAAAACAAATGACATATGACATATATATATTAAAGATGGTCCATTTTCTATATCAATGACTAATTAAGCTGGAATCGTAAAAGATCGATATCATGCGTAGTTTTATTCCTCTTTTTACCAAAAACAAAACGATGGCAATGGGGCATTCAATCAAGGGACCTTTGGAGTTGAGAACGGAGAGCTTACCACTGTGTTACCGTTACGATACACTCGATAAAGTGAACAAATTTTGAAATCTTATAACATACGTAATTCCCTCCAAGTATTCTATGTAAAAAACATACCAGGAAAATCAATGATGACACTCATGTTTTCAGAAGGTTTTACAGATGTACATTATTGAATAATTACACTAACATCGCAAAAATTATGATATCGCCATATCATCAAATCCTGCAACCCACTCCCTATACTTAACATTCGCCCGAATAATATACGTTACACAAGTCTGATCTTTTAGTGAGGTGAAAAACAAATTTATTCGTGTTTTCTGTAAGTGAACGCTAAATGTTATTAGACAGATAACATCTATTACAGCATATAAATGTGTTTTACATTTTGTATGAATTATGTATAATCGTTACAAAGCTCTTCCTAGTATTGAACAATAATTAATGGCTAGTCACATGTCATTTGATGAAGTTCGTTTGAACATTGTACCGCGTTGTGAAGATTTAAAAAATCACTAGAAAGTGAAAACGTAATAGGTAAATCAGCATTTCTCGATGTTCCAGTAACCTGGAAATTAAAAAGTAAGCTTTCTCATCCCTGTTGATTACTTTTATAATGCCTAGTTCCTGATCAAGCAGAGAGTGGAAATATCGGGTGAAATCCAATTCTCATGTGTTGGCATATTAGAACACATTGACGTTTGAAGGTCTCCTTTCGAGGCAAAGACACGCCTATCGTCCTCCTTCTTTGGTGTATTTCTCATACGAGTTTCATGAAGTCACCTGTGTTGGTATAGAACATTTACATACATGGTGCTTTTTCACTTAAACTCCAGTGTACCTAATAATAACAACCTATCCAGAAATATTCATATTCTAAATAACAAACTACATGTATATAGAAATAGTTTCGCGAAAAAGCTGAAATATGGTGAGATTTTGAAGCCATTGGGTTCTGGTGTAGCGGATCTGTTTTACATACGTTTAATATAAGTTACCTATCCCGTGATGTACAATGACCTCATATAAAAATAATTAAATAAAATTAAGTTAAGAGAGGTGAAGACCGAAATTTAATACCACAATTTACAAATTGTAATACCCGACATTAATTCACTGTCTGATTTTGCTGGTATCCTGAAATTAGTGTATATCGAAATGAACAGATTTGAAACACCGCGTTTACGATTTTCCCTTATGCATATACATATGTATACATAAAATAAAAAAACGAGGATTAAACACGTCTTCAAAACGAAGCCAAGAGTGATTTTCCTTGCGGGCCTGGGTTGTCAACAAAACAAAGCTCATGAAAACAGTGTTTACCTTATTCTGTCTATGAATGTGCCCGTGGTATGTCCGTTACAGTATGCTAATTTTTGTTTTACACTCTTTGGGGTCATTGTGAACGCATGTTGACCTTGTCTTTATTTCGTGGTATTTAGTAATGAATTTCCGTTATTCTCTGTGCATCCAGCTATACTGCACGAGACGTGCGATTTAAACGGTTCCCTTTTCATACGCTTACTTGATGTTTAATAAACTGCTGTATATTGCATTCTGTTAATATGCTGTATGGTCTAGAGCCCCTCAGTATGATTGTCAGGGTTATGTCATTCCAGCTGGTTTATATAGACATATTTGATATAACCTCAACAAATTTGCGATCATGAAAAGTATTCGTTTTCACCTAAAAAGTTTAGATTTCTCGGACAGTGGAAGAAAGTTGGTATAGATCCAGGTTGGGACGAAACGTTACAAAGTTGCTAATCATCCGGCATTGCAAATAACAGGATGCGAGCGCATTGTTGCAATATCGATTAGTTTAAATGGTAATGATTCGGTCATTAAGTAATCAGATAAGACTAAATAGGCTTAGATTGAACACCTGTATATCTGATATACACAGGTATTTCTTGATGCAAAAGAAGTAAAACACTTTAATGAAAGTGTAATATACATATATGCTAATATAGCAAAAAATAAAAATTGACAGACTATGCTACTAATATAGTGCAAATTAAAAGAGAACATTTTGTCAATGTCAATATTATAAATAGTAAATAAATAAGACAGCAGATTATAAACCAAAGCACGAAGATAAACAAAATAAGCAAAAGCACTTAGAACAAAACACTAAAATGAAAATAGAAGATAAAAGCACACAGGTAGTAACACCACTGAACAAAGGGAGGAAACTCACATATGAACACACATAGAACACTTACAGTCCGAGCCATCCCACATACGGAGCAGTCTCCTGAATTCTTTGTAGTTCTCTACCTTACGTCGATCATTCGGGAGACTGTTCCACATGCGGGACGCCTCGTACCTGAAGGAATTCTTTCTATATCTGGTATTGTTTACCCTTGGGATGTGTGCCTTACCCTCTGCTCTGAAAGTATACAATGTTTCTTGTTTCGATATCAGACTACAAATGTAGTTAGGAGAAATCTTGTTAAAAAATTCAAAAACTTCACAAGTCATCAACTTCATCCTATTAATATGCAAGAAAGAAGTATTAGCATCTGTTAGCAGTTTTTTGAGGTTAGAGGTATAATCATTGAAAACAAAGCCCCTTTCTTGCACCTTTTCCATTATCCTGGTTGCCGGGACGCTGCAGAAATGCCAAACAAGGGGAGAGTAATTAAAATTCGACAATACAAAACTCTTGTAAATTAACATTTTGAAATATTTTGATAAAAATGTCCAATCCTTTTCAAAACTGCGAACTGTTTGGAGGCTTGTCTACAAATAAAAGAGCTATGTTTGTCAAACTTCAATAAAAAAATTATCTCAACACCCAAAAGTTTAACACTATCTTCACAAACTATGGTGGAATTGCCTATTGCGAAGTGATGGAGGGCTTTCTTTCCTAAATATATTGACTGAAGTTGGTCTGGGTTAGCTTTCATGCCATTCCTTTCAAACCAATCTATCAGTATTGCTGCCTCTCTAACACCTCTTTCAGACTTTTAAATAGCTGTAAATCCAGACAATTTGTATCAGTTTTTACAACTTTTGACTGAAATATTGATTTGTCAATATAGTTACAGATAAGACAGTGTGAACGCCTCAAATCAGAAATTAAAAGCCCGGGCTGTCAATATATATTTCCAATGCGCTACCGGACTGTGCTGGTCGGTCGGGATAATACCGGGCGGTAGCGGCTGTACTTATCACCCCTCCTTATTTGAAGAGTTCGAATACTCGGAAAACCTTTGATAGTTTCCATATACGATACATTTTTAAAGATGGCAGCTTCCTCCGAAAACACGTTGTTCCAGCTTGCGATTCAGAGAGTACTTGATAGTTGGACTGTTCTTCAGGTGAGAATGTATATCCATGTACAACTTATTCTTAATTTATCTGTGGTTTTTTAATCGTTTCAAGAAAAATATCAAATTAGACTGATTTTTAAATTGCGTGTTCATCAGCTCATGCCAATCAATGAATGACTAATTGCAAGTCACCACCGCCGTCTTCCGTCCACACTCCGTCGTCTATCCATACATAATTCTTGCTTAAATTATTTAATTACAAAAGGAATATTACATATATCTTTCTCATGTTTCTCGTATATCTGTATACCTGTCTATTTGTTTACCCTGTGACATGTAATGACAGCAATACAGACTCAAATGTGCTATAACTGAATGATTTTACATGCATGATGAGACATCTCTGCTTATCTTTTCCCAATACCAGTAACTTGTCTTTCTCATATCCCAATGTTTTCTATTGCCTGAAGCTTGGTCTTCCCTAGACCTGAGTATACCCATATGTTTTCCACTGCTAGAAGCTTGTTTCCTGTTTAAACTAAACTATGGGATTTGCAGAGGTTATTTATGAATGGGATCCATTTCAAATTGGGTCATTTTGCTTACAAAGATGGCATTCTGCAAAAGGCAAAAATAAAAAAAAAAGTCAATGCTTCAAAAGACTGAGGACATCTTCAATGTGTACATGGGTATTAGCTTGTCTCCCATAACTTGTTTGTCCCCAGCTCCCCTTACCTTTTCCACTGTTAGTACCTTGTTGTCTCCTTAAACCAGTTTGAATATGTATGCTTTCCAGTGTTTCCGCAGAACAGTTTGTCCCCATGTTTTCCACTGCCAATAGTTTGTCTCTCCCAAATCAGTTTGTACCATGGGTTTTCCACTTTGGTGTTGGCTTAACATGTTATCCGTGTCTGTCCAGTTCAAAATATCTCTCATAACTCTAGTGACCTCATTTATGAAGGAATATTGATCAAATTTGATGCAAAGCTACATTTAAGTATAATGATACCATAGATGTCAGGGTCACTGTACTGCTACTATTCATAAGGCTGCCACCTCTGTATTTATTTGTTCTCCTACGTCTTCCTCAGACCTGTTAGTACATATATATTTCCATTGCCAGCATCTTGTTTTCTCAAGCCCTGATTGTCAGTATCATTTCAGTTTGTATTAACTTGACTTCACAGTAAACTCAAAATCTACCATATTTGTTTCTCATACATTAGTATAATTATTTATGATGATGTTTGTCTTAGCTTGCTGTGAGTCACAGCTTTGGTGGGGCAGAGAGTAGAGAGAAAGCCCAATGGATGGTGTATGCGATTGACCAATGGTTCAAAGAAAATAGTAAGTCTTAAGATACCTTTAGAATGTCATTTTTGAATGCTTTTGATGAAATCAAAACCTTTATATTCTTTATTTTAATGCCTAAAATCTTAAATATTTTCTTATTTCTTTAATGTTTGGATAGTATTTATAAATTTTGTGTCATTTGGCTATCTAAATACAATGTAATTCGAAACAGAAGTGATTACCAAGTTCGTGATATAAATACTATTGTGATAACATATATACATATACCTTTCATTCAGAGAATATTGAGACATATGAACTAGAAGACTTTCTGGAGGATGTGATGAACCATGAATTTGACACCATTATAGATGATGGAAGTCTGCCAAGAGTAAGTTGTTATCTTTTCTGATCATCTCCAAGTCTTTATCTATATCACTTGTGAATAATAATAATTACTGGTACATTTTTTACATGTTTTAACTTCCACACTATGGCATCCGTTGTCTGTCAACTTTTACTATGTATTGCATCTATCGGTATTTATAAACGACTGAGTGGATTTTGATCAAATTTTGCATGAATGAAGCATTCCTGGGGAAAGGGGAACCAATTTTGTGTAAATGGTGGGTGCATATTGGGGAATCCTATATATTTGATAAGTTTATTTAAATATTTGTATAAATACAATTCACAAAAGAAAAGGATTTTCCTCAATCAATCATCCTCTATGCCTTGGATTAACTTACCCCTGTTACTTACACAAGATATCTGCACTGGTGTGTGGGCTGTATCGCCTGAGCTGTGAGGGTAAAACAGAAGAGGTACATGAGAAACTACAATCTCTACCCCGTGCTCAGTTACATCAGTGTGCCCGGGTACCTAATAATGACAAGGTATGTACATTTTTTGTCAAGGGTTATTAATGGTCAAAATGACCTTGGCTGTTCAGGGGACCATAAACCAGCAAAAACACAGGAACCAAAATTCAAAAAGAGCAATTTGATTCCCTTGAAATTTGACTGAAAATGATGATTTTGTTGGTCAACAAACATATATTATGTTGTTAAGAATTAAATCCTTCTACTTAAAACCGGTACTATGGATTTTTTATAACCTCCTTTCTATATCATTGCTTAACAGTGTTTTGAAAGTATGCCTCACTCAACTGTTGTATATGTTTGTTTTAACTGCAGGATGAAGATGATGATGATGATGATGATGATAATGATGATGATGATGATAATGATGTTACCACGGATACAGGAGGGGCTAGTGCTGCTGCTGCTGCTGCTCCTCCTTCACAACCTATCTCACAGTCAGGACAAGGAAGTGGGTCTCAATCAGGTAACTATGATTAAACAATGACAAGACAATTGTTCTTATCAATGTCGAGATGCTGCAAATACTTAAACGGTTTGAGTGGTTGCCTGTGTAAGTCCAGGTGAAGACCTGTGTGGTTTGACACTACTTCCAGTGTTTTTGTTTCTCAGGAATATGACCGGTCTATGCTGACATGGTTGTGTCTTTTGGCAAGACACTTTGCCCTAATTGCTCTGAGTGGCATGTGAATGCCATTTGTATGTTGTTATCAAGATAGTCACCAGTGACTTCAAGAAGACCTTGACTCAAACTGACCTTGGCTGTTTACAGGGCAATTTAACCAACAAACAAGTATCAGTGTCATTAATTGTGAATGCAATAGCCAATCAAACTTCTAACACGAACAACTAGGATAATTACCTTTTCTGGGCTTATCTTCTTTCTTATTTCTAACATTGTTTCACATCTTGTCATGTTATCAGTCATATATCTGGCCACATTGTGTGATTGGTTGACAGAAACAATGAAAAAATAAGACCTAACAACAACATATTGCATTTGTTTTAACAGCTGTTCCCATGGAGGAAGAGGAGGATGGTTGGCAAGTCGTCAGGAAAGGAAAACGTCGATGAGGATAAAACTACTACAGTGCAGTACAGAATGCTTGAGTCAACTCATGCTGAAGATCAGGTGATCTTCCAGGCCGGAACAGAGTGTCCTTGGGAACCTCAGGTCTACCCATTAATAGGACTTCATCTTACTAAGGCCAACTTGGTTCAGTGATTGTGGAACCATCCATCATTCTAACTCCATCATGTGCTTTATGCCCATTAAAAACATTGACAGAAAGAAAAAGAAAGGTGTAAACTTAAAGATCTGCAAAAGACAAGACAAATTTCAGAGGGGGAAACTTTTCTGATAAAGTAGTTAGATCTTCTGTTAAACCAGAGAAAATACGGATGAGCTTGTACCCCTTACATAATATATTTCATCATATCATTGGAACACTGGAACATCATTTCATTTATTTCACTGTGATATGCTAAATTGTCTTTGTCACATATTAATTGTATTGAATTTACTTTTAAATTCAAACTGGTGACAAAGCATTGAACACACTGTATGTGTCCACCAATAACTCCATGAATGGTAATAAGCCGTTATCACCAAAAGTGATATTTAATTAGCCAAACATCATAAGATGGTGGGCTATTCAAATCACAATTTCATGTGAAGTACTGGATGGATCTTTCTTAAATTTTATGGATAGGTTCCTCTTTGTCCCTAGTTGTGCCTGTTAACGTTTGGGACTGATCAGAAAAACAAAATGACAGTTGGTCCTCTTGTGTTGCCATGGTGACCAAATGAAGATCTCTTGGAGGAATCTTATTTGGACATCCCTTCCAAAACTATTGTTGATTGGGGAGTGGAGGTTACAAGTCAGCCATCCTAGCGACAGTTTTAGTTATCACTATTTCTTCAAAGGATTAATGTTCAAATTTCTTATCAATAAAAGCAAAAACAGAGAATGGAAAAGATCTAACATTCAAAGAACAAAAAAAAAGATCAAACAATGTTTGGCATCAAAATCCCTATAGAGTCTTGTGTTGTCCTGAAACAAGCCCACTCCTTACCTGGAATTTTTCCATGGGCCCTTTGTAGGATTGATATTAATGTTCAGTTTGATTCTGTTCAGACAGTATTTAATGATGTCGGGACCAGTTATGATTTACACACAGCATGACATCAGAATTTTGTGCTATATACATCAATGTAATCAATCAAAACTCCTTCAATTTTTTTCACCTTTTTATGAGACAACCATGCTCTGCTTCTCTGTTTTATCTTCATAGCTTTTCCTGAGGTTACAGAGGTACAATTTACCATTTAAAACATTAAAATGTAATTAAAGGTTAGACCACAAGTGTATGCAAGTAATCAGAGTGCAGCTCAAATTTAAACAAAAACATTTTTATGTCTCTGCTTTTGAAATCAGATGAACACCACACTTTGTCATTATTCTGCATTCAACAATCTACATTTAACTGTTGAAATGTCAAAAAGACAGAGAACTTGTTGTGTTCTATTTTAATGAACTTTAATGAAAATGATATTTCATGAATGTAACATATACACTTGAATTTAACCAGGCTTACATCCTGATTTAATATATAACAAACGTTCTTCATTACATGTAGATAACTTTATTGTTAACTGATACCTGTATCACAAAACAGTATTTATTATCTATCAATTGTTAATGTTTAATTACATCGTTTTATCTATGTACTTCAAAATAAATTATAGAAATAAATATCTGTCTCATTAATACATTGATGAATGACTTCTTTCATTCATAATACAGCTGAAACTTGTTATCTGACAATTAACGAGACTGTGGAAAAAATTTTGACAAAAAAATTGATGTTGACTACGAATGCAAAATACTCCATGGTACAAACAGTTTATCACCCTGTAATTTAATCTGTTATTTGAAATAGCAGTAAATAAACAGAAACAAATAGATTTCTTCTACAAATCGGACATAATCTGTTATTTTGTCTTGGAATTGTGGGGACTGTATTTTGTCGAAAAGTCTAATGGTTAAACGATTTTGTTTTTATCATTACTAAAGATGCATGCTACAAAGCTAACTGTATTCATGTCTTGTGTAAACATGCTACTTGCTTAACATAAAGGTAAGTCATTGCCAAGGATAGTGACACTAATTAAGAAGCCAACACTTGAATAATTAATCTGGTAATTAATTGTCAGAGACCAAGTGTTGTGTGTACCTTAACCGATACCAGATAATTAGCCATGTGTTACACACAGGTGACATGCAAGAGGTATTCATGTAGGTGTTGTGATTTCTTCAGAAGACATGCTGATGTTTTGACAATAATCATTTCGAGACAATGAATGACTTTTATGTTGCTTTACAAGTAAAGGACTGATAAATCCCAAAATTTCTTCTCAATGAAATTTGTGTCATCCGAATTAATGAAGAAGGAGAATAGTTGGGACTTTGTTATTTCGACTCAAACAGAATTTCCACTCACGCAATATTGAGACAACAAGTTTAAAGTGAAATATCTAATCTTGTCTATCTGAAGATAAGACATTCACAATGTTGGTGACATGTTCACATTGAAATATTGCTTTTGGTAAAACCAGAAATGTTCATTTCACATTCTGAATACAATTGAAATATCTTGCAAAAGAATTTGAATTACGACCAATAGATATTTCAGCAGAGTCCTCTGACTTCATCAGACTGGTGTTGAGTCAGTTACTGGTCATGACTTTGATCATGTGACCATATTGCTGTACTGTAACAGGTACACCATATCATAGCAAAGTCTTCCAACACAAAGTTTTCAACCACTTGTTCACTAGAACATCCGCCGTCCACCTAACCCTCCGCCAAATGGTCCTCTTCTGTCTCGAAGGCCATTGCCTCTTCCTGGTTGGAGATTGTGACCAGGCAAAGGCCCAACAGGGTCAAACCTTGGCTGGAATAGGGCACTGCTTGGCTGGCTTCGCTGTTCTATCAAGGAGTGAGGCATCAGCCTTCCTGTCAGGATACAAATCAGACAGGTCATTGAACCAAAATAAGAATTGAAAGGAAATATTAACAGCAATTTATTTTTTCCTTTATTGGTATTTAATGAAAATATTATCTTTAAAAATAATTTTTCAAATCCCAACCTGTTCTTGAATGTTAGCATACCAGATGGATGAGCTGCACAAAAGCAAAATATATTTCACATTCTGTACCTACATGAACATGTAATGAAATTTATATATATATTTACCAATTAAAAGCATCAGTAATTTATATATTATAAAGACTCACGATCATAATGGCCAAAAACTGGATCAAGGTCATGATCCCCGTTAAGAATGCCAGGGTGGAAAGGTCCAGGGGGAGGTAATCCAAAGGAAGGAAGCACCGGAGGACCGAACATCGGCACTGGATTCCTCTTCCATATTCGTCTGCGTTCCTTCCTTAGTCGATACTCTTGTTTGTACAGCTGGCAAAATGTTCATGAAAAAAATAAACATCACAATCCTTTATCACGATTTTCCATGAATTGCATCATGCCTATATTCAACAAAACTTTTGCATTCACACATTAATAAAATAACCTGAAAATTAATTTCATTCTTATCACTGATACAACCAAAACAAACTGTCAACTTAATTTGATACCTATATTTAATGTTATGCATTTTCATTGTGTAGGATGGAATTGACACTGACATGCAGTATACTTAAAAAGTTTAAATGATCTTTTGATACATGTAATGGTGATGAAATATTTACGTTGGTACATGATACCCATTTCATGAATACTGTTATTTATACATAATTAAACTTAATTTTATTTTTATACTCACCCTGCACCAATCTTGTGCCAAAGTGTTGTTATTTCGATCTAGAAAAATAAAATAATATTTTGATAACAGAAAATGAACATTCCAAATTTTCATTCAGGTTCCATCAAGGAATGATCTTGCATTCACTCTCACGTTTGGTATATCTTTTTTTTCTCCCCCTTTCAGTCATCAAATAAACATCTTGATTTTTTATTACATTCAATATGGAGCGGAGAGACAGACCAGTATGTGCAGAAATGGTTGGGCATTTGGGCTAGACATTACACTGGATAGCATGCAACGGGTCCTCACCTCAAAATGGCCCGGACTGTTCAGAGGACAATAAACCTACAAACAAATACATTCAACTTTCTAAAGGATCTCTTTCAGCAACAATGGAAATTTGCCCATGCACCAAATTATATAAAAGTGAGTGGTATTAGTAGCACCTTGAAAAAGGATTAAAAAGGTCCATAGGGCCAGTGCTATGACCCATTTAGTGTGGTAACCATAGGAGTATGAAAGGGTTAAGTTTTTCATCTGAAAAAGTATTAAAACCACAATGTACAATATCAAATGATATGCTGTTGGATAAACAAGGATCAGTTTGAATATGGTGGTGAATATGAATCAAAATATTCCAAAATAAAACAATCATCTCTTTTTGGGGTTTTAAGACACTGCTTTTTTCCTATATGTGGACAAAAAGATCGACAGAATGATAAAAAACCGTATCGTGTCTGGACATCAGTTCCAGACCTTTCTGTATTTCGGAACAGCCATATTGTGAAGGCATATCACATGCACTATTGACCTGAATGACCTCGCACCCTGATAAAGTTTGGTTGCTGTAACACGCCACACTTCCAGAAGGTGTGTCTTATATGTGGATGAAACAAAAACTGCTAAAAACCAGCCCTGTGGCTTAAATTCGGGTGTGCTTTATAGGCTGGATAATATGGTAAGTGAAAAAACTTACTGCCAAAGTCCTTTAGGTAAACATGTCTCCAGAGGTATCTGTCCTTGCACAATTGACTGAACTCCTTACAAGTCTCTGACATATTAAGCAAACCCACAACATCCAACATTCCTAAGATCTTCAGCTAAAGCAAACAAGAATAAAATTGTGAAAAAAAGTAATTTCAATTAATGCAGTAATTACAATGTTTAACAATGAAATGATAACCTTTTTGATACTCGTATGTATTGCAAACTAGAATATTGACAGTACCAAAAGCCCCAGGTATATCTGAACCCAATAATCAAGCTGACCAATGCAGGTACCACAAAAACCTTTTAAAGAGACAATATAGGTCTGTTGAATTGTCCTCTAATTCAAACAAACATTGTTTCATATGTGAAAATAAAATACTTGTCCGGTAAGAAATACAACTTTGACCTTGACCTAGTGACCCTCACTTTCAGTTTTGCTTGATTGCAACAAACTGTACCTCACAAAAGTCATAAAAAATTATTAAAATTGACCATGACTGGACATAGACATAGATGTTTCTTCAGCCAATTTTCCTGTCACAACAAACTATAGTCCCTGTGCTGTAACTTTAACTTCACCTGTAACCTGAATTTCACTTGTAATCCTTACTTTCACTGGTACATTCACAGAAGTGGTCAGATCTCTACTGCACTTACCTTCACTTCATGACTGACAGCAAATATCCCATAAAATGGAGGTAATCTTTGTCCTGTGAACAGAATGCCAATATTATAATGTACCTGTAGGTCTCTATGGGTCTCTTATATCCATTTAATATATAACAATCACTAATATTCATGTATCAACTAATCTAGACTTTGTAATTTTCTGTAGTAAGTTTCAAATTACAGGAGAAAATCCTTAGTCATTTATATAGTACTGTTTAAAACTACTTGACTTTTGATGCAGTGATACATACCTGTTCTGTAGTGTTGGAGCATGGGCAATGCTATAGCATCCTTGAACACACGAGATAATTTCCCCAGGTTTTGGTAGCAATCACCAGCTCCTGTCAAATATATAATTTATTAATGTATGTATTTAACATGTAATGTTTTATAGTAATAGTATAGATTTTTCAACTTAAGTTAAAAATGTAGTATTAGTAAAGTATTAACAAGTCAGAAAGTAGCCATTGTGTTCCTGGCCATATACAGTCTCTAATTTACAGATTACAAATATGTATACTGTTTCTCTATGTTAAGAAAATGCACATCCATTGAGCATGACCTCAGGATTGCAAAATCCACACATCTCCATATAGAAAATTTACTGCCAATGAAATTTCAGGAATTTGAGCACAATGATGACATCACACCTTGAAGTGGACAACAAAAATCTGATTATTTAGGTCCCTTGGATTCATTGTAAACATCTGTACTGTTACAGAACACTTATTCCTTGGGGCACTTATTTTCATAATATACATGCACCCAGTATATAACTTATTCCATGGGGCCCTTCGGATATCATTATAATAAACTTAAACTTAATACTATAGTATAGGAGACAGAAAAACCCACATGGTCACTTAGGTAGAAGATAAGTGTGAACCAATGTCTGTCCTCTGTCACCCACTGACATGTATTCAAATAATGTTACTGGTGTATAATAATTTCTTACCTTGAGGTGATGTTTTTTTGATGAATTCCTTTGTGTTGAGGTTTAAACAACATGACCAGTTGTCTTCATTTCCTTGCAGATGTCCTGAAACAATGTAACAGATAACATAATATGATTTTTGAAGCAGGATAAATATTAGATTAAACAAAGACCAAGAGAAACTAGATCATTCCCCTCAACATTTCAGTAATCATGTCAAAACATTCTTTCCATAGTGATAATACAATATGTTCCTCTATCTAGATTTGGTCAACTTAAATATCTATCATGTTATGCCCCCTCTCCCCTTCCCCCAGGGACAACTTTAATATCCAATTAATCTATAAACTTTAAATTAAAATGCAAGTGTTAAATATCGTTCAATATTGCATTCTGAATATAATTAACAAAAGTCATCCACTAGACATACAAAGTACAGCAAATGTTGTGCCCTTACCATGTACCACCAGCACTGATCCCATAGGAAAACAGGTTAAAACAAAACTCTGCTCTGTACAGCTGGGCTGTACATGCTTGTAGTATAGGCAGTACTGGCCTGGCTTGTCTCGCCATCCACCTGGCATACCTCTCTCAATTAAGGGACTATCAGCATCACAACTTGTAGGTAAAGTACTGTTATCTGGATTTGTCTGAGAGGCCGGTTGATCATTTGTTGAACTTGTGGCAGCATAGAACTTCTTTAATGAAAAAATATGTAATTAATTTGAATACATATACACATTTGTAAAATATATTTAGTCAAAAACACAATGACATACAATTTTCATCTGATTGTGATCAACATTTGACAACAAAAGTCTATCAGCATATATTGGCAAGTTAAGAATATTGTATACATGGAAAGTTTCACTGCAATTAAACTTTTGCCAATGAGTGAAAATAATTCTTGGGCTGAAGTTAACCTTAAAGCTTATAGAATACGCTTATATGTATTTCAACATTTTGTGAAATGGAACGGTTAATTTCAATCAAGGGAGTAAATAATCCCTTTGTGAATATTTTTCGGCATGCAGTGTTTTAACCAAACGAAGCATCAAAAATCAACTGTTTCAGTACACACAAGTAACGGTATATAACGGAACCAAAAAGTCAATTAAAAATGTTATAGCATGGAGCAACTGTACTTGTTGAAAGTAAAGTATTATCTTATATTAATTATTAAATACACAAAAATGTTACCTCATCTACAGTAGTGTAGCCAGTCTCCAGCATAAGGACATGTAGGACGGTACACATAGCCTCAGCAGAGCATGTGATCCCAGCATTCTGATACATATCACTTAGCACAGCTGGCACAATATGTCCATAACTCTCTCGACACAACATGGGTTCATTCAAATATCTATTGACCAAAGTCAGATCTATTTTTTCAACTGTGGAATCTGTTATTTGTTCCTCTGTGTCCATTTCTGAAATCACCTGACCATTAGAAGTCATCTCTGATGCGTTGGATGCTGAATACTGGTCAAGACTTGTAGGAGTGTCCACTTTATCAGAATTTGAGCATTCATGAGACAGCTGTGCAGCACTGACATGTCTGGATTCAGTCTTTGCATGAGAGGAATGAGAAGCAGATGCTGCTCCAGTGCGCACAGTCTGAGTTACATTACCTTGACTACCTACTCTTGATGTCTGCTGCACTGAATCTGACCATTCCTTAGACAAAAGTTGAGGTTTACAAACAGGTGCCACATTATCTACATCCCCTGAAGTTACTACATAGACGAGATCACCAGACACAATTCCGTGGCTAACCAGAGTTTTGTCCACTTCCAAAGTATCTTTCTTATTAAGACTTAGCGTAAAATCACTGAAATAGAATAAAAAAAAAGTATGTTACAAAAACAAATATATACTTATTATAATTTATAGTGGTATATCAAAATCATATTAACTTAATCAAAAGTAAATAGTGCTATTCCAATTAATCAGTTTAATCAATGATTATTGCTATTTTACCACCATGTTGCTAATACTTAATCTAATTAATTTATCAAGGAAACAGAGGCTAGTTATTTTCATCTCAAAAATATTGTTTGTATCATGACAACATATTGGTTGTCTAGTTATTTTAACACAGAAACATAGCAGACATATTGGTAGTTAGCTGCAATATTCACAAAAACTTTTCATTTCAAGAGCTAAATAATAAAGATTGTTGACCTTACAATCCAACAATTTTATTATATTGTTTTATGGGACAAGACGTTAATATTTTGATACTTCACTATCAATACATCAGCAGCAATGATGCATTAGTCAGACTCTACCAGCTTTTTCATAAAACTCACAGCTTATACCACAAAACACTATAACATACTACACATTAGAATGTGTGATATAAGAAGTATCTTTCAAAAATTGTTTAAAGGTAACATTAATCTATTTTTCTTTCTTCTGTCTGTAAGTCCTGCACATGAATATTGATAGCTTGAAATGTTTTGGCTATTCTGAATCTTAAGAAATAGTTTTTAAGAATTATGGTAATAATACACAAATAAAAACAGGTTGGGACCATCATGTCAGTGGTTGTGGTGTTCAAATCATCTCATCTTGCCTGATTTCTCCTTCTGCATAGTGTGACATCAATCCTGATGATTTATCACTGAACATTGGTTAAAAGTTCACATAAACATGATTTTTTTCTTGGTTAGTTTTATAAACAATAAAAGGGGGAAAGTCTTAATTTAGAGCTGTGAGAAAGAGGAAATGGTGAGAGGACTTTAAAGCATCAACATTGTCAATAGGAATGAAAACTGAGGAAGCAAGTTCTACAGTGTGATATTTCTGTGAAAGAGTACAATGTACTTATTAATTGCAGGCTCTGAATATGTCCTGATATGTTTAAAGGCACATGCTGTGGTGGTTTGACAGAGTGTAGGGGTTTACAGGGATTCATGATGTCATGCATGGTTGTGTAATATAGGGGAAGACCAATTTGAAGTTCGCAGAGCTGGAGCCGCAGAAGTTGTCACAAAATGAGAAATATCTGGCAGTTCAACACTTGACTTTCTAATGTGGTTGATTTATTAGTAGGTAAACATAGCAGTCCCGCACTTAGCAATGTATTCTAGTTCGGGATTAATCATATAACTAGGTTTTTTAGGAATGATCCTTCGAGAGTAATTGATAGAAATTATCACATCCAGTCAAGACGCGAATCATGTACATCTATGAACACCCTAGATATATTTCGTACCTCTATATATACATGTAGCTAGTATGAAAGACATTTGAAATTTGTCATTATTATTGTCGGTCAGGACGAACGAGAGAGTGTAAGGTTATTTGCACTAAGAATATACGCAAATGTTACATGTATAGAGTTTTGATAAGGCTACTGCGTGGTTTGTTATTTTTAAATGCTATTGAAATTGAGTCTACAAATCTGATTGTAAACATTATTAGCAAGTATCTAAATCTGGTTCAATTTTTACCATTTTAGTTGTGGAAATATTTCACAAACTACGACATATATGCTTGAAACCAAACATGTTTCATCTAATTCTCGAACTTTCGTCTCCCGACCTAACTTCAAACGAAGTTTCATTTTCATCGGCTGTCTGTTGAATTTTTTTTTGTTTACTTCCGGCAAAAGACAGGAGAGGATAACTCTGTTAGGGTCGCGTTCGCGTAAGCGGTTGGACCAGGCTGAAACGCCCGATCCTCGTCTAGATATCTAATACAACTGATGTATCTAAATTAACAGTACATTAAACCGATCATTTGATAACACAATGCATTTACACATGTTCATTATTTATTGGACTTCTCAATGAATCCACAACTCGACTTTTTCTGTGCTGAAATATGAATGGCAAATGTTAACAAAATCATACAGGACATACGGTTTTCCACATCCCGTTCTCCATTGGTGAAACTATATGCACTATGTCACATCAAAATTCCCTCCACGTGTAAATGTTGTTTCATTCGTGCAATGTTAGCCCAGAACAACTTAAATTCTTTCCATATATGGGTTACACAAAGACTACGAACCCAATTTTAAATCGGTGTCTTGAGCATGAAATCAAGACCAACTGAAATCAGCATCCGAGCCCAAACAGCGTCCTGAAGAACCTACTGAAAATTTCCCAGAAACACTGATTGGCAGTTCTTCCTAATAAGACAGGGGGAGATTTCTGTCGATGTTTCCCGGCTCCTTGGAGTGGGAGATAAAATGCTTTATAAACGAGTAAAACTGAAGTGAATTTAATTAAACATAAGTCGTACATACCCTGAGTATTGTTGCAAAAGGGGAAACGAGCAATTTTTTTACAGATATCAAATCAGCCATACCGCTTCGCTTTAAACAAGGGACTGTTGAAGCGTAAAGAACAAAGTATTTGTAAAATGTGTATCGTTACAAAATGTGGTTTCGATATTAGTGTAACTCAGATACATAAGTCAATAATCTTTGACTGACCGGTTGATAAATTTTATCAATAAAACACATTTAGGTAGTTCACAGGGGTGTGGATAATTACTTGCATATGTACACTTAGGTTGGTGTAGTCTGGGCCCCGATAATCTTATTAGTGGGAGCCAGCCAGATGGACAGTTCTAGTATGAGTATATGAACTCTGTATGTTGATGAGATGTTGCTTTTGTACATGTAACATTATTAATATTCAACATGTAATAAACATGGCTATTACCAACAAGTACGTGCGTTTACGCCTACTGTGTTACAACCTCATATCAGTTTTTTGTGTGTTTAATTTCCAAGAGTGAAGACACATCCGTGACTCTACCCCATCATGCCGCGTTCAGTATTTTTAAATTATCATTAAATGCACAAACATAATTTCATTTAGACTTACTTGTCTATAGAAGTTGTAAGATGTAAACTGTATTTATTTCAGAGCTACAACAGCGAAAAAAACAACAACAAGAAAATACCAACATGTCAACATAATAATCCAAACCAAAATTCAACAAAATAGGAAAAAATAAACAAAAGAGAGATTCACACGGCGACTCATGAAAATGTACAAGGAAAATAAGACCCTGTGTTCCGGAAGAGTAAGCGTCTGATGCTGCGTCGACGACACCCGTCATGTAAACCAATCCCAGCAAGTAATGTCATGTTCTCAAATGAGAACATATCAAGGTATACAATTTGGAACCATCAGGCAAAGCCACAAAGACATCAACACACGTCCAGCCCCATATCCGGCACAAAGAATACAATATTTCTTAACGAGGTCACTATGACGACCGTAAAACTTCCCTACTTTTTGATCACTTCAACCTTCATCTTTTTAAAACAAGTTATCCAATTTTTATTTGTTGCCGCACAGATTGAATTGAGCAAGGTTTCGCATTACGGTATATATATGTACTAAGTTTTCAACATAGTAAAATGTACCGTTTATTAACAAAGATAGTACATTTTGTATCAAGGACACGTGTATTTGTCTATAGCACTATCTGAAATATATCTCAAACTATGTCTTTCCATGTCATGCTAGAAGTTGATCACGATGTATACCTAAAACATTTGGCTCGTTTTGATATATTATTCAGTTACCATGGCAACGTGGAATTAAGAAGCAGGCAATGCTTATTCTTGATGATTAACGAAGGAAATGCGTGGAATATGAAGTTGTTTGTACATAAAGAGGTTTTCTTTATTAATTTCTATTTACTGCATTTGTAGTTTAAATCAAGGCTAATTGTATACTATTGTAACAGAAAATAAAGATACATTTTGAATGTACATTGTATATTTGTAGCACGTTGCATTTATTTATTTCATTATTTTTGACTCTGTGGATTTCGTAATATCCGAGGTTTATATTGAAATATATGTTGAAGACATTTAGCACTGGCGACTGGCCAGAAAATCTTGTCAAAAATAGATTTAGCAAATATAGCCCAAATGTTCTTAATGTCTATTTTCGATTCGATCTATAAAGAATTAACAAATCGCGAATGGATAAAACTTTATTTTGATTCATTTGAGTATATCAGTAATGGGCGATTTTTTTTTCGAAATATCGTAAAAGTTAGAATAAATTCCGTGGTTATTCTAATCGAATGAAAATTCAAAATGTGAAAAGGGCTCTCCATTCAATGTATACCTGATAAATATCACTTTAATTGGTTATATAGATATTATGTATAAACTGATTTGTCAAAATTGCAAAAAAAAAAACGGAATAAAAACATGAAAAAGAACAGACATGAACATTTCTAGACAAAAATAGGTAGAACAATTGTATCTTGAAAGATAGGGATACGTTCCGAATAATTTAGGTCTTGCGTTCATCGTCGTCAGACGTTTTTCACACACATACACTCACCCACATTCAAATCGATCGAGCACCAGAATTTGTAACTGATGACATGGGTTATTCCCCTTCGAAGTAGCTCTTTAGCAGCCGTTGGTAAGAAATAATTCCGTAAACCTTTGACCCAAACTTCCTGCATAGCAAATTAGCGGCAAGTGCTTGGCAGCAGTGTCAACGAATGGTGGAACGAGAGTGAAAAATTACTGAAAATGTCGACAACTTACAAGGAAAGCATGTCTTACCACAAACCGCCTGCATAGTGAATGTTCCGTTAAGTGAAACCAAAGAACAAGGGGTATGAATGGCGCGAAGTGGATCCGAATCACTATTTAAAAAGAACACAAAATTAGAAAGTTATTTGAAGCGAAATCTCACAGACGAAGCTTTTGAGCGTGTACGAGCATACGAATCATGTATAGTTGTTTCCGAAAAAGAAAACAAAGCGTTCAAATATGTGATCCTGGGTGATGAATCCATATATCTTACAGAAAACCCCCCTAAAAATCTTCAGGAAAGTGTGCACTTAAAAGATATCGTCGCCGTTGAATTGGTAAGTCAAGACTAGTGAGCAGGTGTTGTTCAATTGTCTTTGGATCTTTTGTTATCTATTGGTTAGGTCTGGACATATGTTAAGGCCTTCGCCTTAAGGTAAATACAAGTTGATCAAAGTCACATTGTTCTTCAACGTCAACTATTTATATGTATCTCTTTACTGTTTAAATGCATCAAGTAATGCAAACTGTAGAAAAAAATGTTTTGATTAGTGATATTTCAGTCATTACTCATTTTAAGTCACTAAACTCTGTTATCCTCCGAGAATTTACTTTGTCTATTTCCGTGTTAACTATATAAACATTTTTGATAGACAAGACTGAATACCAGTAATCTTATACTTGTGTGCACCTAATATAATGCACACTATATATGTACAGTGTGTAATCAAGCTCCAATGAATTTGGGGACAGATGTGTTAATAGTAATTAGACCATGAAATATTTGTGTTGAAATCCTTATTGCTGCCAATTCTCTCAACATTTAAATGAATGTATTTACCTGATAGCAATAACAAGTGAACCGATTTTATTTATCAGTACCTGAAACAGTAATTGTCCAATTATTAGCTATAACCACCTGAGTCCAAATTGTTCTGATTACCTTTTCACAATTGTCGAAGACCATGACAAAAACTAAAATTGTGAAAAAATGATCAGAACAATGCAGACTATATATATGTGTCAGACTATCATAACTGACTGTCAGCTCACCTTTAAGTTGAAGATATATAATTGTATTGTTGTAAGTTGACAAACTTGTAATCTATTATCAAATCAATATCTATTAATCTTAAAGTTCAATTGCTGAACTTAGTTTTTACTATTTGTAACCAAAGAAGAACTACCAAGTGTATTATCTAAATATTTTATGACTTTGTCAGTATGGAACTTGTTAACTTATCATTAGTGTATTTCTACGTTGAAGTTAAATTAATTATGTCAATTGTGACATCTTTTTATTTTGATGACCCCACAATTATCTTGTGTTTAATTGCAGCTAAATGGACATTAAATTAAACCTCAGATAAGTCAAGAATCAAAATTTTAAATGCAATAAAATTAGATGAGTTGTGTGTTATTTGGATGGTATCAATTTTTCCTTTTAAACCACTTTTTCAAAACCAAAAGGTCAAGGATTTTTTTGTTGGGACTGTAGCATGCTGGAATGATGGACTGCTAAGTCTGTTCAAATGAATGATTTTCACCCACTTTGAAGATCACTAGGGTCAAATGCATTCAAATAATGCAACAGTAGAATGATGAGGAAAGGCTGACAAAGTGAATGCCATTTATTTTCTTTCAATATCACAGCCCAGGATTAAAATATCTTTAAGAACTTTGAACTTCTTTTCAATAACCAATAGATGTGGGTCTTGACATTGATGCATGCTTCAAGAAGGTTTTCAAATTTTGCAGAAATTATAAGTACATGTAAGTCTTGGTGGAGTTTTCTATGTAAGCTGCAGAACAGATGAGTGACTAATTCAGAAATATTGGACCTCTTCTTTTATGAGCTGTAGGCCTACTGATATATGATTTCAGGGTTTAGCATTATTTTACAAAAACTACCACTATGATTTCAAGACATAATTTTATAAAAAAATATATATATATTGAATTTGTAAGAAATTGTCAGAATATGATCATGACTTGTAAACTGAATTTTTAAAAAGCTGTCACTTTAAGACCATTGAAAAATACAAACTCATACATAAATTTATGGTTTAACTACAGTGTACATTGAGAAATCTTTAACTCTTAGAAAGTTTACTTTTTATAGTTAAAAAATATTGATAACAGTTGGATAGATCTCAAATGACATGACCTTTCATGAGAAATTTTATTCAAATTTAGGTTATAGTTTAGGACGCAACGAACCATTCAAATGCTGTTTAAGTTTAGTGTAGAAAGTCAAGGATTATGTATGATCTATCAGAGCAAACTTTGAAATGATCACACCTTCCAATATTGTCATTTTTTAAATTGGGACGGTGGTTTGGAAATGTTTTGATCTAGTCACTGTATTAAAAGCATGATTTGATATTCCTGAAGTAACTTGAGCAGGTGAAGTTATAGCATGGTTTTAGTAATCTTAACAATAATAGTGATACCAGAAGGTAATAGGTATTGGTAGTCAATAGATAAAGGAACAGTAAAACACGTATATGATACTGGTGTCATTCTACTGTGGCAAAAACACTTAGTACCAATTGAGACCTATTAGTGACTGTCAGCTAACCCTCTATATATATGTTCTATTACAGGTGAACCAATATTTATTCAGTACCATATACACATGTACTGATATACCTGTATACTGCTGGCGTTTATGGACAACTTGACTGCTAGTATTTAATTTCTCCAATACATTAAGCTTTTTCATAAGATTGTCCTGGACCAGCCAAACCCATATTTCTTAAACACACACATATATTTACCAGTAAAGTATTTATTTGTAATGTATGTGTAATATTGAACACTTGTTGTATATTTTATACTGCGCAAGAAAAACAAACAACTATGTAAATATTAGCTCAATGAATACCCTTTTTTGACTGACGGTGTTCAGAATGGGACAATAGTCAGTTGAAGACATCATGTGTGGGATCAGATCATGTACCACTCATTACCACAATCCAGTATTTTAAAAATCCTTTTAACTACAGACTGACCTGCTGTAGTAAAGGCCAAGGGAGTTAATCTACAGAGTTCAACTGGTAGACGCACAGGATCACAAAACTGATATGTTCAAAGTTCTTCCTTCAAGTATTGCAATGTGTCTTTTGTTGACTGACTGTCTTATTGTTTTATCTGCATGTTCTATAAATGTAAAGGTATTTATCTAATTGTACAAACAGTCATTTTTGGGACTCAAATATTTGAGTCCTGGACCCATACTTTTCCTGTGGGACTCTATCAAACTTTGAGCATCCACTATATATGTCTTTGTAACTGGACTCACCAAAAAATTGGAAATAGTACTCTCGACTCACAAGAAAAATCCTACAAAAATGACTGACACTTATTTTTAGATCAAGGTCTAAATTTAAGTCTCTAGATTAAATCACATGTAAATCAAGATAACCACCTGTACAGTACAGGACATTTCCAAAAAAAAACAAAAAAAAAAAAAAGCAAAATATTCTAAACCTCTGAATTTTAATCTATTTGAAGATCATTAATTGTTGTAAACAGACTGAACTTTAAAATAGACAATGGATATTATAGCATTATTTAGACATTTGTTAATTATAGCTTTTCCTATGGCAGTCAAAACTTTGGCAAGAAATATAATTGTATGGCTTTGTTCTTCTTAAACCGTGTCTTGATAGCTTCTCACTCTGATTTTAGTCTTTAAAAGTTGCAGGCATTATTTTCATCATATGCACTTGTGTTTTTTGATAACATATATTTCTCTTTGACAATCTTTTTCACAGTCTTCAGCTCTTGTTGTTTTTAGTTTGTTTTAACATCTCACCCAGAGTCTTGTTACTTTCGTTTTTCAGTCTGTTTTTTTAAAACTTGGTACATTGTGTCTTTGATCATATTGCCATAAAGCATTTATTTCTTAATATCCATATTCTTTTATGTTATAAATGCATATTGACACAATATATTGAATTTTATTCAAGCATATGTTATGCCAATATTCATATATGTATATACATATTCATTGTATGTATCAAACTCAGGTGTAATTACGACAGTCATTCAAATCTGAATAGATGACTCTTATGAACTTTAACACTCCCTGAAAGTCTACTAATTGAAAGAATTTTTTTTTATTTTAATATTCCCGATTTTACCGTAGTATCTCATTGCATTATAATAATAATAAGAAATTGTGTTTATGGAAAGAACTGTAGATTACATTTTGTACATTGTATAACTAACTAAAGTGTTGGGAATCATCTGATAAATCAGTCAGTCAGTTTATCAAATGTTTTCCAAAATCATGATTGATTGATAATTGATTAATCTCCAGATAGAATATTTTGGCCTGTTTATAGTATCCATTATGATGTATATAGTTCTGACCAGAACAGTTTTGTTCTAAGACATCTTGTCCACCAATTTCTTTCAAAAAGTTAGAGAATTAAGTAGTTGTTTTACCATATGAAGTTTATATTTAACTCATGTGACTCATCCAGTTAATAACAAAACTGGCTATAGAAGACATATTTCTTGAAAATGGACACAATGGATGAAAAATATCAAAATCGATTGACATCAGAGTTTTTCTGAATTATCAATTATCATTAGCCTAAAATTGAACTTTAAAAAATTAAGCTGTATGATTACTGTATTGTGTTCTATACATGATATGCAAGGAATTGTAACTGTTTTTATAAATAACATTACACAATGTTTGCTTGAAATGTGTTAACATTAAAATTGATGGTACTTTTACCTTGCTTAAGTTTCACATTATTGTGATCATTTCAGCTTCATTTAGTTTATTGCAAAACTGTGCTTGGACTGAAAATTCTAATTAACTATTTTTGTCAATGTGCACTTCCATCAGGATCAAATTTCAAATGTGTGCAGATAAACCATGGCCTATATCAACAGATCAACAATTGCCTTTTGATAGTGTAATTCTCTAAAATAAAATGCATTACGACTGAATGTCCTGTTTACCCAGGATACACATAACAGCAGTGTGATTTCATTAGGAAAACATTTAATTAAATACTGGTAGTTTACAGCATATTGGTATCTGTTAATAATCTCACTTCTTTTATTAGTTGTTGTGAGCTATTTTCAAGAGAAAAAATTAAAAATTGATCAAGTCATTTTCGTTCTGCTCAATGAACAACATGTAGTTTAGTGACACCCGGATATAGCTGTGGCTTCATATGGATTCCATGTCACACTCTGACAGAATAGATAAAAGAAAATGAAGATAAATATTGTTGGTGTCGTTATGGTAATCTGTGTAAATGTCACGACAGCCATTAGATCAATTGGCTGAATCTGTCTGTATTCATTGGTGTAAATGCCGACATTCAATAGAGGTATCCTGCATGAAAATTAAAATGACAACATATAAGTCATTTTATATTTCCCATGTGCTTACAACGTTATTGATTTGAGGAAGCTGTGAACTAGATAGCGGAATATTTGATTTCTGAGGGTGTCACATTTCATATTTGTACACATTTGTGAAATGTGATTTTATTTGACATTACTCAGAGAATAAGCGTTCTATTGGCAAATCTTTTCTACCTTCAGTACACCAGAGACTGTGCACAAGAATTGATTCCTTATTTGAATTTTTCATTTTTGTTTTTTACTATGCAATCTACATTTTATACTTGTACCCTTCCTTTCTGAAATTTTAGATCCCCTTGCACATTTAGGTGCTAGCATTGTAGAAATTGTGTTTAACTGAACATACTGGTTTACATCTACAATATATAGAAACATCTTTTTAATTTTTGTAACTAAAGTACTTGCTGTGGTGCCAGAATGATACAGCATAGAGAGACTACAAAACTTACAAAGTGACAGATGATACCATTAGATATAGTGTTTCTTATGGGAAGTTACAACCTGTTTGTAGCTTTAGACTTGTCCAAACAGCTGTTGTTGTATAATTTGTATTATTATTTATTCAGTAATAAGACTAGCTCTAGTAAGTCACCAGAGGCAGGCTTATTACAGGACCTTGGTACAGAATGTTTTGCATGTCTTTTTCTGTCAGTGTTCTATATGTGGTTGTCGAGTATGGGCTTAGTTATATGTACTAGCAGCAAAAATGAAACGCAAGTTCGGTTTTTGTATTATAACTTTTATACACGTGGACGAATTTAATTCAATTTGACACAGAGCTACTTCTGTTCACTGTGAAAATGGTCTTCAGTTAAAATTTAGCTGGCCGTGACCACGTTTGACACTGCCTGCTTTCAGCACTATATGTGCTGGTAAATTATTACAAATCAAACATTGGGGCAGTACAGACTAGCTTCACAGCATTTCTTTTTGAAGTGATTGTAGAACGAAATGCAGTGATTTAGTGAAATCCATAGGGGTAGGGCTGTTGCTCTGATAATCCAGGGACATTCACAATGTCATGTAGCCCAGCATTATGGGATACATGAGACAACAGTATTGAGTGACCATCCCAGGAGTGAATGACCGTGCATTATATTGTGATGTCAAGATAGAGGTATTGCACCAACCTGATTGATTTCATATGGCAACAGAGACAGCACGTCAATTTGTTGGCACTGATGGTTGGACATTGGGTCCAAGAACAGTTAGATATTGGTTGGGGGAGTTCTATTTAAGAGTGCTAATGTATGGGCATGGATATCACAAGGCATGAAAACACCTCTTGTGGTTATTCCTGCCAATCTTACAGCAGCAACATATCAGGATCTTATCTTGAGACCACACATCCTTCCTCCTATCCATCAACATTGCCTTACGTTGCAGCTGGACAATGCGAAATCCCATGTTGCTAGGGTTTGATGCGACTTTCTGGCTCAAAACAATGTCCCAGTTCTTGATTGGCCACAATACAGTCCAGATTTGTCACCAATCAAGCATTTGTGGGACAAGCTGGACACGAAGGTTAGGAAGTGCGTCGACGTCCCATATAACGTCGCTCAACCCACGCAAGTCATATTCAGTAATGGAATAATATCCCTCAAATAAAAATAAAAACTGTGATGGGGTTAAGTAGAGTCAGTGACTGAAGCCAGGGGAGGGTACATACGGTACTGTCTTGGATCAGGAAACAGTGTAAGGTACCCTTGTTTTAACACCTTTTATGCAAACGCCATCTGTGATAGGACAACAAAAATCATCAAAATGATAAAGTATTGAGAAACCCAAACAATAAACTAATCGTCAGTGAATCATGTAAAATAATAACTATCGAAAATAAACTTTGGTTCCCTTTTTCCGCTAGTATATGTTGCCAGACGAAAACCATACATACAAATACTAAGTTAGTATTAAATACTTGGACAATAATGCATCCATTTGAAATTTACTTTTTTGTATTGTATTTCTAAATACATTTATGGTACATGCCAATATATGCACATTGCAAAAGCGTTAAAGTTGAATCAGTTGGAACTTTTTCATTGTTTAGATTCCTACAGGACACATAATTCAAAGCCTTATATAGCAAACACACTAAATGTCATTCTAATATATTTTAAAATATAGTAATTACATTTATTTGATTCCACTACTGCATTTTCTAGAGTACAGGTGTCCTTTATACTAGTAACCTTGACAGTGTCTGTACCGTGACTGGTACAAAGTCAATCACATGCAATGAACTGTGTTAAAAAAAAACCTCATTTTCAACAGCTGCAGTTGAAGGCTTTCTTTTATACAACGTACTTGAATACAGTTGCTTTACCTGGAGAGGTAAAACACATAACTTCTCTTCGAGAAACTATTCCATTCCCTTAATTGCAATACAAAAAAATGTTTTTCAAAAGGATTTTGCAATCACTGTTTGAATAACCAAGTGAGTGTTAAAGTAGCCTCTAGGCAACTCGTTATAATAATTAACATTCAAAATTTTCAAATGTGAGGCAAAGTATTTTTCATTATTTATGATTTTTTGTTTGTAATTTCCCTAGAAATTTGGTTCAGATAAATTAATACCTGCCGTAGATATAAGGTATAATGAATACTGTAACTCAAGGGACATTCTTTATAATTTCATGGTTGTGTAATAGAGATAATTAGCTACATATTTTGATAAACATCTGATCAGATATTGATTATCGACAAACAGCAAGATGTATGGCAAAGTTTATATCAATTATGTATTGCACCCTCTTAAACATTTTACTTTGAAGTGGAGTATATTTGACACATGGCAGTTTATATTTTAAACTCATGTCGAGGCAGTTCTGCAGTAGCTCAAAATGAAATTGGTTGCATCAGGGTCGTAAAATCATCAGTTCAAACACAAACACCTACAGATAGGTACATATATATAAAAGTCGCTAAATCTTTAGAAACACATCATTTTTGCTGACTTTACATCTACCAAATGGTTTTTTGCTTTGTAGGTTGAGGTTAAGGGGTTTTAAAAGGACTCTATCACTAGGGGATCTGATGATGTATGTTATATATACATAGACTTGATGGCACAGTTGAGGATAATTATCTTTTAGAATTTACCTAGACCATTTGTAACAACAAATCAGGATGTTTCTTTTTGTTATTTTGTTACCATGGAGATACTATATAACTATATATACCTACTGGTATAATTAGGGAAGCCCTCATTAGATTGTTGTCAGGTTGCCATGGAAGTGTAAATAGTATCACCGTGGTAATAGTGATAGTTATTATGACCTGAGTAGCAGGTGATCCTGACAGTTTTTTTAGATATTGATCAACGATGGACAGAAATAGATTCTGAGATGTCAATATAATTAATGACGTCTATTTCTATCTGTGGTCATGGATGCTTCAACAATCTAAAGTAAAAGGCTTGATGTATATTTAAACTTTGTAACAACAATTTTTGTACAGTGTAATAGGAATTGAATATAGTAGATTGTCAAAAATAAAGAATAAATGTTCTGTGTTAGGAAATTTTAAGTTTTATCAAAATTTTTAACTTGGGTTGTACTGGAGCTGATATATGTGACATCTATATAAATATGTAAGATATGAATCTATGTACTGTATATGTATAAGGACTTAAAGTACATTATTATCAACATGCTAGAATGATATTCTCAATAACTTGTTTTTGTAATTGTGTTTGGATGTCATAGTCGTAATTTTAATTTTCTGTTCCCTGATGTATATTTAAGATTAAATTTACATTTGTTTGAAAGAAAATCATCATATGTTTTATTCCTTTCTGCAGGTAAATGATTTCCCAGAATTCCTCAGTGGAGAAGAAAGAGAGAATACTCAACATTTGGCCGTAACATTTTGGACAACCGAAGGTGGTAAAAGGAGATCTTTAAGAAAGGGACGCAAATCTCCACGATTAGGTTCTGTATCAGATCTCCATGGCGATCGGTCAAATGCATCAACACCCCTTGGTTATATTTCCTCACAGGAAAGTACAAACTGGTCAGAAGACTATGGCTATGCAACTCAGAGCATGTCGAGTTTGCAAGTCAGTCGTCCAGACAGCCGTGGGTCCGTTGGATCAAACGGTAAACCGAGTGGTATCAAGAAGAAAAAGAATCGTTTAGTGCTAGGTGACAGTAATGATGAAACACTGCTGAAATCTCTCAAGGAAGAAATGGAGGAGGAGGATTTAGAAGACATCGAAGAAAACAATGGTCTATCCAACTCCTTTTCCTCCTCCCTACAGCGGACATCTTCCAATAAAAAGCGAGAATTACCTGATCCTACGAATACAAAAAATGTATTTACGAATAGGGATAGTGACCAGTCTAGTCAAAGAGGAGTCGGTGGAGAGAATTTAAGTCTGTCTGGGTCAGTAAGATCTAATCGCCCCCTCCCACAGATGGTCCCTAAAACTGCTTTTGAAAATCTTACCTCCCCACCATCTCAAACTATAATAAACGGTACTAATGAGGAAAAATCAGCTGTTAATATAGGTGAAGACCATAGTAACGATACAAGGGTTATTGGCACTGTGGAAGTTGATGATGAAAAGCCAACTTTCTGTTGCTCAACACTTAACTGTTTCAAAAACAAAAAAAATCTTATTTTTCCATTCTGTAGTAAAAAAGATACAGCACTTGAAGAAAGTGTAAAAAGTGCTAATATGCTGGACAGTAAAGAAGTTCAATATCCTGAAAAAATCCCCCTTCCTGATATTACACTGGATACTAGTTCGCAGGAGATTTCGGCTTTAGGGTCAAAGGGTCAAAGGGGTTCTGTTCCATCCTTGCATGAAGCCACCCGTTCCCGTCGTTCCTCTATCACCAGTAACCTGCGACCTCCGTCGCGGTCCGGTACACCTGCACTGGAAAGCGAGCCAACCTTCACTAGAAGTGTCAGGTAGGTGGTTCCTTTTCACACTTGTCACTCGTAGGGTTTGGTTGGCTCTCTAGGACTTTGTTTATGATCACTCCAATCATGATCAAAGCAACTATTAGTAAACACATATGCACCACACTTTTGTCATTTTAAACACCAGTCTTGTGAATTAAGGGGTGAATTCCCCTTTAGAATTATAAATTTTCATTAAGTAAACTTTATAAGTACACAAAACAGACATTTAAATACGTCTAAGCTGTAGCTATTTCTAAAATATTTCAATGTATAAACAGTGATGCCTTTTTTATTTTGAGAAATCAGTCATTTTCTTTGATCCTAATAATTAGATAAATCTCTCTATTGGCTTTCAAGCTCCCGTGTTCATGATTTTCCAGCATTTACGGATGGACTTGGAACATAAGCTAGATCTCTTAATTACATGAAAAGTACATGATGTATAGGTAGATATCTAGTATCAGATTACAATTACGACTAATTTGCTGTATCAGATGATGTAGTGATCAAACTTCATTAATTATATACACTATGGTAGTAATTATAATACAATCTTTCAACCGGAAATTCACTCAACATTGGCTTTTGTTGTATAAACAAAGGGCTAATAACTTTGATAAGTTTAAGGTAATTTTTGATAAAATAGTGATAAATTTCTCCCGTTAAAATCAAAATACCTTATTTATTGGTCCAGTTTTAAGAGATGACTTAAGCACATGTATTGCCCATCAATTTGTTGTTATAAAGTTATGTGTGATTGCACAGTCTAAAGATGTACAGTTAATGACTGACTGAACTTAAGTAAAATTATTATAATGATATGCAGATTTGTTGACAATTTTAGATATATCTGTTTATATGTAATTATGTGAACAAAGAAAAACTTAATGTAACATCCTTAGACATGATGTAAAGTCATGCTGATGTATTAAGTCACAGTTGGTGTGACAAAGTCCGAAGTTCAAGGCAAAAATAATGATACATGATCATCACCATTTTTTACCTATGTATGGCTTCGCATTGTTGATGCAATACTCCTTCTCGGTATCAGTCATGTACAGTATCAAGCTTTTGTCCTTGAAATGAACTTTTCCTAAAATAGTGTTAAATACAAGATTGGAACTAGTCCTCTTTAAACTTTGAAAATCTGTGATATTATCAAGCAAGACTTTTAATCATCAGTTAGATCACTTTCTAGCGCTCAAAATAAAGTTTCATGTTTTCTTTCTATTGAACACAAGATATGTTTAACTATTGTTTCCAAGTATATAGCAATAAGCTTCGTCCAGACAACTTTCCGAGATCAAGACATTAGATTTTAATAGCAGTGAAGCTAGATAAAGTCTTACAATCTTTATAAGATAATCAGCAAGTAACAGTTTGTGTCAAAAATGAATTTTAACATAATCTTTATAATTAAGTGTTCAAATTTATGATGATTTTTTACAAAAACTTAGGAGAAACTACAGCTAAACCCCTTAAGAAAACTTTGATATAAGGTACTGTGCATATTTAAATTTGAAAAAGTAGCTTGATTATGTTGCAGATTAGATTATTTCAAGATATTATAGATGTAGATCCAGGTTGACGAGGCAGTTTATATTTTAATTCTTATCTGATATATGATAACAATGCTATAAAAATGACTACAGTGATATAAATTTTGATAAATTCTCGTGGTTCTTTATTTTTAATATCTACCCTTATCAGGAATTTAACTTGTAATACATGGCTCATGAATAGTGAAGATTCTCTCCTACACAATTGTTTCCGTGGGTGTGGTATACCATTTACATTTCGTGTATAGTGTTGAAAAGGAATATTTCACTCTTGATTATTATGCATGTTACGAAAAAACAGCCACGAACATATTCACTATTCTGAATCACCAAATACACAGTATCTATATTGCATGAATATGCATGTTGTATTTATGCAGAATAACCATTAACGATCATTGATGATGAAAATGTCGCCATTCTGATCAATATTTAGGCAAACATGATTTTTGTACAGTCTATCGTAAGATAATTAATTCACTCTGTGTTGAACTTGATTGTGTTTTAATTGTTATTTCCCAGGCTGTTTCACAGAGATTCCACATATCTTGGGTATATAATTATGCAATATAATTTTAAAATCCTTGATACATAAACTCTACTTGGCTTTATTGAGGCTGTTGGTGTCTATTTAGCTCTTTATACTTATCAGTCCCTTCTGCAGACTTTGAATTGATGTAGATTCAATGCATGAACTTCCAGGCCTGATATTTATCATCTATGTATGTAGTTTAATTCCTAGATTAGAGCTATATATAATATCTACTATAGATACATACAGATAATGGCTTTCTGTTCCCTTCTGCATTCTAACATAATTTCGAGAACTCCCACCATCACCTCCATCATATTTATGGGATCAATTATAAATTCTGTAACAGTAATAAATGTCACCATTATTAGTCTTAACACCTACAATATCCCTCAAGACTAAAAATATTGTAATTTAGCTCTACAATAAATGAGCTCATATTAATATTTAGATGAAGTATGTGTATCCAGAATTATATATTATGTAAGCTGTAATAGGAATATTTTATAGTTTCGTGCTGGTATGAAAAAAAAAACTGATTTAATGCCTTTGACTCCTCCCATCATTATCAAGTCAATGGAGTTGAATTTTTGTTCAGTGAGAAACAAAGCCAGCATTTTGCATACAAACATTGAAAAATTAATCATTCGATGATTCATAGACTGATTATCAAAATTTAAAATATTTAGGAAATATGATATCTACATGTACAAATCAATAAAACATCCTTTTTCTGTAGCCTGTGACGAATCTACATTCAGCTGTTAAAACATAACTGTTCTAGGTAAATTAAATGTGTGAAAACTTTTTAGTCCACGGTACCTAATACTTAGTTTGTTAAAGTTGTATCAATAATGTCCGATTGCCAGAAACACCCTGTTAATATAAATCAATGTGACTATTTGATAATGTCTGATTCCCAGAAACACCCTGTTAATATGTAACAATGTGACTATTTGATGATGTCTGATTCCCAGAAACACCCTGTTAATATGTAACAATGTGACTATTTGATGATGTCTGATTCCCAGAAACACCCTTTTAATATAAATCAATGTGACTATTTGATAATGTCTGATTCCCAGAAACACCCTGTTAATATGTAACAATGTGACTATTTGATGATGTCTGATTCCCAGAAACACCCTTTTAATATAAATCAATGTGACTATTTGATGATGTCTGATTCCCAGAAACACCCTGTTAATATGTAACAATGTGATTGTTAAAGGTTTTTACATTGTATTGATTTCACCTTTCATCATCATCATCCACAGTGCCATGACCCAATTCCATTCTTGTTGATGTTGTAATTATTGATGATCAGGATCCCAAAACTTGTAAATACATTTGTACCAATTAATTAATAATTGACAGTTCTGAAGTCCTTTAATTTCATGTGTTTGATCCATGTATTGTTGTCAAGACCAACTTACTATTACCAGTGTTATGTTCTTATCAACTTTTGACTCAGTTTTGACGAAGTTTTAAAAGGCATTGTCTTGCCCTGCTTTTGACATTGTCCTTACAAGTTCTTTTTCCTTTGTCCTGACCTCTGACCTGTAATATTTGGACATTTTGTCCTCACCAGGTTTTGAAATCATCCAGTTTTTGCCATGTTACCATATTCTTCAGACCCTCTTCTGACATATGCTGACCTGTGAGATTTTACATGGTCCTGTCTGGGTGTGACATTGTAATGACCAGTTTTTGTAATGACCTATGAGATTTTACATGGTCCTGTCTGGGTGTGACATTGTAATGACCAGTTTTTGTAATGAACTGTGAGATTTTACATGGTCCTGTCTGGGTGTGACATTGTAATGACCAGTTTTTGTAATGAACTGTGAGATTTTACATGGTCCTGTCTGGGTGTGACATTGTAATGACCAGTTTTTGTAATGAACTGTGAGATTTTACATGGTCCTGTCTGGGTGTGACATTGTAATGACCAGTTTTTGTAATGACCTTTGAGATTTTGACATTGTCTTGCTTAACTGTTGACATCATCCAGAGTAAACGGTTGACATTGTTTTGGCTAATTATTGACAGCATCCTGGTAAACTGTTTACATTGTCCTAGTTAACAATGACATAATCCTGTCTATCTGTTAATTGCCTAGCCAACTGACATTGTCTTGTCTAACTGTTGACATTGACCTGTCTTAAATGTTTATGTTGTCCACACTTAAATGTTGACATTGACCAGTTTTAAATGTTGACGATGTCCTGCTGACTGTTGATGTTGTCCTGGCTGACTGTTGACGTAGTCCTGGCTGACTGTTTTGGCTGTCTTTTTATGACGTTGTCCTGGCTGTCTGATGATGTTGTCCTGGCTGTCTGTTGATGTTGTCCTGGCTGTCTGTTGATTTTGTCCTGGCTGACTGTTGACATTGTCCTGGGTGTCTAAAGATGTTGTCCCGGCTATCTGATGATGTTATCCTGGCTGACTGTTGACATTGTCCTGGCTGACTGATGACGTTGTCCTGGCTGTCTGATGATGTTGTCCTGGCTGACTGATGATGTTGTCCTGGCACATTATCTGGCTTGTGACTGGCAATTTTAATACAGATTTATTGATTTCAGATGTTGTGACTGTTGACGTAGTCCTGGCTGACTTGACGTTGTCTTGGCTGTCTTTTTACATTGACCTGGCTGACTGATGATGTTGTCCTGGCTGACTGTTGATGTTGTCCTGGCTGACTGTTGACATTGTCCTGGCTGACTGATGACGTTGTCCTGGCTGTCTGATGATGTTGTCCTGGCTGACTGATGATGTTGTCCTGGCTGACTGTTGATGTTGTCCTGGCTGACTGTTGACATTGTCCTGGCTGACTGATGATGTTGTCCTAGATGACTGATGACTTGACGTTGTCTTGGCTGTCTTTTTACATTGACCTGGCTGACTGATGATGTTGTCCTGGCTGACTGTTGATGTTGTCCTGGCTGACTGATGACGTTGACGTGACTGACTGTTGACGTTGACGTGACTGACTTATGATGTTGTCCTGACTGACTGTTGACGATGTCCTGACTGACTGTTGACGATGTCCTGACCGAGTTTTGACGTTAACCTGTCTTAAATGTTGATGTTGTCCTTGCCACATTATCCTTGTACTCAATTTGAATACAGATTTATTTATTTCAGTTTGTCACGATATTCTTCTTCTATCTACAATTCCAACCACATACAGTTTCTGTATATTTTTTGTGTTTTTAATATTTTATATCGTTTACTTTGAAGATGATTTTTTTTCTGCTTTTAAGACACTCAGATTGTTACCTTTATCTAGTATATGAATACTCTACTTCTGACAGACATTATCACATACTATGTTACATATCAATTTAGTATTATTAGATCTTTCCTGTAAAATGTCCATCCTTTCACCTTTGGTATCAGAACTTCAATTAACACAGAACAAATTTATCTGCATTGTGTTATCACAGAGGAAAATGTCTTTAAGAGATGCTATTGCCTGTGTCTTTCTACAATTGTTGATGTCAGAATTAATATTTTAGACTCAATGACACACAAGAAGACATTTTTCCCAAAAATTTGCAGCAACCATTTGTTATGTGATAAAGATCTTTAGATGGTCTCTCATTGGTTTCCACATTCTTTGCAATTCTCAACACTTCTTGCAAAATTTAAAGTTTCAATATTAGCTTGCTAAAATAATTCCTTAACTCGGTTCACTAATCTGCTATTAACAGTATTGAAACACTTGATTCCTGCTTTCTATTCTACATTTATTTGCTCTGTAGCATTCTATCTCAGGCACCTTATAGAGTTTGTTTACTCGTTAGTGAACTTCCCAGACTTTGACAATATTTATACCAGAAAGTATAATTTGAATCATTTATCTCAAACGATTTATAAACTTAAAGTTATAATATTAATTTTGTTAATTTAATACTTACATAAAGTTTTGTTTTTTGAAAACTGATTTAGAAATATTCTCAGGGTATTTTGTATTTCAAACACCAGAGTTCTTAGTCGATTGTTTATGTGTTATTGATAAATTAAACATGAAGTAGTGCCATCAAAGCTATAGAATTTTTCTTTTATTATCATCGTTTAGCTTTTATATCATTTATTTTGTTGTGAACTGTTTTCTGGATATGTTACATTATCAGTGCTTTCTCACATTGAGTATATTTTATATAACATACACAAATACCTTTACCAACACATGCTATTTTATCCATCTCTCTAAATGTATTCTTACAATACTTTTTAATTTGTATATTCATGTTAAGAATTTTGATTACGCAAAACATGTAACATGATCAAAATCCAAACTCAAAGTCAATAAAACTAGGGCAAAATTTGATCAAAAGAAATATTTACACAGAAATTCCAGAAAAACATTCACATATAATTGTGTATGTTTCCGGATTGTAGTAAGTTTTGGATTGTCATATTGATTACTGCTTTTTTATATATGAACTTTCCTGCATGTGTTTATGCTTCAAATTTGTATTTTAAAAAATTCAATTTCGTTATTTTTCTCTTTTCATTTGACCAATATCTATCATATATATATATATATTTCTTCTTGATATTATGTCCTATGCTCAATTCAGGATTTCTTTTTCTTTATTAAGATTTCATGTTCAGATAGAATATTTAGAAATTTTTAAGAAAGAGCATATCAGTTTATAAACCATTGAATAGATTTTCAGCGAACTTTCTATAAGAAAAGTTAACATATTGAATGGAAGCCTTTAGTTGTAATTGCATGTATTTCTTTCCTGTGAAATATTTTCTGAATGATATATATATAGAAAATCTCTACCTGTTTGTCTCCTACAGCAGATCATTTGATTACTTCCTGTATATGAGTAAAATGATTTGATTACTTCCTGTTTATGAGTGAAATGATTTTATTACTTCCTGTTTATGAGTGAATGATTTGATTACTTCCTGTTTATGAGTGGAATGATTTGACTGCTTCCTGTATATGATTTTTAATATCATTGTGAATTTCCATGTACATAGCTTCTGCATATATTCTACATTTATCTTTCTATAAGAACCCTTATCTATGAAGTGTACCTTATCTGTATATCTCTTTATCTATATTCCCAGTCTAAGACATCCCTTTGACCCATATTTTAAAAAAATAGATTTAAAAAATGGGTTGAGTAAAGTTGCTATAAGATATTAAAGATGGCTTAACAATAATCAGAGAACCATTGGACTCTTGACAAAGCAGGAAAGAAGGTGTTTAAAACATTTTAAAGTTTTATACATTGTGTAAATGACATTGAAATATAAATTTTTATTTTGTCTTCATTTTTAGCAATTTAGCAAATGCATCATATTCTGATTTGGGAGGTTCTGTTAATGGACTCTCTGCTGTGGGATTGGAAATTCCTGAAAAGCGAAAGACAGTTCTAAATATTTATTTGCTGAATCTACATTCACCCATGTTAATGCTCATCCGAAGTGCCTGGAGTAACTACCTTATTGTGAGTATACATTGATGTATCAGTTCAGACCTAACATGTGACCTGTAGCTAGTCTGCGAATCATCCCAAACATAAACATTACTTTGTCTTCATGTATAATACATGGTATACTGGCAAGATATCAGTAATTTCTGATTAAAAGTTACATTTAGTGTCAATGCTCAGTGAAAGGTATATCACAGATTTATAATAATCTTGTAAAATGTAGTTTATCATATGTATGAGTGAAGGTTACATTGTAGGTTTTCATCTGAGTGAAGGTTACATCATAGATTTACATCTGAGTGAAGGTTACATTACAGGTGTCAGTGTGAATGAAGAGTACATTAATATTGTATGTTTACATTGGAGTTCTTTTGCTTTTTTTTTTTTCATCTTAGTGAAGGGTTCAACGTTGGTTTTAATACGAGTGAAGTGATTTGGTTCAGGATAATTCACAATCGATGCATAAAAAATCTCACATATAACATGTCTATATAAACTGGAGGTCACATTAGTGCTTTGCAGTTAATTGAACATTGATTAGTGAATGAGCAATAGGAACCGATACAAAATGGCTTTCTGATAGACCATTATATACACTGTGTTTAAAGAAGGAATATGATACACTTCTAACACCATTGATAAATCTACAGCCAAGTGACAGGTTTATTTGCACACTCCTAAATCAGATGGTATGTTAGGTAGACTGTGCTATCTTATATTATTTTGACTACCGGTAAACATGAACTAATAGCCCAACAAGTCATTTCTTATTTATTACACAATGTCTACAGGGATTGCTCAGAGACAGAAATGTGAAGAAGTTTATGGGTTTGGCCTTTTGAAAAATACATTTCATTTGACATCAAACAGTTCTGAGTCACAAGGAAATCATTAAAAGCACTGTCTTCTTCATGTTGTCATGACTAAATTTAGATAAAACAAGTATATACTTAGCTGTCCTATACAACAGGACAAAAGTCCAAGTATTGCTAATATAATATATACAGAAACAGAAATAATGCTGTTTTAAGGCTCACGTGTACATGGGCACACAGGTTGGAAAGTTTGTTATATTTATCATAAATAGTTGAATTTGGATTAGATTTTTTAAAAGGTGTGGGGTTTCAGTTGTATCAGAAAAAGATGGTAATGTTGGAGTAATATTAAAATGTTTTTGTATCATTAGAATTAATTTACTGATGTCAAGTGCTTGTGTACTGAAAATGATGATCAACCTAAAATATGTTTATAGCTTGTTCAGACTGTGTAAGCCACCCTTATCTTAGAGGATTGATTTTGAACTGTCTATCTTTTGACTTCATGAGTTATACTGCTACCTAAGTGTGTCTGCTGAAAAGGCCATATAAATCATGTATTAGGAATATTGGCAGAATAAGATTAATTGGCTCACCATTCCAGAATATATTGACATGTGGTTTCAAAATTAGTCATACAACTCGTACTGAAGACACGGAATCATGGAAAGTGTATTTAACATCATCCTAGCCTTTACATTGTATCTAAAGTATTGTACTGATGAGAGTATGTTTATCTATAAGGAAAATATTTATTAAAGATAAAAAGGGATTATATCTAGTCACAGATTTCCCTAAATGTAGAATGAAAGAGAATGTAAATGTTTATAAAAGTATACCTCTGTATATGAAACAGACAGCTTATGCATATTAAAAAACATACATAGTTAAGCTATTTAAAAATAACAACTTATTAAAAAAAGATATTGAAATTAAGAACATTTTTTAGACTTAAAAAAGGTTTTTAAGTTCTAAAATATTCAAATCCATTTTTGCTGAGTCTTCAATCATTTCTTTTGCTGTCAGATTGTTCAAATCAGATGTTCAGCATATTTCTATCTAACCTAATTCAACAGTAACACATTTATTTAACTTTAAAGAACATTATCATTGAAACTGTTTGAAGTTATAGAAATAAAATTGGAATAAGTAGTAAAAGATATAAACATAGCACTAATATATATGACAGTTAAAATCTAAACATAATATAAATTATTTTAATTACAAAAAGTTGGAAGTGTTAACTTCAACGAGAAGTTTGAAGATTAATCCCAGCAGGGAGTTTAAATAGAAGCATGCACTGTCATTCAAGTTCACAAATTCAAAAAAAGGTTCACTGACTGAAGAGATCATCTATAAGATCACTTAATTCTGAGTGAGCTACGACACAAAGAACAAAATGAACATGACAGACAGAAAAGTTGATTTAAGTCAATAGAGAGGAGCTGCCTCTCTTTCAAAGAACCACATTATTTGGTCCTACTACAGCTGGGCAACAGTACTCAAAGCTGCTATTCTTGATATTACAGTCAATACCATTCAGAACTGAAGACTCTGAGTTACTCTTGTAACCACTTTATATAAACGAATTATGTATGTGCATGTTTTATCATTATTTAAACTGAATTTATGACCAAATTTCAACTTCTTTTTATATGATACATGATTGTTGGGTGGGGAATTCCCAGGTTGTGCTATATCAATGATGTCACATTACATTTAAATGAAGCTTGAGTTTATATCAAATTCCATGAGACATAACTCCATGAAAAAAAGGTGATCTTAACAAAATCCAAGGGGCATAACTCTTCAGCAAAACATATTTATAAAAGTACATAAACTTACCCAAGGAATGAGATATATGTACAATAAAAAAGAGCCATATGAAATAGCTGTGTGACAATACCATCAGATCGTCTTTATTTTTTCCAGCGCCTCACAATGATGCAAGATTCTGAGTATGAGAAAGTTTTTAAATCCAGTGTTGTACGAGGTCCCCATAATCAGAGGTGAGTTGTCTGCCTTTTGTGCACTATATCTGTTCTTCAAATGACATTGATCCAACTTCTCCCAACAATCACTTCTGGAGACTGCAGGTCATGGTTATTCAAGCAACACCAACTGCTCTGCAATGGTTTGTTTCCAGAAGAATTTTGGTCAATGCATGAACTGTTAATAAAGTACATTTTAAGTGCTGTCATTCCTTGATAATGCCAGCTTAATCCGATATCAATTACTTTCACTTTAAAAATCATGTTGCATTAACATTTTTTTTAAGATTCATTGTTCAGATTTCTCATATGATATAGAATCTTTATCACAGATATGAAAGAGGAATTGCATTTTTATTGTGATTTGAAACTTATGTCATTTAGTCCATGAGCCATATCAAAAACAAAGGCTTAGATAACAGTAAATATTTAACTTAAACCTAGCTCTTAAAGATAGTTTATTTGACCTGGAACTGTAGGCAAAATAGACAACTGGTAATTATTTATATGTGTTAGAACACCTTAAATTATGTAAAATATATTATACATCTTTTATTCGGCAATAGACACAAAGGTCAACAATTCCCAACATTTAATCTCGGTCTCGGGTAAGAAAATGGGCTTATTACAAGATAATGAATTAACTTTCTTATTTGCGTTTCTTCAGAACTGAAAAAATTAGGTTGGTGCATGGATTTATTACCATACATATTGTGATAGATACTGTATACATGATGTTAGATTTTACTCAAAAAGGATATGCATGTATACAACAGACTTACAAAATGCTTACAATATTCTCCATATGTGATAGTTTAAAATGGTTTAGGTGCATTAGCTAGAATAATGTCTGTTTGAGGTGATCTCAAAAGGAGGTCATCACAACTGTAAAACATTAACTGTACATTCCTTAAATTATCATACGCCAGTATTCTTAGGACTAATACACTGCAGTTATGGTAAACCTTCAGAACTTTGCTTAGATTTTTATAAAGATATTTGTTGTTCCAAGATGTTTTAAAACATAATGATATTCCTTTCAGAAAATTAATGAAATAATTGAACGTCATAAAATTAACACCATTTTGATAAGTTTGTTTCGCATGTTTTTTCAATTTTATATATCAAGTTACATTACATATTGTGTAAATGAAATTGGGATATCAAAATTTTCGGATATTTACATCTGCCATAGTCAATAACTGACACAAAAGGTTTCATATTGAATAAATGGTGATTTCATGTCATGCATGACTTGATACTTATGAGATATAGTAAACAATGCAGAATCGACCTTGGCGGCGGTAAGAAATTTTAACTCTATGAATACGCTGGTTCCTAAAAATATCTGTTACCTATTGTTGTATGTTTGCAATAAAGATTTAAATCACAAGCAGAATAAATAGCAAGGACTTTAAGTATAATCAAAGGTTGTTAGGAACAAACATGCTAATTAGCATTGATTCCAGAAAGCCATGAAAACATATAAAATTGATACACATATTTCACCATTTTTATAATTTTACATTTATGACCGATACAGAAAACATGCCTTATTTTTAAGTCCCATTTCAACCTTATTCAGGTATCAAAATTCACCTGTTCTCAATACTATAAATTACATTCATTTAGGAAAGCTCACCTGTAAAGCTTAAGAACGTATTACAAGTTTAGGCTACTCCACCTGTCCTTTAGAATCCGTTGAAGGCAGTGGAGGATGTCTATTATTTCAGATGATTTTACCTTGTTAGAATTCAATATTTTATCTGTTCTATCCTCAAAAACAGGTAGTTTCATAACTAAATTGATATTGTCTGAATTTGGATGAACAAGAGACTGTATTGATTAGGAAGTACCGGTTGTTTTCATGAAGTGTTTAATCAACCTCCAGTAAGATTTTGGGTCAGAATTGGAATAATAATCAATGATACAACTAACATTTAAATTAGGTTCATCTTCATAATTAAGGATAGCTCACCTGTAAAGCTTATAGCTTATTATAATGTAGGCTACCCAACCTGGCCTTTGGAATCAGTTGAAGACAGTAGATATACATTGTTTATGATGGTAATATAAGATTTGGCAACAACAAAAATTGCTTATGAAAAATATTGTGGATGAAAATAACAGAAAATATCTTGTGAAATATCAATTACTTGCAAATTTTCATTTTTTTATTTCCTCATTCATTTTGCTTAAACACAGCCTCAGTATTTTTAATTGCAAGGTTAAATTTACAGACATCTATTAGTGTAATGTTATCTGTCTGCATAACACTTAAAAAATATACTTTCTGACATCCATGCATATGTCTACACCTGTCATATATGTCTTTCCAAGTATCGATCACATTTTTCCATAACCAGCTGTTTTTGTTAAGAAATCTCACTGATTTGTTTAAGTGGCAATAAGTCAATAGTTTAGTACTACAGAAGGATTCATTTAACACAAGTACAATATGACTTGTATACATTTTATACAACAACGTTTGTTTGTGGCAAATGTCCTCGATGTACATGTAATTTGGTTAATTGAATCAATTTCCCTCGGGGTTATACAGTTTTCATACTCTAGATGTCATCAATATTGTCTAATGTAAGTGTGATCGCGTGATGAAATTGTTTTGACTGCAGACAGATAGGCCATTTCAATTGTAACACCAAATGCAACTGCCATATATTTCTAATGCATTATACAGTTATATCTGTAGTGGTGTTGTATAAGGGAATTAACTCAGCTACATGTCATCTTTATTGTTCTATCTTGTAGAATTTGTGTTGTATAAGAGAATGCCAGGTTCCTTTACATCTTATACAACTTCTCATTTATACCTATTATCCATATGTATATAATATAATATTGAAAAAAGAAATGTGATTGTTTTATATAAATCATTGAGAAGATGTAAAGACTGTATTGGTTTTATGTAAGGTGTAACACAACATAACACACCATGCACTATGTGATTTCTACCAAAGTCAGACTGTCCAAAACCAGATAGTACAACTACAATCTTACCCTTCCAATAACAATGTGGAGAGTTCTAATCATGGAGAGACAACTCTATGGAAAATTTAAATTAAGATTTGTTAGGTTGTTAACTAATGATAATTATTGCATATTTGATTTCAAGTGTTTTGGTTTTACAATTAACACAGGTCGGAGAAGAAAAAGAAAAGGTGTGTTACTCCGTGCACATTTTCATTCTTAAAAAGTAGTCTTGTCTTTATTAATATGGCTAGCTCAATTTAAATCATAATGCTCTACAGTCGTACACTGTCTGCTTTCATTGTAATATCTTAATTATAGGTAGGAATTTTGTATGCACATTAATTATAACCATATCTTATTTTAGATATATTGATATCTAGATACTAATAATGGATTTCCATACTTTGATTTTATAAATACAATATAGATACTAACATGTACACTTGATTTTCAGAATTTGTAGTTTTGTAAAAATATCAACAGATTTCTTTTTCCACTTCTTTTAAATTTCTATTAGAATAATTCTGGTGCTGTTTGCTGAGAAGTGCTACAGTTCTTTTCATTAGCAGCACTACAAACACATGTGATAATTCATAAAGTCACATGTATCATCCTGTCTATTTGGGAACATGGTTACAATGATATGTCCTGACTGTACTTGGACTTTTCACCTTAGGATTATAAGAACACGTAAAAGTTTTCTGAGTGGTAGATACACAATGTGCCAGTTTCCTTTTGTACATTGTATACAGAGTTAACAGTGATACAACTTTATCTGAAATCCAGAAAATTTACTTTAACAATACAATTTTTTAAAATTAAGCATTTAACCTGAAACTGCATGCTGCTTTTATAGCCAAGTTTCTGGATTAATATTTGCGAACGTTTGGTCCTGTTCTATTTTCACCTCATCTGTTTGGATCTTTATGAAATTTCCATCCAAATTAAATTTCTTATAAATTCTTTATTAATTTTTTGATTTCTTAAACAATATGATATATTGTTTCTTATTTTATGCAACTTGATATCAACATTTTTGATTTTCAGCAAAAATTACTAAAGATTTCATCCCTTGCTTTCTCTCTTATTATTTTCCTTTCTTTGTTTTTTCTGTTATTTTTGTTATTCTGCAGGTGGTTTAACAAAAAAAAAAAACAAACAAAAAATGAGAATGAAGTATATACTTATAGGTAAACACAAAGATGCAGATCTATTCATTGATGCTTAAAGTACATGTTATATTTTATACATTCAGCTTTTTGAAATCACTTTCTTTTCTAAACCTAGAAACCTAGACCATTCAAGTTTCTAGATCTTGCACTTCTTTGCATATATTTAAGTATTCAGTGTAACTGTTTAATGCTGAGGACTGGTTACACAACACAAAACTCCAATTAAATGTGCCCCATGATATTGTAGATCATTTTAAGATTAAGAAATATATAATGTATAATATTTCAGAGAATGGACTTGTCTTTACATGTTTTAGATCTTATTTTTATTACATTATTTTCACTAATAACCATAACTTGTATGGATTGTATGATAAGTGTGTGTACACAATGTACACAATTGTAGGTCCGTTACCTATATGATTGTGATAGATGTTTTGCTGTTTTGTTTGTTAGACTTTCCACTAGTGTAACAAGCTATAGGTATGTATCTTCACCAGTTAATTATTGTCCATGTGTGTTTAGTCATCAATGATCTTCTCTTTTCTATGTTGTTGCACCATCCTTTCAGGGGCAGATAACTTCTGTCACACAACAGTGAACAAAAAGAGGATCTAGAATGCAATTTTCTTTCTATTGTTGGTAGATGTTTTATAAACAAAAAGAAAAGTAGAAAAACAAATACTAACAATCATTCCTAATGAAACTAGAATTAATTCAGTGTCATAATTTGATTAAATTAAATGTCAAATTTTTGTACAATTTATTTCATTATTGCATCTTAATATATTTTTTTTTCAATTTCTTCAAAATTCTAAAATTATCATGATTAGTCACTTACATAAATGATTATAATGTAAATATATAAGTGATTACATGGAAAACCCATGTTCTTTTTTTGCAAGATTTACATGTTATAAAACGGTAATACCAGAATAATTTCTATACTTTTTCATGTTATCATTGTGAAAATAAGAAATATGATCTGTGTATGGAATATATCATAGGGAAATATATATAACAGTTGAGATAAATCCTTGATAATTAAAATATTGTTAAACTGTCATTTGAACTGCATATGAATAAGCTAGACGATTTTGATAGAAAATCTGTGACACACCTTTATTGGTAAATAAAGTATGGATTTAAATTTAATACTTTTGAATGTTATCAACTTCTAAAATTTTGTACCTATATTTCTCAGTTTTAACCTCAGTTTAGAATCAAAATCAGTTTAAGACCATACAGATGAAAGGATATTGGTGGACATTTTCTTTTCCAAGCTCATTGAAACCATCTCGTTAGATTTCATTGTTATTATCCTCTTTATTGCATCCGAATGAAGATTACAAAAGACAGGGAACATGTAATACAAGACATTCAGAACATATTAACATAATAGACAATACAATTATACCTTACATACACGTGTGTACATACAACGTATCAGATTATAGAACATATTAGGTCGCAATAGTGTCCATATACACTCATTTTATTGTAATGAGACTATTAAATCGACTTTTTATCAAAATATATCTAGAGTACATGATGGCACATAGTGCAGAAACATTACATCATACATAAGTAATGAGACTATAAGTACTATGTGTACCCGCATATATATATTATACATACATTATATTATAATGAGACTAACTCATCACCATTGTAGTTAAATTTTCATAAATATATGTTTCTAGAGTACATACATATACATATTATATATACATTATATTATAATGAGACTATGAAATCAACATAGTAATTAAATTTACACATCATAGGTAGTATAGATTCACTGCGGTTTGAACTTTGAAGAGATAATGTGGCTGATTGGTAATTAGCCAATACTACTGATAATACACCTTCAACATTTTGTCTATAGCTACAACTGAAATTAACTGAATTCATTCACATCTTTATTGTTAAGTTTGTAAATGAAAGGTCCCCCAAGTAAAACATATGTTTGTTCATTATCAGACAGGGAATGAAGATACACACTAAACAAAAAATCTGTATCACTAATATTAGCTATTGAACACCACAACTGATCTCGTAGAATAATGATGTGGCTTCATTTTAATACAATATGGATTCAGGCATTTTGATGCATATTTCTACATTTATGACATAGCTCTGTACATTCATTAAAATAAGAAACAACAATTTTCATAACATAATGTATCAATTTGGTGTAAACTGGGTATTTCATTGCAAACTTTAATAACATATGCGGCTCTATTTTTTATGTTCAAGTTTAAATCTGTTAAATTCACGACTGATCTACTGTAAAGTTTAAACGAAGAAGTCCGTCCATTCATTATCTAAAAACCCCTTAATAATGTATTAAGATAACAGTAGATCTGGTTCATATGGTCTTTGATATAGTCACAGTTTCTAGAAACACAGTGAATTTTGATACTGCTGTCTTAAGTGACACTGGATAGAAAGATAAACTTGATCTGATTTTCCTGACATTTTCACATGGATGTTGTGGTCTGTGTTTTCTAGAAGCTTGGATGTATTGTGATGGTAATTGCTTTTCAATATTTCAAATTTTGTGGTAAAAGTTTTACTCTCTTCTTTCTTTTTCATCAGTTTGCCTTCTGATATGATAACTTTGCACCATTTGGCTTGGAGGCACATGCTTGTGATAATAAATTTATTGTCAGTCAGTAATCTAGACAATATTTCCGATGACATAATAATGGTTAAGGAACATGTACTAACTAGACTGATAAATTTCAGCAAATGAAAATAATATTCATTGTTTAGAATTCAAATTTAATAAGTATAATTTGCATATGCACATGTACATTAAGTGTTCATTGGGGGAGCCAAACAAAAATGACTATAAGAACAAGAGTGCTTTGAAGTAACCTAGTGGGTGGTAATGTCCTGAATACCAGTTAAGGTAGGAGTTTTAATCCTCGAAAGTGTAATGTTTTGTAATTTCTAATAAGCTTGCCACAGATGATTGCAAGATGTCTCTGTTTAGAATGATTTTTGTTAAGCTTGTTGATTAAATGACCAGATCAATTTACAAACATTTGATCAGTGATATGTTTTCCCTTGAATTTCCTTTATCTAGTTTATCAGAATCATTCAAGTGAACAATTGTAAAATTTTAAAAGCCATTGTCATTATTAACTTTTTATGTTAAGGATGTATGTGTAATGTTTTGTGCTGTTGATTTCAGCTTGAATAAATCTGATATTTGTGTAGATATGCTTGTATGTCTCACCTTAAAGCTCTGTATGTACGTGTCGTGACAGGTAAACAATGATTAAAGTGATGTGGAAAGGTATATATCATAAAAACTTCAGTATTTCTGTTTTCATTTGGGTTAATGAGCTCATCATCCGTTTAATGTACTCTAAAAACCCCACAAAACATCATCCTAGTAATTATATACCCACAAATGTCTATTCATCCGAAACCAATTTACCATAATAATGTTCTTTTGACTGGAATTATAAGTTTCTATAAATAGATGATCACATCACCGTTAAGCTTCGACACGACAGGGCAGTGATATTGAAATAAATGGCTTGGTATTATTCCCCTGACTTCTCCATGGTTCAACTGAAAGGTTGGAAATATTTGTTCATTTTATTTTAAAGCAACTTTTATATGGCATATGAATATTTAAACGTAAGTTAATTCAGCGATGCGATTAAAGATTAGACCTGTGTTAGAAGTCAGACTATAGAGATTACCCATACATACATAAAATTCACTGATAACTCTTGAACTGAAGACAATTTCTTTTAATATTTCATACTTTGCTATCGATCCACTACCAGACAAGTATCTAATCCCTGTTTGAGCTTTACTGAAGGCCTTCAGGTCAAAGTTCAGATGGATTAACTTATTTCTGAGTCAAAGATTTGAATCTGCAACCAATTTGTGAGGCAATAAAACACAATGAGATATACATATTTAATTTAAATAGTTTACTGTGTTGTAATCTTGCCTTTGGTTTAAACTTTAGTGAAGTGTTGGAACAAGAATGTTGGAGAAGGTTAAAGGATGGAATGATCATTATATGTGGTGAAGTGGAAGACACTTTGCCTTACATTTTACAATTGTACATCACCTGCTCAACCAAATAGGCTATCCCCTGGTACTACATTGCTGCTCCAATACTTCCAGGACACTATATATAGTTTTGCAGGCCAACAAAATTGACTAGTGGACATAAATTTTGTTATATATTTTAAAAAATTCTAGAATACAACATCGAGTCTCCTAGCAGTAAGATAAAAAATACCTAAAGATTTAAAAAAAAATTAAAATTATTTTAACATATACTTGAAATAGAAATAAGCAAGAACTGCTCTGATGAATCTTTATGCCTTTATGCCTGGATAATCGGAATAATTTCTTTTTAAATGTCAGATATTTCACCTTGTTCCTGAAACCAAATATTTGATATTGGTTATTGGTGTTTTCACCTTAGAAAAGAGTGTATTGAAATTATCTTAGATCAGGAAGTACATAATGTTTTTCTTCTGCATGAACAATTGCTATAACATCACAATGAATGACTCGTCTGGAAAATACGTGACAGAAATAGGAGAGAAAATGTATAAAATGGTCATAGATATGGACCATGACTTTTAAAACAGTTTTAAACGTGACAAATAGCCAGTGATCGTGATTGTTTAAGTTAAATACACTGAGACCTGACATACTTGTGCTAACATGTTCACTGCTGTGTAATAATACATATGGAAGGGTGAATGTTAAGTCATTGGGGATTTTCAAATTTTGTTTTAATATGTGATTTTCGCAGGTGATATCTTTTAAGTTAATGTTATTGTGTATGTAGTGATGACAAGTTCGTGTTATTTTCTGATAAATAATCTATACTTCCTCTTTACTGCCGGGACCCAGAACACGAACCTCACTGTGAATATGACTTTCTATCTAGTCAATAACACTGCTCATTTTATCAAAATTAAAAAAAAAAATTCTTATTCATAACAGATAGATGACTTAATGTTTTAATCAAAGTTCTCCTTAATTCATCATGTAATGTCATACATTTATAGGCATGAGCTATTTTTATTTTCATTCTTGTAAGTTGACATGTAAGTTTTGTCATGGTTATTTAGTTATGTGCCAAGATGTTTTGGAACAGATAACCTGGATTGAATTCAGTTTTTACAAGCCCAGGTTAAGTTTATAAAGCTCTTCAAAAGAGCACTTAACATATCAGAAGCTAAACCCGTAAAACCTTGAAGTAGAAATTGATTTATTTTGTTATCTGTCTCAAGAACAAAGTTCACCTTCAAAACTAGATTGCAATTTCAGTTTAATTCACTATTTCTCGGTGAAATACAAAGTATTAAATGGTGGTTTCTTTCAGTTTAATTCACTATTTCTCTGTGAAATACAAAGTATTAAATGATGGTTTCTTTCAGTTTAATTCACTATTTCTCTGTGAAATACAAAGTATTAAATGATGGTTTCTTTAAGTTTTATTCAATACTTCTCTGTGAAATACAAAGTATTAAATGGTGGTTTCTTTAAGTTTATTCAATATTTCTCTGTGAAATACAAAGTATTAAATGGTGGTTTCTTTAAGTTTATTCAATATTTCTCTGTGAAATACAAAGTATTAAATGGTGGTTTCTTTAAGTTTATTCAGTACTTCTCTGTGAAATACAAAGTATTAAATGGTGGTTTCTTTAAGTTTATTCAATATTTCTCTGTGAAATACAAAGTAATAAATGGTGGTTTCTTTAAGTTTTATTCAATATTTCTCTGTGAAATACAAAGTAATAAATGGTGGTTTCTTTAAGTTTATTCAATATTTCTCTGTGAAATACAAAGTATTAAATGGTGGTTTCTTTAAGTTTATTCAATATTTCTCTGTGAAATACAAAGTGTTAAATGGTGGTTTCTTTAAGTTTATTCAGTACTTCTCTGTGAAATACAAAGTATTAAATGGTGGTTTCTTTAAGTTTATTCAATATTTCTCTGTGAAATACAAAGTATTAAATGGTGGTTTCTTTAAGTTTATTCAATATTTCTCTGTGAAATACAAAGTATTAAATGGTGGTTTCTTTAAGTTTATTCAGTACTTCTCTGTGAAATACAAAGTATTAAATGGTGGTTTCTTTAAGTTTATTCAATACTTCTCTGTGAAATACAAAGTATTAAATGGTGTTTTCTTTAAGTTTATTCAGTACTTCTCTGTGAAATACAAAGTATTAAATGGTGGTTTCTCATAGTTTAAATTAATTTCAACTAATCAGTCAAGAAGCCAATGTAAGATAGACTTTATCAGTCTCTATACTTGTCTTTCTTTTCTGAAACTTCAATAAGTTTGGAAAAACTGTAATTGTAAATTTTCTTCCTTCTATCAACTGAAAGTGGTTAAACCCATAATGAAATATGATAGCTTGTGTACCCATACTGAATAAGACCAATAGTAATCAAGAATCATTACATTCTAATGTTTATTTTATAAACAGGTTTTTAAATGTTGTGAACATTTATATAATGGACGTAAGAATTGAATTCTAGGCGCTGGATAAGATTACCACATAATAATGTTTGCTTATTATTAAAACCACTAAGGCTATAGGGGGCATCATATTTTGGAAACAACATTGGCCCAAACATGTCAGAATTATGTTTGAATGGATCTTCCTGGTGCATAATAGTAAAAATAGTAAGTCTTTGAAATGTGTAATTTACTATGTTAAATTACCAATTAGTTCAAACATAAGTTGGCACAATGGTTCAGTGGTTTGCAGTCACTTTTTGAAAGCTTATCTCCAGAATTTGGACTGATTGATTCAGTTTCAGTATCTGGGTTATAGTATTCAGATTCAGGACCTGGTCTTTTTACCTAGTAGGTAGTAATGGTATACCATTCAGATTCAGGACCTGGTCTTTTTATCCAGTAGGTAGTAATGGTATACCATTCAGATTCAGGACCTGGTCTTTTTATCCAGTAGGTAGTAATGGTATACCATTCAGATTCAGGACCTGGTCTTTTTATCCAGTAGGTAGTAATGGTATACCATTCAGATTCAGGACCTGGTATTTTTATCCAGTAGATAGTTAATGGTTTACCATTCAGATTCAGGACCTGGTCTTTTTATCCAGTAGGTAGTAATGGTTTAACATTCAGATTCAGGACCTGGTGTTTTTATCCAGTAGGTAGTAATGGTATACCATTCAGATTCAGGACCTGGTCTTTTTATCTAGTAGATAGTTAATGGTTTAACATTCAGATTCAGGACCTGGTATTTTTATCCAGTAGGTAGTAATGGTATACCATTCAGATTCAGGACCTGGTCTTTTTATCCAGTAGATAGTTAATGGTTTAACATTCAGAATCAGGATTTGGTCAGGAACTTAATGAGGTTTAAGTGATTGGTACACGATTATAAAATAAGGTATAGTACCCAATTTCAGAGAATGTTGTTACCATATTAAGGACAGGTGTCAATGAAGTGTTTGAATTTAACAATTAAGAGGGTGGGGGGGGGGGGGGGGGTGGTTTAGAAAGAACACACAAAAATAACAAAAAAGGACAATAGCCAGAGAAAAACTATCTTACAAGAAGGTACTTGTATAAGTATGAGTTTGTTTTCCATTGTTTTAACTGTGTGTGATAAAGGGACGGTAACGAACCTCAAAGATGCGACTTTCTTGTGATAGCAGTAATGTTGGTAGCAGCATACACACAAATAATGACATAGTAAATCGCTCTCTTAAGTGTGAATTTTCTGTGAAATAAAACTCATTTTTCAGAGATTTTCCGGAGCTAGATTTTCTTATAACTTTATATACACCTCAATGGATAATGTATTTTTATATCATATTGTTTCATTTCTTTTCTGAATGTTTGTATTTCGGGTCTAGGGATTTAAGTGATAATGGAGGTCAAGATGTGGTTCAATAGAATTCTTGCTTAATATTTTTGAAAAGAAAACTCTTTTTAATTTTTTTTAAGATCTTTAGCAGATGGAGTACATATTTTGAAACTATCAGAAAAAAAATATATAATTAACTATGATCTGTTTAGAGAAAATTAACTAAGAAGTGTATTTACAATGTAGAATATCTACAACTTTTTGACCCAGGTTGTGTCAGTCATGACTCAGTATAAGGAGCTTACATTTATAATTAATCATGAATACCAAATATGACCTTATGGATAATGCGGCCGCTGTTGTAGCGTATTACAGATCTGAATAAGGTATTGCATTGACAGACTGTAGCTGTGGATAATACTGGCACTGTAATAACAACTACCTGTTAAGATAAGCTCTTTAATCTATAATAGGGTGAACACAAACTTAACCCGTACATGCCTGAAATTGGTTGAACTAGATGACATGAGATTGAGATCTACCTACCAGTAAATTCCCTGATACTTACATTAGGATAAAGACAAACTGTTTGAAACTGAAAACTTGTTCATTATGGGGGAGAGGGAGGGATGTGTGCATACAGGATAACCCATGTCTGTCAGTTCTATCCCACGTCCTGTCATGTCCCCTTCTGAATTTGTTTTATGTGTGATATTTTGTGATCCTCTCAACAGATTTGGTTTGTATCATGACATCTGAAGTTCTACACCTGATCAGGTTCTAGTTTAATGGGCATTAATGTCTTATGTTACATGATCCAGGGCACCACAGGGTTTATAAGGGTTTTCATGACCCAGAGTATCACAGGGTTTATGAGGGTTTACATGGTACAAGGTAAAAGACTTTTTCTACTTCGAAGCTTAAATGTTAAATTAATTAATTGGACCAGTCAAACCTAAAAGAAATTGATGTCCATGGCTTTATTCGTGGAACTTGATCATCAGATGGCGTTCTACAATAGAGTACCATTTCTTCACAATATATTGTGTGGTGTTCTTGTTTGTCAATATTAATACCATACTTGAAACAAATGTCTCAAAATTTGTATCATAAAACAATACAGATAGACTGATACTTACAACGTTATACAAAAGCTAACAATGTTGATGTAAGATGGTTTTGAACTTGTTGTGTTGTATAGCAAGCTTATACAGAGTTATATCCCTTTATTTAACTTAATTTGTTCAAAATATGTAGACCTACAGTATAGTTTTCTCCTGAACCTTGAACCCATGATTAAAACTTTTCATGGCATCACTTAGATTAGGTCAACAAGTTTGCCGTGTAATTTCAGAAGATGGGATGTCACTCTGAGTACAAATAGTAGAATTTATCTTTTGAATCGTATGTCATAGATCTCCAGGCAAAAGGGAATATGTCTTCTGTGAGTACGCAATATGTTTTCTGACAGGAAGTTGAATATGAACATATACATATTCTGTGACAACATGTATGTTATATGTATTCTGACATGGAATTCTATGGTTTTGTATTATTCAAGGCGATGAATATGTAATGTGTATTCTGACAGGGAAAAGATGGAGATGCTCTTTAGCCAGCTCAAAAGAGAATTGCTCAACCAAGAAAACACTATGGAGGATACATTTAAATTGTTAAATGAATTAAGGGTGGCAACTGAACGTAACTTTGCCCTCAAGAAAATGTTCTGGAAAGTAAGTTAAACCTAATTTTCCACATAGCAGCTATTTAACACTTTAAAAATGACTTCAGAATATGAAGGCTTAAACTTCTTTGTAGATTCCAATGGTTTTCTTGAAATCAAGATATCAATAACTTGTAATTATGTCAAATGAAAGCTGAAAAAGACAAATCTGAATTCTTATTCACTGATTCCCTATCTTGAGGGGTGTGCATCATAAATTATTTATCTGTTACAGAACTCGGACATGTTTTTATTCCTGGTGAGACAACTACAGAGATACTTACCCAAATCTCCCATCAACATACAAACCGACCACGGCAAGCTTCAGAGAGTCGACGAGTTTGAGTAAGTACTGAGCAGAGGTTGTGGTGTTTATGTTAGTGATAAAGAAAGTCATGGCATTACCAACTGCCTTAGGGAAAGGATTGGGTACACTTGTATAATATTTATGTTAACTTTTTTTTAATATCATCTTATAATAATCTTATTGGATGTTGTATTTTTGGAGGCCAGTCTTTCATATCCCAGATGTAGGTCACTGAAACCTAAGTTTTGTCCTTAAACCTTCATTAAATATATATGTGCATGGAGAAGATCCATATAGAAATTTAGAAATAAAAACAAACTAATGACCAATTGGAACAAATGGCTTTCACCCTTCTGAGGGATATTCAGTTTTATTTTTGAAAAGACGATGTATATTTATCTTTACTAAAATTTCTTCTTGCAAGGTTTTTGCCAAATTTATCTTATGGATGTATATATCCTCCATCTAAAATCAACATTTACAAAAGTGACATCGTCATTTCTTTTAGCGATTTATTTTATATAATTAGAGTGCACATTACATCCACTTTCTTTAAGAAGGATCAAAAGTAATTTCCGCTATTTTTGTTAGTAATTGATTACAAATACCTTCTAATAATGCAAATCTGATATGTCTTGGAGTGGGAACATTTATTCTTTACGCACAGTTTCGAGTTTTATAATCTTAATGATCTTATTTCTACAATTAAAAAAATATTGTGCATGATAAGTTTAAACCAGAAAAATGGTGCGGAGACAAAACCTATGTATAGTTCTAAGATGTTAGTATGGATGTATACAAAACATACACGGTACTTACGTTTAGATTGTCCTTGATTTATTTAAATCTTCCTGATAGATATAGATAATTGATTTGTTGGCTGATTAACGTAATTTATTTTCCTTGTAGACTTGTGATACTGCTGACAGAAATGCTTAGTTTGATGTTCCGAGAGTCAGAAATCATCCCTGCTCGCATCCAGACACTCAAGGCAGAGAGGTAATGAGCTCCTTCAAAGCTCGCCATCAGGTGACTTTGTCACTTTGTTACAAAGTTCACCAACTGGTGACCTGTTGACCATATCACTGTGTTACAAATGATGTCAGACACTGAATAACTGATACAGACTTGCTCAGGTTTTTCTACAAGGTTTTTGAAATGGCTATGAAATTTAGACTTTGGTATTCGTAATAACGTTGTGGAATGCATGAATGGACTGGTCACTGATCATGAGAACAATAAGTCACAAATAACTCCCTTTAAAATTTCTGATGACTACAACTGTCTCACCAAGCTCTGGAGCTAGGTGCAAAATGGTTGGAGTGGTAAGCTTCCATGTAGTACATGATAACCACTGTGACAGGCATGGTTCGCAGTTCATGTCAAGGGAGATAACACCTATGAAATATAATATCAATATCTTAGAGAAAATTTTCAGTTTTGATAGAAATATTGCCTTGGTAATGATTTTTTATCAATTTGTTGTAAATCTAGGGGTTTAGTTCCATAATTATTTGATGTTGTGTTTTAGATTTTGATAAATGATAAATATTTATGTCAGTATTCATAATTAATAGAGATGTTGGTCATTTGACTTACTTTTTTTAAAAAGATTAATATTTTGACTTTCATATGTACAGAGGGAAGTATGTGCTAGACCTACTGATGGTGCTGACATGTTCACCAGAGATTCCTAACAAATTCTCGGTACCTTCACGGAGCACCATGTCTGTTGGAGGCTCATTCAAAGGGGGTGACAGCATGAGTATGGATGTGGATGCAGAGGTAATGAGTATATTTGTTATCAGTATAAACAAGGTTATAGAAGAACTGGCACTAAACATTTATCTTTTGATAAATTGTTGGTCGTTAGAAATTGATCTCATAGTTGGAAAATGTACTGTTTTGAAAATAATTCCTGACCTATAGCCATTGTGTTTCATCTGTCGTGCACTTTCTATTCAAATGACTTCTTTATAACCAGAAGGCTCAGGGTACTGATATTGGGCCTGTAGCATGATTGGATAATGGGCTACCAAGTTGTTAATATGAATAACCTGGACCTGCTTTCAAGGTCACAGAGGTCAAATATGATGAACTTCAGGGTACTGATATTGAGCCTGTAGCATGATCGGATAAAAGGCTACCATGTTTGTCAATATGAATAACCTTGACCTGCTTTCAAGGCCACAGGGGTCAAATATGTTAAACTTCAGGGTAGTGATATGGGGCTAGCTGTAGCATGCTTTTTCAACAAACAGTATGTCGCGAGTAATAACATTTGTATATTGCATGTATAAAGAATATGATTTCAAGTTTGCAGAAAATGTCTTTATAAACCATACAATGTTTTCTATGTAAGCTGTAGTGAAGTTGAGCAATTTATTTTAGGCCTATTTGGCCTCTTTCATATATAGGTCTTTATGGTCAGATGACCCTTAATGCCTGTGGGCCTCTTGTCTGGAAATCTATTCTTAATTTCCCTGAGCAAAGAGAGAAGATATACCCAAAAAACTCTAAAATAAGACCAGCTTATTTTTTTCAATAGTAAGCAAATCTAGGTTTACTTATATAAGAAACTACAGGCATATTTTCAAGATAGGCTTTTCTTAAGTTGACTTTTTTAAGTTTTAAGGGTATGTAATTGATCGTAAGTCTGTAATAAAACAAAAATTGTAAAATCTGAAGGCTGGATGCATATAATGTATTTTGCAGATTGAGAAGCAATTAGTACAGTTTACAAAAACAGGACTTGCCTCAGTCTATGAACTTTTCCTGATGGCGAAACAGGTAAGCAAATTGTGTCCCAGGTAAAATGTTAGTTATGCTACTGGTAACCTGTCGACCGGTCAGTAGGCTGAATTGTAATATACCAGGCTATGTATTCAACCCTCTGTGTGGATGACTGAAACCTTAATTTGTAAGCTATCAAGAATAATTAAGTGACCTACAAAGACATAAGATGGCCAGATGTTCCAGTAGCTATCTTGCTTCATATTTATTAAATCATGGCGAGGAAACAATGTCTGGAAACAAAGCTTAAACCTATGAACATGTTTTGAGGATTTCTTGTCAGATATTAATGCCAGGAAAGTTGTAACTTTTTGTATATAGTAAGAAAATTATTTTATGATTATAATGAAAGTTTTCAGTGCATTTATATATGAATAAATAATTTTTTAGAAGTAATAATTTCATATAAATGTGATGATTGTTTTGAAATCATACAGAAATGTTTGAAATCTTGTTCAGGCTAACTGGGGATACAGCGAGGGTAATTTCTTCAACATTGGCTGGATGGTTAAAGTGCTGGAGGAGATTCGTACAACGGTTTGTATCAGTAGAAGGCATTCATTTTAAGTTGTGAAGGTCAGATACAGTCACAATTCTTAGTTTTTTTCCTATGTAGACTGAAAGTGTGAAGAAGACACTATTTATAATATGATATCAACATACAATATTACTTTCTGTTTTAAAATCCGATTGTCTGTGATATAAGGAATAAATATTTGATATCTTTGTAGGAGAAGTTTGTGGATCGAGTTATCCAGCAGATGTTGAAACTGCTAGGACCTGGTCGCCGTGAACCTCTTGATCCCTCGGAAGGTGTTCTCCTGTACACCCAGTTTTCTGTGCTACAAACATTCTTGCAGTACAGCCCACGCATAGCCGCATTCATACGCAGCAACTACATGGAGGAATTTAAGTAAATATCTTCGTAGTCTTTTCTACTGATTAGTAACTCATGGAAAGTGCTTTGTCTCTGATTAACAGTTTGCCTCGTTTGATTTATTATCATATGTGAATTAAACTTCATAGACCAATCAGTTTGACTTTTTTGTAATATTTTGGTGAGTACAGAGCCAGCTTTTCTAATCAAAAATTTTATATTAAAAGATGATGATGAACTGATCACTAGCTCAGGTAATACAAGATAAATATATTTTGATAAATTATTTATGAAATGCTGAAAATCTTAGATTGAAACTAACCTTCTAAAATAAAACATATCATTTACAGATATTTTGTCCAAATACCTGCCGTTGCTAAGAAGCTGCCTGTAAATTACCCGATCAGCGTGATAATCATGCCTTTGATAGAAGCAGTGATGTTGAAGGTTCTTGAGAAACCCACCGTTGCCTTCCCCAAGTCGCCTAGGGAGTAACCTAGAACAAGATTGAACCAGGCTTGATATTGATGTGTATTGTGCCTGAACTCCCGAAGTGATGAAGAACTCTAGGTTCTACTGGCCTTTGTCATGAGAAAAGAAACTGTTCTACAGCAGAAATGGAACTCAAGGTACTACTGGTCTTTGTTGTAAGAAAAGAAACTGTTCTACAGTAGAAATGGAACTCAAGGTACTACTGGTCTTTGTAGTGAGAAAAGAAACTGTTCTACAGCAGAAATGGAACTCTGCATTCTACTGGTCTTTGTTGTGAGAAAAGAAACTGTTCTACAGCAGAAATGGAACTCAAGGTACTACTGGTCTTTGCCGTGAGAAAAGAAAACTGTTCTACAGCAGAAATGGAACTCTGCATTCTAATGGTCTTTGTTGTGAGAAAAGAAAACTGTTCTACAGCAGAAATGGAACTCAAGGTACTACTGGTCTTTGTTGTGAGAAAAGAAACTGTTCTACAGCAGAAATGGAACTCTGCATTCTACTGGTCTTTGTTGTGAGAAAAGAAACTGTTCTACAGCAGAAATGGAACTCAAGGTACTACTGGTCTTTGCCGTGAGAAAAGAAAACTGTTCTACAGCAGAAATGGAACTCTGCATTCTAATGGTCTTTGTTGTGAGAAAAGAAAACTGTTCTACAGCAGAAATGGAACTCAAGGTACTACTGGTCTTTGTTGTGAGAAAAGAAACTGTTCTACAGCAGAAATGGAACTCACAGTTCTACTGGTCTTTGTATGGAAAAAAAGAAAACTGTTCTACAGCAGAAATGGAACTCACAGTTCTACTGGTCTTTGTAGTGAGAAAAGAAAACTGTTCTACAGCAGAAATGGAACTCACGGTTCTACTGGTCTTTGTAGTGAGAAAAGAAAACGGTTCTACAGCAGAAATGGAACTCTGCATTCTACTGGTCTTTGTAGTGAAAAAAGAAACTGTGCTACAGCAGAAATGGAACTCACGGTTCTACTGGTCTTTGTAGTGAGAAAAGAAACTGTTCTACAGCAGAAATGGAACTCAAGGTACTACTGGTCTTTGCCGTGAGAAAAGAAACTGTTCTACAGCAGAAATGGAACTCTGCATTCTACTGGTCTTTGTTGTGAGAAAAGAAAACTGTTCTACAGCAGAAATGGAACTCAAGGTACTACTGGTCTTTGTAGTGAAAAAAGAAAACTGTTCTACACCAGAAATGGAACTCTGCATTCTACTGGTCTGTGTTGTGAGAAAAGAAAACTGTTCTACGACAACAGAAATGGCACTCTGCATTCAACTGGCCTTTGTTGTGAGAAAAGAAACTGTTCATCCTCCTGTGATTGACACCTACTCATCAATAATTGATTGCTCACTTACCCTTCCCAGTAACCCTTGACCTGCTGACTGACTCTCGACTTATAGGCCCCTCACTGAAATTCTGCACCTTACCCATCAACCCTAGCTTTTACTGACTCCATCTTAGTGAGTCTAACCTGAACCTAGTCTGACTCTAACGATCCCTTATCTGATCTGTCTTCTCACTGAACCCCTATCTGCACATCAACTTGACCTGACTGATCCCAAAACCTTGACCTCTAATCTAATCTGTTCTCTCACTGAACTCCTATCTGCACCTCAGCATGAGCTGACTGATCCCAAAACCTTGACGCCTAATCTGATCTGTCTTCTCACTGAACACCTACTTGAACCATTACCTGTTTGACGGATCCCGGAATAATTGACACTAAACCAGATCTACCTGCTGACTGAACTTTTACATGAAACCTTACCTGAGCTGACTGAACCCGGAATAATTGACACCAAACCTGATCAACCTTTTTATATTTTTATTTAACGAGCTTTACATCTGCTATCATGAAATTTCAGCAGATGAAACGATGATCTACCTGGAGACCGAACCTCTACCAGAACCCTGACAAACTCTGTAAACACCGACCCCTGACCAAACTGTTGATCAACCAAATAGCCCCAGATATTACCTACTTCTTACAATTAAGGAGATTAAACTTGTTGTTTTGGATATCGATTCTCTAATTGGTCTGACATATATTTGTATGGCTATGATAGTTAAGAATTTATTGAAATTCATGAGAGTTCAACTTCTGAAAAGCATCAGATGTATTGGGGCATTTTTATACATTCTGTGAAGTTTAAAGTATATTGCATTGCAAACTGGACTATTGTCAGTGTCAAACATTAAGAAAATTGGGAAAATGTCTCATTAACACTTTGATATTCTTTCAGAAGTCTACAAATAACTTCAGAATGAACTTATATGTAGAAAAGATCTCATTGCGTTGTGCATATCATATTTCTTTTTCAACTTGTATCATTCATATTCTATATTGTTAATTTCAAAGTATTGTGCCAATTTCATAAGAAAGAACATTTTCCTTATTACAAACACAAAGTATTGAGTTTACATTTATAAAATAAGGGTCACATTTTATTTTAGTTATTAATATATGTATTTTTTTCAGCACAAGAATTTCATATTACATAACTGCATAATATTACAAGGGAAACTTGTGCATCAGATTGATTCAAAATATCAATACTTTTTTAACAATTCACTTTACGAATCCGTCCCAAGATATATTTATTCTAATGAAATAAAAACATATTTATTTATAGGAATCAACATGATGTAATAACCTCATTTCCATGTTATTTTTACATTTTAATTTCAAATGTCAAATGTGAATTATGGAATATGTCCAAATGATGATGATTTCAATAGATGTTTTTGTGGTTGCTGGTTCAAATGTAAATATTATAGCCAATAGTTCATACAAGAGAATGATGTCTGTATTAATATTTTACATATTTAGACAATTTCCACTTCCTAGTACATACCATTAAAGTTCATGAAGATTAATCATTTGAACATCAAAACTTAAGAACAACAATGATAATACATGACATGTCCCTATCGGTAAACAGGCTCCCAAAAACAGGATACCTTCAATGACTCAGGTCCAGTGGTCCAGTGCCCATACACAGAATTTGCATTTGCCTACCACTGTCCCGGCCGGCCTAAACAGCCAGTGTAATTATGAGACTATGGTTGCCACTAGTCCTGCTGCATTGTGATGTCACAATGCTTTTGCTCGCCATTCCATTCTTTGACTGCTCTCATATCTTGATTATACAGGACTTCATTGAAGGTTTTCCAAAAGGCCATATTGCAATTACACAGACTATAATTACATTCAGAAAGCCCTTGATTATTACCTACACAGGTATGGTATACGTGTAAATTCCGACACTATTTGTGACTATGTTGAACGATGTCCTTCATCATTATAAAATGTAAAGCGCCTTAGAATTGTTTTCCCTGAATTATACATAGATAGGTCAGAGTATTGATATAAAAAGGATACTTGTAGTAAGTATGACTAGCATACAATGTATATATGTTGTCATCATAGTGATAAGCAATCTCAGTTTGTTAAAACAGGAGTATAATCTCATATTTAGTTTTGCACGTTGTGAATTTATCGAAATCTTACCACACTTTCTGATAAAATCTTCTTCTCACATCTCCTTGTGTCCAAGGTCTTTACATCATTCCATATTCTTTGGCCCATATAACTTGGTTACTGACATGCTTTTCACAAGGGATTTGTATACCAAATATATAATTTGTACGCTGATGGTGATAACACCCATCTACCACTTTTTCATTCCATGTCATAGAACTATAAAATTCACGTGCCTGTTACATGATGGCAGAATTTTGTCTGTAATTACAATGCTATTTATGAAAGCGATTTTAAAATGCTACATATCATTATGTGTTTTATCATTAAAATGCTATACATATAAAAATGTTACAACATAACAATATTATACACAACAAAATTGTTATACATTACAATGTTATATCAATTAAATGTTATGCATTACAATGTTACGTCATTAAAATGTTATACATTACAATGTTATATTATTAAGATACTATACATTACAATGTTGTAAAAGGTGCAGTGTGCGATCAGGTGGTTTGCAATGTATATAAAACAGTCTGAACAGCTAACAAGGTAAAAACCATAATCAAAAACTACTGTCAGGGATTAAGATTTTTAGGTCCTCTGATCTAAAGGGTCAAGATGACCTATAGCCATCTTGCTATGCCCATTGTCGTGTGTAAACTTTTTCTTTAAAATCTTAATCCTCTTTCATACCTTGGTAAATTTTTACCAAATTTTGTCTGATGCATCATTTGGTGAGGGTAATTATTTGTTAAATTCAGAAATTTTATTTGACCCCTAGAACGGGGCCCCAAATCCTGCTCCTCTATTCTGCCTGGATGGATTCCATAGCTTTGGCCTGCTTCAACAGTTGGGGTAGGCAATTATTTCTTAAATTCAGGAAGTTGATTCGACCCCAAGGAATATTCAAAATTTGAATTCATCAGATTTATCAGACCACCATCAGCGAATGCTATGGTTTGTCCATCCATTTGTTGATTTTCAGATGACCGTTAAGGTCCCATGACCCTCTTGTTTTACATAATTATGTTCTGTGATGTTGACACAATAGTGGAAATAAGAATTTTGGTACACACGATGGTGTAATAGTTTAATCCTCTGCATTCTTTACAGTTATTGGTAGCAATTCTTTAACTGTAAATATACCTAAAGAAGTATTCAATGTCCTGTTTATCAGCAGTCAATATTGAGTTGTGGGCTTTTCACATAGAAAAATAATCATAATTCTACAGTATTTTGTTATGTTATTTTAGCACAATTTATTTATTTTGAGTCCACTAAGTTCATTTTAGTTTGTTATGATGTTTTTTCTGTTTGTCTGTAAAAGTTAGATTAATAAAATTACAAGTAATATGTTTCACTTGACATATTTAGATACTACTCATTACCCAAACATTGTTGTACAAGGAGATGAATAATGAAGCAATTCTTTGGCAACGGTTTCACAATCTGCAATCCTGTGTATGCTGAAATGTGCTTATCTGTGAATGATCAACACCAAAATTGCTAACAATGATAAATGTATGGAATGTGAAAATGAATTTCGCTAATGTGTTTCATATGTTGATATCGTTGGAACAATTTATTGTAAGGGGTGAAATTCAATGTACGACAAACGAAACTTCTGCATAATTTGAAATAACGTATTATTCATATTGAATACAAATTGCATGTTGCCAAAACTTGTTCCCCTTATCGAACATGTAAATGAATTTTGCATAACAAGCACCTATATTGGTTTGTATGTGTGTTATTCAGATTTTTTTATCACGTGATATCAGTGAAAGTTTTCCTATTTCTTAGGTTTGTATTCTTACCTCTTTTTGTTCTTTGCAATGTGATAACTTAGTATAGGTTCTGTTAGAATAACATTCAACGAAACATTTCGTCAAACGCATGTTGAATTATATGTAACTCATTGTTTTTACTTATTTAGTAGTATAACAATGACATCTTACTTCCATGACAATAAAATAAGACTATTCAGATTAATTGTGTGTCATTGTCTATACAAGTTTTCAGAAAAAATACACATCAAGTTCCGTCTTGATCAGATTATCAGAAATATGAAAAGGAACAATGCTCATCGATTTTGTGCTGCGCGAATTCACCGAGAGAAACAACAAAAAGCATTGCTTGATAACGATCTTTCATTCTCAGACAAAATCTGTCGGTCTGATTTTCATTTCGGAGTACTTAAATGAATACTGATGTCTTTTCCATGGATACCACTCAATGCCGGTCCCGTCCATGGATGGCTGACCCCAGGACTCGCCATATATGTGATTTCCTCGAGGCTGAGACAAATAGGGACCATTCAAGTTGGAACTGAAATGTCAAAATGTAATGGTGTTGAAGTTGAAATGTCCTCATGTAATTAACGACAATTAATACTCAAGATAAAACTGATGGAGACAACAATAGTTCGCTGAAGCAAATGTATCCCATCAGCTGGATTTTCAAATTTAAAACTTGTCGATATGTATAACTGTTAATTATGATCACTAACGGACCGACCTTGGAAACACGAGACTGAACTGCAGCAACTGTAAACCCACTAGTTGACAATGCCAAATCGTATGCCATATTAATTCTTTTGTCCGCATATTCTGCAACCGTCTGTATTCAGCCAATGTTTAGCTACCAACACCAAGTCTGCACAGACTGCAGCCCTTCGCCACATTACTAATCTACGTGATATATTCTCATTGTTCACGTGAATATCACTTTTCTACGGTAGTCGTTTACTATCTTTATACCTGTAACAACTGTTGAACCACCATCCGGACTTAAGGAGACGTCCACAATGTTGAAAGTTGTGATCTTCGTCACGGTCTGGTGTACTGAATTTCATCCCATCATGACGGAGGAGTGATGAGGCAGGGTAAAGGAAGGAGTCACCTTGGTATATACAACAGTAATACTTCTAAGAAAATAAAAAACAGAATTCTGCTCGCAGTAACATCTAAAGTTAGATAACGGTATAGGTGTAGTGTGCTGTGTGCTTACCTGCAGTTCCTGTATACTTTCCTACACCAAGAGTGTACCCGCTTCCTTCGTTGCCAACTTGGAAGTCCTTGTACTCGGCCCACTTCCTTACTCCGTCCCAGTCTTCTAACTTTAAGTACAGTGTCATATGACCCCGACTTGTCAAGGCATGAAGAAAGTCGTTGCCGATCCAGAAATTTTGAGAAATATTTCCGAAACCGCCTTTGTAGTCATTCCAGTTCCTCTCGAAACTTTCCGATTCATCCACACGTCTCTGTATTGTAGTCCAACCACCGCCATCGTAGTCCATGTCACAGTGAACGTTGTATGTCCTGGCTGGAATTATTTTTTCAATAGAATTGTATTAAGTTTAAGCTATGTCGGGTGTAGGATTGGGACGTGTCCTCCCAGAAATTGTCCTGTCTGTTATTATCAAGCTTACAGTTTTGAATCCCAGAAGAAAGCTTTATCAATTATATACTTATACTTAATTTCGCTTAAAGAATGAGAACATGCATTCACTCTGAGATTACAAACAAATAATAAAAAAATATTTTATAACGAAATATGTTTTACCAAAGCATTTATGCGCAGATTATGCACAATTTTATTATTTTCGTTTAACGATTTCCTATAAACATATTGAGGTGTAAAGATGTTGAAAAGAAACAACCATGTACCTGAATCCTGAGGCTGTACGGTATATACTCCACTCTGTACAGAACCCATTCTCTGGGCATGGGCACAATCTGTTGGAATTACTCAAATATGAAACGAAAAGGGAAAACTATCTGACTCGATGAGTTATAGACATCATCACCTTGTAAAAGGCATAAAATATGGTAAGTTTTACTTACTGTTTTATCTTTACTGCGGACAAAACTAAACATCGAATAAAAAAGAACGTTACAATAGACGATCAATTTCCTGATACCACATAGAAGATATGGGTTGGTTTTGTTTACCCGCTAAATCCCGCGAGCAATATGCAAATATCCTTTATGGTATCGTAATGCTTAAATGTTAAATCTGATTAAATAATGGCTTTTTGCACAAGGATACCTCTAGGTATTTTGGTAGAAGTTGTTTGTGGTAGAGTAATGTGGTTTGATGATGTTGATATAGTATTTGTCGGCGATGTCGGTAAGGAAACGTGTTGAGATGAGCCACCCATGTTCATCTGGCCACCCATGTTTGTCTGACCAGCATGTTGCTCCAAAGCCTCCAGCCTGGCTGTCAAATTCAGAACTACAGTCTTCAACAATCCATTTTCCTGTTTGACGTCTTCGTAATGTTGTTGAATATTGGTACATGACGTGGTCAAATTCAACACAATTTTCTCGAGTGCTGTCAATCTAATATCGTGATCGTCCAGTTCCTGGTACAAGTGAGTTTGGCCATTAACTAGGTATAACAGCAGAATTGTTGGAATGAACAGAAATGACCAAATGTTGATCATTGTACAAAAATACTTCGAAGCAAGTTTACAGAATTTATCAGTGATTTTTCAAGTCTTTATAAACAGATAGAAGTCTACATTTCCTTATCTACGTTATAAATATTGAAATAGGGCACCGCTCAGAAGGTGTCACTATGTAGTGCGTTGCTCACATATTTGAAGAACTATGGAATGTTGAAGTTGTTATATACTAACAATAATGCAATCAGAGCACTCTCTATAATATTACAATGGTAGTAAACCCAGCTGACGATAATACTACAACGCTCACAAGACTATATTTAAGTTATTCTCCTATATAATTGACTGCTTCTTATCCCCATGCAAAATTTTCAGAACTGTATATCAAGATCTCATTTTAGTTACAATCAATTCAATAGATATTTTCCCAACAAAGTAGGGTGATATAACATCCGTAGTTCTACGTTAGAGTGATATAGCATCAGTAGTTCTATAATAGTGTGATATACCATCCGTAGTTCTACAATAGTGTGATATAACATCCGTAGTTCTACAATAGTTTGATATAACATCCGTAGTTCAAAGAGTAATATACCATCCGTAGTTTCACAATAGTGTGATATACCATCCGTAGTTCTATAATAGTGTGATATACCATCCGTAGTTCTACAATAGTGTGATATACCATCCGTAGTTCTACAATAGTGTGATATACCATCCGTAGTTCTACAATAGTTTGATATAACATCTGTAGTTCTACAATAGTGTGATATACCATCCGTAGTTCTACAATAGTGTGATATACCATCCGTAGTTCTATAATAGTATGATATACCATCCGCAGTTCTACAATAGCGTGATATACCATCCGTAGTTCTACAATAGTTTGATATAACATCCGTAGTTCTACAATAGTGTGATATAACATCCGTAGTTCTATAATAGTATGATATAACATCGTAGTTCTACAATAGTGTAATATAACATCCGTAGTTCTACAATAGTATGATATACCATCCGTAGTTCTATAATAGCGTGATATACCATCCGTAGTTCTACAATAGCGTGATATACCATCCGTAGTTCAACGTCAGAGTGATTATAATACCATCCGTAGTCCAACAGTAGGGTGATATAACATCCGTAGTTAAATATTAAGTTGATATAACGTCCGTAGTTAAATATTAAGTTGATATAACATCCGTAATCCAACAGTAGGATGATATAACATCCGTAGTTAAATATTAAGTTGATATAACGTCCGTAGTTAAATATTAAGTTGATATAACATCCGTAATCCAACAGTAGGATGATATAACATCCGTAGTTAAATATTAAGTTGATATAACGTCCGTAGTTAAATATTAAGTTGATATAACATCCGTAATCCAACAGTAGGATGATATAACATCCGTAGTTAAATATTAAGTTGATATAACGTCCGTAGTTAAATATTAAGTTGATATAACATCCGTAATCCAACAAAAAGGTGATATAACATCCGAAGTTAAATATTAAGCTGATATAACGTCCGTAGTTAAATATTAAGTTGATATAACATCCGTAGTTAAATATTAAGTTGATATAACATCCGTAGTTAAATATTAAGTTGATATAACGTCCGTAGTTAAATATTAAGTTGATATAACATCCGTAGTTAAATATTAAGTTGATATAACATCCGTAGTTAAATATTAAGTTGATATAACGTCCGTAGTTAAATATTAAGTTGATATAACATCCGTAGTTAAATATTAAGTTGATATAACATCCGTAGTTAAATATTAAGTTGATATAACATCCGTAGTTAAATATTAAGTTGATATAACGTGTAGTTCAAAAAAATATTAACAAAAGTTGATATAACGGGTTGTAGTTAAATATTAAGTTGATATAACATCCGTAGTTTAAATAAGGATGATATACCACGGGTTGTTACAAAAGGATGATAACCATGGGTTGTTTTACAAAAGGATGATTCTACACGGGTTGTTCTAGTAGGGATGATATACACGGGTTGTCTACAAAAGGTATTTAAATATTACAAAGGATGATATACATCCAAAAGGATGATATAATCAAAAGGATGATACAACGGATTGTTCTACAAAGGGATGATATACCACGGGTTGTTCTACAAAATGATGATTTAAACGGGTTGTTCTACAAAGGGATGATATACCACGGGTGTTCTACAAAAGGATGATATACCACGGGTTGTTCTACAAAAGGATGATACACCACGGATTGTTCTACAAAAGGATGATATACCACGGATTGTTCTACAAAAGGATGATACACCACGGGTTGTTCTAGAAAAGGATGATATACCACGGGTTGTTGTACAAAAGGATGATTTACAAGGGTTGTTCTGCAAAAGGATGATATACCACGGGTTGTTCTACAAAAGGATGATTTAAACGGGTTGTTCTACAAAGGGATGATATACCACGGGTGTTCTACAAAAGGATGATATACCACGGGTTGTTCTACAAAAGGATGATACACCACGGATTGTTCTACAAAGGGATTATATACCACGGGTTGTTCTACAAAAGGATGATTTAAACGGGTTGTTCTACAAAGGGATGATATACCACGGGTGTTCTACAAAAGGATGATACACCACGGGTTGTTCTAGAAAAGGATGATATACCACGGGTTGTTGTACAAAAGGATGATTTACAAGGGTTGTTCTGCAAAAGGATGATATACCACGGTTGTTCTACAAAAGGATGATACACCACTGGGTGTTCTACAAAAGGATGATACACCACTGGGTGTTCTACAAAAGGATGATACACATCGGGTTGTTGTACAAAAGGATGATATACCACGGGGTGTTCTACAAAAGGATGATTTATCACGGGATTGTTCTACAAAAGGATGATATACCACGGTTGTTCTACAAAAGTATGATACACCACTTGTTGTTCTACAAAAGGATGATATACCACGGGTTGTTCTACAAAAGGATGATACACCACGGGTTGTTTTACAAACGGGGTGTTCTACAAAAGGATGATATACCACGGGTTGTTCTACAAAAGGATGATATACCACGGGTTGTTCTACAAAAGGATGATACACCACGGGTTGTTCTACCAAAAGGATGATATACCACGGGTTGTTCTACAAAAGGATGATACACCACAAGTTGTTCTACAAAAGGATGATATACCACGGATTGTTCTACAAAAGAATGATACACCACAAGTTGTTCTACAAAAGGATGATATACCACGGGTTGTTCTACAAAAGAATGATACACCACAAGTTGTTCTACAAAAGGATGATATACCACGGGTTGTTCTACAAAAGGATGATATACCACGGGTTGTTCTACAAAGGGATGATATACCACGGATTGTTCTACAAAAGAATGATACACCACAAGTTGTTCTACAAAAGGATGATATACCACGGGTTGTTCTACAAAAGAATGATACACCACAAGTTGTTCTACAAAAGGATGATATACCACGGGTTGTTCTACAAAAGGATGATATACCACGGGTTGTTGTACAAAAGGATGATTTACAAGGGTTGTTCTGCAAAAGGATGATATACCACGGTTGGTCTACAAAAGGATGATACACCACTGGGTGTTCTACAAAAGGATGATACACCACTGGGTGTTCTACAAAAGGATGATACACCACGGGTTGTTGTAAAAAAGGATGATATACCACGGGTTGTTGTACAAAAGGATGATTTACCACGGATTGTTCTACAAAAGGATGATATACCACGGTTGTTCTACAAAAGGATGATACACCACTGGGTGTTCTACAAAAGGATGATACACATCGGGTTGTTGTACAAAAGGATGATATACCACGGGGTGTTCTACAAAAGGATGATATACCACGGGTTGTTCTACAAAAGGATGATACACCACGGGGTGTTCTAGGAGAGGATGGTATACCACGGGTTGTTCTACAAAAGGATGATATACCACGGGTTGTTCTACAAAAGGATGATACACCACAAGTTGTTCTACAAAAGGATGATATACCACGGGTTGTTCTACAAAAGGATGATACACCACAAGTTGTTCTACAAAAGAATGATACACCACAAGTTGTTCTACAAAAGGATGATATACCACGGGTTGTTCTACAAAAGAATGATACACCACAAGTTGTTCTACAAAAGGATGATATACCACGGGTTGTTGTACAAAAGGATGATATACCACGGGTTGTTCTACAAAGGGATGATACACCACGGGTTGTTCTACAAAGGGATGATATACCACGGGTTGTTCTACAAAAGGATGATATACCACGGGTTGTTCTACAAAAGGATGACATACCACGGGTTGTTGTACAAAAGGATGATATACCACGTGTTGTTCTACAAAGGGATGATATACCACGGGTTGTTGTACAAAAGGATGATATACCACGGGTTGTTGTACAAAAGGATGATATACCACGTGTTGTTCTACAAAGGGATGATATACCACGGGTTGTTGTACAAAAGGATGATATACCACGGGTTGTTCTACAAAGGGATGATACACCACGGGTTGTTCTACAAAGGGATGATATACCACGGGTTGTTCTACAAAAGGATGATATAACACGGGTTGTTCTAGGAGAGGATGGTATACCACGGGTTGTTCTACAAAAGGATGATATACCACGGGTTGTTCTACAAAAGGATGACATACCACGAGTTGTTCTACAAAAGGATGATTTGTAGTTCTACAATAGGATCATATGAAATACTATGTAGTATAATTGAATCAGGCATGCAACAGTAAATAGGTCTGGTAAACAGTGTATCTCTTTACGTAGTAAACATCGTTGATGGCAGATGCTTCATTTGTTTTTATTATTTCCAGACATCTGCCAGAGGAGACTGAGGTTAACATCAGAGCTAAGTGCTCGATATATGTAGTGTGGAAATTGCCTTTTAATGTTACTTTCTGTCATTACTATCGTTTATTTTGCATTGTCCTTTTTCCTCTAGAGATCCTGTTTCTGTAATTTAATGCTCGTTTTCTACATAATTACGTCGAAGACCACAATGCTGGTTTATTTGATTGACGTTCAGATTGTCATAATTCTCATTTTATAAACTGACTCAAAGTTCATCTGAAGTCGTGTCATGTCAAACTTTGACTTGAAATTGATAAACCGAAATGTTTCCCAGGTCTGTTTTTAAACCCATATAATTTGCTGAAGTGTTGATATGTAGTTAAGGGAAATACTAACTAAGCTTAATTGTCGGATTGATTTAGAACAAAGTCCTGCGTGATGTATATGATACCGAACAAAATGGACCAATTTTATGAACGTGAAGAGAATAGGGCCCAGCTAAACGACCCTTAATCTGCAGCTTTTAAAGTTGTCATGGATATAGGATGGGTCACGGTATTGACGAAACAATACGACCGACGACAATTTGGAGACAGTATATATAACAATATGTCTAGTCATTTAGATATTATAAGCTTGTTTATCTCCAGGCATAAGCAACCAGTTTCCGCCGTGCATTCTAACCCGACTGTTGTGTTATTTATAAATTGGATTGTGTTGGTGGCCTTGTGATTATCATTAACAATTTTAATATGAATTGTATTTACCTTATATCAATTGTGTTTTGCTTGGCTGGCTGGCGAAGTACAGGTAAGTGGATAATTGTAAGGAAAATAATGATACTATCGCAAGTTGAAATGAAGGTAGCGTTAATGTAAGTTTAGGTGTCTGGCCAAGTTTATACTTTATGAAATTTAACTTTTGTTTTTAGGTCAATGAATATCTCATGTAACATTTTCCTTTCACCAACGACCAGGAGCCTCTGGCCCCCTCTCTGAGGTATTGAAAGCTGAACTTGACAAGTGGAAGACTAGGGAAAATATGTGGCAATCAAAAAGAGCCGTTTTCGGGATGTTACAAGGGACTCAGCGGAACATGTACGGGAAGTCACACACTCGACGGGTCCATACTGGTGCTAATGATCACTGTATGATGGCAATGATGTGCCCTTCTACTGAGATAATGTTTCCCACTGGAAATATCGGGGCTGGGCTCCATTTCGGAGAAGAGACTCTGGATTCAGTTTGCAAGTAAGTAAGCTATTTACACAAGTGGCTATTTATCGGATAAAAATTACGGAAGTGAAAGACATAAAGGTTAATAAGAAGAAACAGAAAAATGATGAACTCCAAATTTCCAGATAAAAAAAACAAACAAAAAAAAAAAAAAAAAAAACAAACAAACAAATACGAAAACAAAAAATCAAAAACGAAAACCTAGAAGTTACCAACATGTCAACACAATAATAATCGAAACGATAAGACCGGGTGTTCTGGAAGTGTAAGCGTCTTTTGCTCCAATGGTGACATCCGCCATGTTAACCGTACTGAACTCTGATTTTTTTTCAAATTCATATAAAATTTGAAAAAAAATACACTTCACGTTTCCTTCATGTTTCTCTCTACAGTTTATATTGATATATCCTTCAAGATATAGAAGTGTTATATTTGCACTTTATAGTCATACCTTTTTGGAATTTTGGAATTACGATGTTCAAGATACTGACAGACAAAATCACAGCATAAGGTCTCTAGAAATGCAGGTTGATATAAATTATGGTCGTCATAGTGATCTCATTTAGAAAATTTCTTCGTGCGATATGATGCTTAACGTGTTGATTAATGCTCGTAAGTTTGCCTGATGGTTCCGTTGTTGTATACCTTGGTTAGGCTCGTGACATTGCTAGTAGTTACTTTGACTCCTGACCAAGATTGACGTGACGGGTGTCGTCGATGAAGCAGAAGACACTTCCGGAACACCTGGTCTTATTCTATTTGTTCTTCAAAAGCCTACTTTTTGGTCATTTTTTATTAGCTTCATCACTTTTTTAACAAATGGTCATTCTTTAAGATATTTTGTTGTTTGTGATTTACTTTACAGTAACTGTCATGAGAAATGTGATTTACTTTACAGTAACTTCCATGTGAAAAGTGATTTACATTACAGTAACTGCCATGTGAAATGTGATTTACATTAAAGTAATTGCTATGTGAAATGTGATTTACTTTACAGTAACTGCCATGTGAAATGTGATTAACATTACAGTAACTGCCATGCGTACAGTAACTTCCATGTGAAATGTGATTTACATTACAGTAATTGCCATGTGAAATGTGATTTACATTACAGTAACTGCCATTTGAAATGTGATTTATATTACAGTAACTGCCATGTGAAATGTGATTTACATTACAGTAACTGCAATGTGAAATGTGATTTACTTTACAGTAACTGCCATGTGAAATGTGATTAACATTACAGTAACTGCCATGCGTACAGTAACTTCCATGTGAAATGTGATTTACATTACAGTAACTACCATGTGTACAGTAACTGCCATGTGAAATGTGATTTACATTACAGTAACTGTCATGAGAAATGTGATTTACTTTACAGTAACTGCCATGTGAAATGTGATTAACATTACAGTAACTGCCATGCGTACAGTAACTTCTATGTGAAATGTGATTTACATTACAGTAACTGCCATGTGAAATGTGATTTACTTTACAGTAACTGCCATGTGTACAATAACTTCCATGTGAAATGTGATTTACATTACAGTAACTTCCATGTGAAATGTGATTTACATTACAGTAATTGCCATGTGAAATGTGATTTACATTACAGTAACTGCTATGTGAAATGTGTACAATAACTTCCATGTGAAATGTGATTTACATTACAGTAACTGCCATGTGTACAGTAACTTCTATTCTATGTGAAATGTGATTTACATTACAGTAACTGCCATGTGAAATGTGATTTACTTTACAGTAACTGCCATGTGAAATGTGATTACATTACAGTAACTGCCATGTGAAATGTGATTAACATTACAGTAATGTGAAATGTGATTTACATTACAGTAACTTCCATGTGAAATGTGATTTACATTACAGTAACTGCCATGTGTACAGTAACTTCTATGTGAAATGTGATTTACATTACAGTAACTGCCATGTGAAATGTGATTTACTTTACAGTAACTGCCATGTGAAATGTGATTAACATTACAGTAACTGCCATGCGTACAGTAACTGCCATGTGAAATGTGATTTACATTACAGTAACTGCCATGTGTACAGTAACTTCTATGTGAAATGTGATTTACATTACAGTAACTGCCATGTGATTTACATTACAGTAATTGCCATGTGAAATGTGATTTACATTACAGTAACTGCCATGTGTACAGTAACTGCCATGTGAAATGTGATTTACATTACAGTAACTGCTATGTGAAATGTGATTTACTTTACAGTAACTGCCATGTGAAATGTGATTAACATTACAGTAACTGCCATGCGTACAGTAACTTCCATGTGAAATGTGATTTACATTACAGTAATTGCCATGTGAAATGTGATTTACATTACAGTAACTGCCATGTGTACAGTAACTGCCATGTGAAATGTGATTAACATTACAGTAACTGCCATGCGTACAGTAACTTCCATGTGAAATGTGATTTACATTACAGTAATTGCCATGTGAAATGTGATTTACAGTAACATGTGTACAGTAACTGCCATGTGAAATGTGATTAACATTGTGATTTACATTACAGTAACTTCCATGTGAAATGTGATTTACAGTACAGTAACTTCCATGTGAAATGTGATTAACATTACAGTAACTGCCATGTGTACAGTAACTGCCATGTGAAATGTGATTTACATTACAGTAACTGTCATGAGAAATGTGATTTACTTTACAGTAACTGCCATGTGAAATGTGATTAACATTACAGTAACTGCCATGAGTACTTCCATGTGAAATGTGATTTACATTACAGTAATTGCCATGTGAAATGTGATTTACATTACAGTAACTGCCATGTGAAATGTGATTTATATTACAGTAACTGCCATGTGAAATGTGCCATGTGAAATGTGATTTACATTACAGTAACTGCCATGTGAAATGTGATTAACATTTACTACAGTAACTGCCATGTGAAATGTGATTTACATTACAGTAACTTCCATGTGAAATGTGATTTACATTACAGTGATTGCCATGTGAAATGTGATTTACTTTACAGTAACTGCTATGTGAAATGTGATTAACATTACAGTAACTGCCATGCGTACAGTAACAGCAGTGTGAACTGTGATTTACATTACAGTAACTGCCATGTGAAATGTGTGAAATGTGTACAATAACTTCCATGTGAAATGTATATTAACATGTGAAAGTAACTGCCATGTGAAATGTGATTTACATTACAGTAACTGCTATGTGAAATGTGATTTACTTTACAGAAACTGCCATGTGAAATGTGATTAACATTACAGTAACTGCCATGCGTACAGTAACTTCCATGTGAAATGTGATTTACATTACAGTAATTGCCATGTGAAATGTGATTTACATTACAGTAACTGCCATGTGAAATGTGATTTATATTACAGTAACTGCCATGTGAAATGTGATTTACATTACAGTAACTGCTATGTGAAATGTGATTTACTTTACAGTAACTGCCATGTGAAATGTGATTAACATTACAGTAACTGCCATGCGTACAGTAACTTCCATGTGAAATGTGATTTACATTACAGTAATTGCCATGTGAAATGTGATTTACATTACAGTAACTGCCATGTGTACAGTAACTGCCATGTGAAATGTGATTTACATTACAGTAATTGCCATGTGAAATGTGATTTACTTTACGTAACTGCCATGTGAAATGTGATTTGCACGGTGTATAATTTATCATGGAATTTGTTTTATAGCTACACCGCACAGTATCTCGAATGCTATGACATGCTGTCCGGATCGTTCGCGTGTGGTGAAATGTCCACGTTAATGGCTGATGTATTTAATGTACTACAGGACAGTGTCTGCCATAAGCCAAGGACACCAGGTAGACCAGAATAAAGTGTTCCTCGGGGGTACTCTATGATAATGTGGTACTCATCATCATCATCATTCTTTATTCCTCAAAGCTGAGAGTACAAATCTTATCAAAAAATGTATGAAACAATGAAACATCATTTGATTTCACTTCTAATCAGTGTTCTGATAATTGTGGATTGTTTAGTTATTAAATCTAAATTTCCATAGCAATTTAATTTGATTTAATACGAGGTAAGGATTTTTTTTTTTAATTTTTCATTCATTTTTTAAGATCTAAGATTCAGCAAAGTTGTGGAATGTTCTATTACCTAAAAAGACAAATGAATTAGATTAATGTAGTTTTTTCTAATATGCTATGGTTATAGGGTCGCTTATGTTTATGTTTTAAATTAGTGTTTTCATTCCATGTTCTATCGAAAAAAAGAAAACAAAAAGACAAAAAGAAATAACATTTGCAACAAAGAATCACGCTTTATCTTCCTTTTTAGAATAATTCGAAATAAATCTACTGTGAGGTGGAAAGTATTCATGTTTAACCTTTTTTTAAAGTTTTTAATATAATGAGCTACGAGAAATTCCCACGTTGTATTCCTTTATACAGTTCCAAAAAAAAAATTATAACATTATATTTCTGTGATAAAAGGGTATTATGTCTGAAATTTCAAGACCTAAATCAAAAGAAGAACTTTAATTATTCGTCAGACATTGCTCTCGTCGTGGTACAGTTGATACTGCAAATAGAACAGATTAACCATGCTTGGTGTCAAACATAATAATAGGTAAAGATCCTTTCATCGGGATGAAAGCACCTGCTGAGAGTTGACCGACAAACTCAGACTGATTTACGTTGTAAAAGTAACATGTCTTTTTCAATTCTCTGTAAAAATTAAGCACTGGTGATAGACCATTTTACCTCACTAAACTTTATGCCTCAGTTGGTGTATCTTCAGAAGCGATCTGTGTTGTTTTCAGAAATCCTTTCATTACTACAGTGCATGAACAACCGAGAATTGCAGGTGACAATTTTTGGAGAAATCCAGAGATTGAGTGGCATTGCTACGGCCTATCATGAAATCGGAATTCCCATAGAAAAACAAAAATCGAGCTTATGTCGGTAAGTATAGATGTGTTTTGATCAATATTGTCCAAAAGTAATTTTGTGTCTACAGCTCAACTGAGAAGATAACTTAAATACACTGTAATTACGACTGCAACAACTAGTTTTGACGTTACAATGCTCTTGTCGGCCGTTCCAATATTTCGGCTGTTCCCATTTCTGGACTTACTGTGTCGTATAAGATAAGGTTTCTTGTTTAATATAAGTGGTTATTAATCCTCATTGCATACTGTTGGTAACATATTTACAAACAAAATATTGCTGAACGAGATTATTTTCGTTTTACATGTACTTATAAAGATGTCGTTCTCGCTAATCCAAGTGGGTTTCATAGGATTTGCTAGAAAGCCTCTCGACTATTTCAAATAAAAAAACGATTTTTGATTCCATTGAACACGAGACAACTGGCTAAATAAGATAAGTGAATATCCCCAAATAAGGAGCATTCATATTGCGGCGTCATTTTCATTTTTCTCTTCTTTTCTGATATACATATGTACTACTCAGTATATGCATTAAGATATCTTTCTTATTTATCAGCTGACTATTCATTGTTTTTGTCAATGATTGTTTAGTATCATTGTTCTTTGAGATGCCCACTTTTGTAAAGCGATTAGTTGTATGTGTATCTTTCCATTCAGATGGCAGTTCTCCTCCTTTAATGGATTGATGCAGCATACACGGTCCATCTGTGACGGTAACGTCTACGAGACGATCTGTGATATTCGTTCACGACTAGATCCTTACATGGACGCCATGCTAGCAGCAACAACCAATGACGTTGAATGTCCGAAAGAGACATTCAGGTGTGCAGCGTAGTGGAGTCTTTGATCAAGTCACAATATCAGCGAGTCTACGTGGTTCACCAGGTAAAATGTTTACTGGTTTACTGTATTAAATAGAGATTTATAACAAGGAACATCAGTCCTTTGATACTCTAAGTATATATTCCTAAACTGTACATGATGGATTGTACGAAAGACACTCGAGTGAATAGCACATTTTAATACAAATTTTGAGTTAGATGCAGGAGAAGCAATCACTGAATTAAGCTGTAATATACAGCCATTTCATCCCTCTAGGAATCTTTAGTGACGCTGCATCATACACCTGTTTCATTCCTCTAAGAATCTTCAGTGGTGCTGCATCATACAGCCGTTTCATTCCTCTAGGAATCGTTAGTGATACTAAATCATACAGACGTTTCATCCCTCTAGGAATCAGTGATACTGCATCATACAGCTGTTTCGTTCTTGTAGGAATCGTCAGTGATGCTAAATCATACAGCCGTTTCATTCTTCTAGGAATCTTCAGTGATGCTGCATCATACAGCTGTTTCGTTCTTGTAAGAATCGTCAGTGATGCTACATCATACAGCTGTTTCATTCCTCTAGGAATCGTCAGTGATGCTACATCATACAGCTGTTTCGTTCTTGTAGGACTGCTAAGGGCCTAATAAGGTCAAACCTTGTGGAGATGATTTGATTATTCCAGCCTTTGTCTCCATTACACAATTGACATAATAATAGTTCCAGAAATGGTTATGTCAATACAGATTCTGAAATCTCTCTTGATTCTTTTGAATAACGAACAGCAGGACGGTTCAGAATATACACACGCACTTGGCGTTCCATCTAAAATAATCAACAATCGGATATGAAGTTAAATGATGTTTTGTATTGATCACTTTCCCATTTATATCTTGTCTTTCATTTCGGCCACTTTTTATTTTCCTTGGTCAGCTTAATTTGGATCAAAGTGTCGATCTGGTGGTTCTTACAATTTCTGTAGCTCAGGATGATATTGATATTTCGAATGACATGTGAATACTTCAGTCATGAAGGAATCACGTAGATTATAAGTACATGGCATACTATTTTCATATGTCGACGAGGTGTCAAACCATTGCATATTTCAGTAGCATTTGTAATTAATCTTACTAACCTACTCAGTGCAATTTAGAGTTTTGTAATTATATGAGAAAAATCTGCACAGTGATCATTTTTCCTTTTTCTTACAGCTGATGCTTTCCATAGTAAAGGGTTCCTGGTTGATCTTGTCGTTGGAGCATTGATTTGGTAGAACACCAACATTCTATGAACATTTGAAGAATATCGTACCGACTATGTATCTCTTATGATGAAGTGATGTAAATAAACTTCATAAAGAATCATTACACTTATAGTCATCATCTTTTTATTTCTATCCCTGTTTTATGTTTGTGCTCAACTGGCCTACATCCATATCTCATATATTTGATGTGCGAACGCTTAGTATACATTGTGAATTAGGGCGTTATCTATCCAATTCACAGTCACTCGATCCTATTTTTTCACTTTTTCCTATAGTAGGACATTACCTACGCATTTAATTAATCACTTACGTTATCTTGTTAACATATGGATATAAAGAGTACCAAATAGTGTTGATAATGTGTCACGTGATAAGGAAATATCTCTGAAGAAACTGGGTAGGACAATGGGAAATGATATTTCTGTTGTATTTCACTGCATGTCGTAAGAGGCAATTGATTGTAGATCGGATGTAGTATCCCCGATGTCTTCCGTAAAGTGAACAACGGTTATACCAAGAACACGGTCCATGACATTCCTCAGCCTGATCACAGGAGGCAACCAAAATTGGGGCCCCTGCAGAATCGATGCTTTTATTTATTTATTTTTTCTTTCTACTTACAGGACATTGAAGAGACCAAACTAGACCTATTGCCCAGTGTAACAGTTGAGATGTTAATTCTTCCTTTCTTTCCTGTCTGCTCTTTCTTTCAGTGCTTGTTTTAACTTTTGATGTTCTTCTTTTCACCCATCCTTATACGATTCTGACTGTGGCAAGAACATTAAAGTCTGTATAATTCAATTCAATTTCCTTAGTATAATTTTCTTGTAATCAAATTTCGGCCCCTATGGTTTAAGTTTGATTGATCGTTGATTTGCGTCATATCAACAGCCATGGTCGTTTAAGAACGTACCAACTTACCAAAACAGAGGCGTATGCTTTGATAAATATAAAATAACTCAAACATGGGGCGGAATTTGGAGAGACCAGAATGATTTAAATAACTGGAGACAAATCATAGAAAAAACAACTAGAAAGACAAAATTACAGTTAATCAGATGATAACATTATCACAAAATTAAGATTAGGCAAAAAAATGAAATCGAACATTAATATTATGATGAAACATATCACCAAATTGTGAGTTCTGTAATAATGTGGAAACAATCGATCACATTTTCTTCTTCTGTCCCAAACATTTAACAGTTCGGACAGGCCTGACTGTAATAGGACTTAAATATTAATTAATTCCCTGTTATTTCAACCAATCACATTTTATCCTTACTTAATAGGCAGGGCATTGTCCAAAACATATTAATTATGTATTTGAAAACTAAATATTTCTACACCAAAATATAACATCAATCACAATACTAAACACTAAATTGCAAATTGCATTGGTGCATACTGACACCTCATGAGGTATGCAATGTCTGATTTTGTGCCCCAACCCGCATTCACGTTTGTAAAATAGTTTACACATCCAGCGAAGGCAGTTTTGTCCCCCTGTGGGTTCCGAGCGGAATGCTCGCTACTGAAACTGTACACATTGATAAAACAACACACGCACAAGGAAACATGCCTTTTCAAATATCTAAGGCCCTTCGTCCAGTATAGATTAAACATAAAGGGAACCTCGGGGTACAACGGTCATGGAGTGATTTGCAGTCGGATTCGGGTTTCTATCCTGGCTTGTAGCGTATGGAATCCTGTTAGGTAAGGCCAATGAGGATAAACAGTTTTCGATCATCTTTATACAAGAGTTCGGAAGAGGCATTATTAGGCACTGGAGCCGTCTACAAAAACTAGTGTAATCAAACGATCACCGCTACAGACGGTTCTACCCCACTGAGGGGGTGCAGGTCGCCCCCTCACGTCGCCAGAACACTGACGTTCGTCGGTGAGACGATATCCGGAGACGGAAAGCCTGTTAATGAATGAAACAATCAAGAAAGTGCGAGGTTTTTGTTGTGGTGGAAAGCCGGAGAAAAATCACCGACCTGCGGACAGTACCTAACGACTGCTCTGCGTAGGCCTCGAACCAGCGACCAAGGCCACAAGGCCAATATGGGACAACGAAGGAAAACGTACCCATTACCAAAGAGTAGCCAAAAGGACAGGTTGATACACATCGTTATTGAAATAATATTTCTCAGATGCACGTTCATATTTTTATACTAAAATTTCCATACTTTAAGGTTTCTTTTGTTTGAAGGTAATTTTCAATGTAAGCCGTTTCTTTTGACAAGGGAAACACCTCTTCTGAATGCTCTTAGTGAAAATCAATACATTACCACATTAAAGATATCAAAATCGTGCTGCAAAATCTGTACTTTCAAAACTTATTTCTAATAACTTCTAATACGAATTTACACAACTTAATATGACATCTCATTGATTGAAATAGACGGCATAATAGTTAATCTAGATGAAGAGTTTTGAAAAACAACCCCATATTCTGGAACCCTTAAGGATTACTGGATAAATATGTCTGATCAGAAGGTTAAGACTGGTTTTTGCAGATGGATTTTAAAGATATACAACAAGAATGAGACCAGGTGTTCCGGAAGAATAAGCGTCTAATGTATCATTGATGACGCCCTCCGTCTCAAACCTGCTCGAAACCAACTAGCAAAGTAACGTCCTTGCTACTTTATATGTGAGTGAGGACTGAAGGTATACAGCGTCAAATGAGTCCGCAAGATTGTTCTTATCTTACACAAGCCTGGACTAAAGTTTCTCCCTGTCAAAAACCAAATTTTCAGAGAAACGCGGTGGCCGAGCGGTTAAGATGTCTAACCGTCTTTGTCACTCGCCCTTCACTTCTGGCCGCGGGGGCCAAGCGGTTTATAAGTCTAACCGTCTTTCTTACTAGACATCCACTTCTGGGCCGCGGAGGCCGAGCTGTTATGACGTCTAACCGTCTTTGTCACTAGCCCTCCATTTCTGGGCTGCGGTGACCAAGAGGTTAAGACGTCTAACCGTCTTTCTCACTAGAAATCCACTTCTGGATCGCGGGTTTGATGCTTACATTGGAATCCGTTTTAATGGATTCCAAAAGGACACAACTTGATCAACACAGACCGGTCCTGATATAGGTTATCCAGACTACCACACATAACCGATACATATAAAGTGTGTATACATTAACGTTGCACCAACATGTATTGACTAGCATAAGAATGTAAACAAATCTACGCATCAGTGACTTCAGTACAATGCGTAGTGTATTCTGTAACACATCTTGGCCGCGGTGGCCGAGCGGTTAAGACGTCTAACCTTCCTGGGCCGAGGTGGCCGAGCGGTCAAGACGTCTAACCGTCCTGGGCCGAGGTGGCCGAGCGGTTAAGACGTCTAGCCGTACTGGGCCGCGGTGGCCGTCTTTTTCACTAGACCTACACTTCTGGTCTGCGGTGACCAAGCGGGTAACATGTCTAACCGTCTTTCTCACTAGACATCCACTTCTGGACCGCGGTGGCCGAGCGGTTATGATATCTAACCGTTTTTGTCACTAGACCTGGCCGATACATATAAAGTGTTATACATTAACATTCCACCAACATGTATTGACTAGCATAATAAGAATGTATTATACCTTATTTAAATCATGTGCTTTTCTATTCATAATACAATTGGTTACCTATATAACCACAAGTTTACGTGGCACTGTTTATTTACAAAGTAGCAAGGTCGTATCTATCTTACGTCATTAACTAGTGACAATACAAACAGGAAGGATCAATACC